GAAAAAAATAATTAATAATGGCTTTTCTTTTAATAAAACAAAAACATATAGCTGAATTGTTGGGAAATTGATAACATGCAACTGTGCAAGAAATATCTAACCGGAGATTAGAAATACAAATATTTACTTTCCCTTGTCTAATGCATACCTTACAGATTTGTCAAAATAAATTACAAATATTCTGATTTGTTGAATCTGATAAAACTTTTTAAGTATTGCTAAGGATAGAATTTCTTATTCTCTGATAGGTAAAGGATAGCTTTTAATGCATCTATTTCCTGGACCATAAATTTTTTTCTAAAGTCAAAGCACTCTGGGTATACCTTAATTTTGAAGAACATAACACACTAATTTTCTACCTCCTAGAGAAAAGGGAAAATTAAAGTAGGAAGACTCACTACCAGAAATAGCAGGTTTGATCAATGAAACATAATTGAAACTAGAAGCATATATTGTGTTGTGAGTTCAGATTTATATTCCAGTAGAAAGAAGGGATGCTACTTTGTTTGCTTGATGCAATGCACCAAGGCAAATTTGAAGGCATTCTTAGTGAATATAAGAAAGGATTTGGATAGTTCAAACTTCAAAGGACTTCAGTATTGCTTTTCTTGCATGTTCCTGGTCTTGTAGATGCCCCAATAGCTTGATGAAGGAAAATATGAATTTGCGCCTCAAATGAGACACTGATCAACCTAAGTGACATGTTTGACCAAATACTAACCAATGAGGGCAATGTAATTTGAGGGAAAATTATTTGCAACAAGTAAGAACTCAGAAATTTACCTACCTAGATGAAAAATAGAATTCCCATGTTTCATAGATATAAACTTGAAGTAGTCCCTCCATATCAGTTCAAATAAAACCCTGAATTATAATCATCTTGTCAGTCAGGTGATATCGTGGTCAACTGAAGAATTGCGTTATGCAATATGGATATGTCGGAGCTGCTTCATGTATCTAATAGAGTTATAAATGACAAAATACCAGTATGTGGAGTCATTTGCTACTCTCTGCTTCTCATATCTGCGGACCTAATGAAATCAGGAAAACAACATATTTAGAACTTGCACAATTGAACAATACCAGGGGATTCAATCAATCAAATGGAGGGACTCTGCACCTCCTCATATATATAACGGGGAGAGAGGCTCCCTGAAGCAAGCCATGGTGAGAACTTTGTGGAATAGTCTGGCCCCATCATGCCATTCCTTGTTTCTTTGTAAACCCTTAACAAATCCTGTACGAGGACAAAGAAAATGAGAATTACATTGTCACTGTTTTTTTAACTTCCATGGAGAATATATTATGAAGTGCGCACTGCATAGTGTCGTCCAAAGACCTACGCAGACAAAATGATTCATGAAAACTCAGTTTACAGCTAAGATTGTTCTATAAAATACTTCTAGTAACCACAAAAGGCAGCTTGATGAAAGTTACTGCAATAATTTTTATTGAAGTAGGAACTAGGAAGTACTACAAATAGATAGAATAGAAATGTCTGGACAAACTACCCAAAATTGCAATGCTGATCAGACTTGAAAAGAGATAGTTGACAAGAAAAAAGTTAGATATTGTATTCTTAGAAGACAATAACAATCAGTAAGTTACGTGCCTTCTTCCAGAAGTACTCGGAAATCCTTCCTAGAGCTGCATTTTCACCTCCGAGAAAATGAATTCCCTGTTCATGCTGCATTTTGAGAATAAAAAACACTTAATCAACCTTCATCCAATATGTTATATCCCAAAAATCAATACTTCACAAGATAAACAATGGAAATTTGGCAACTATCACAAATTTTAACATTGCACAATATTAATTTGCAATTATCATCTTGAAAGCAACCAGTTTTCTTACTGCCAGCGTTTGCTTCATGTGCAAAATATTTTATGGATTAAGTGGATCAGGTAAATCTGATGAAAAGAGTTGGACAATGTCTAAATTATAAAATAAAAATCGAAGCAGAAAATTTTATATGGACGAGCAAATCCAAACACTGAGAAGATGGGAGATTGGATTTTGATACAGCAAGGAGACTCTATGGCAATTATCAATGTTTCTTGAACCACTGAGCATTCTCACAATTGGAAGTGCTAATGGTAGCTCCATACTTTGGAATAAGATGTATCATTGGCTTAATAGTTGACTTAAAAGAAAAAAGACTTGGCATGGCTTGAGAAACAGAATGAATCATCTGGCTTGCCTTTGACTCCTTTAGCCCAAGTTGCTCAAGAGTTGGAATGGTTCCCCATCCATCGATTTGATCCAAACCAGTGTTTGGAGGTGGCCCAAGTGACACCGGCAACTTGAAACAACCCCTGATTGAACACTTTGATTCAACAGCCTGCGAAATGATTTATTATCAAAAGACATGTATCTACCTTTAAAATCCTTTGTACGTAACAATTTTGGATATGAGAGATGAACTCACCTTGCGGAACTGTGTATATACATCTGGTAAGTTTTTTGTGCTGAATGGAATATCATCGATGTGGTACATAGTACTTCCCCAGACAAGAACTAATTTTGGACCGACAGACTTTTGGTTCGAAGTTCCACCTTGAGGTAGCACCACTTGTTGCAAACCCTTTAGAACAAGCTTTTCAACCAGAAGCTCCTCACTGCATGTTTCCTTCTGCGCATAAACCTGAAATGATAGGATCAGCAACTCGTCCAGATATTGAACTAGTGTATCTGGGCACATAACTGCCGATCTAAGAAAGCATTCAGCATGTTAAGCGACAGTCATTTAAAATCATATAAGACCTTTCAGCACTGTCACTTATTTTCCTTGGATATGATTTAAGAATAACTAGAAGGGGGACCTACCCTTGTGTGTTTTAATGTAGAGAATGCAGAAAAGCAAAATTTTTGTAAACGGTTCTCTTGACAATTCCTTCCAGTAATTAATTGGTTCACAGGATGTCAAAAAGAATGACAGGGAGGATCAAAGAAAACTTTGTAAAATAGATTCATTGATATTGGCATATCTCACAACAACATAAAGCTGATTTGTTGTAGTTTGATGCATAAGTGGAAAGGAGAAGGCACCCTATAAGCTCTATATTGGTCTAATCATATAACAAAATATGGAAAAGTTGCTTCGTTTCTTGAGACTAGTGAATTAATTCTACTGATACACAAGGCTTCAAATAGTGCACAATAAAAACTGAGCCCTTTACGAAGCACAAGAAAGTCTATAGCATTATACCATACTAATAGCATGATAAGAAAGTTAAAATGCAGTTCATTGTTACATAAGTAATAGGTCTTAGGTTTGAATCCACATGTGAGCATAATGTATGCCATTTTGATATAACAAAAATGTCTTTAAAAGAAAAAAGTTCAGATGCAAGCACCAAATTGAATATGACACCTGACCTATAAAACATTAATGTTGCCAAAGCATACACTATATTTTTATTATCTTTGATGTTAATTGCATATGCATGTACAATGTAACAAGACGATCCATAAGTTGATCCAAACCTACACTTAATACACAATACACAGTAGATCATGGCAAAGAGATGCTGCACAAAGCGAAGCTACTGTTGATCCAGATTACGCTAAGCTTGCAGCCTAATAAAAATAATTCGTAATAGAACAGAATTAGTTGCTTCTTAATAACACATCTAAAACCACTTAACTGTATGGGCACTGAAAACTCTTGCAATTGAAGGAAGGATGTCCTCTGGCTTCCCGAATCGTACTAGCAAGTTTAGCCCTCGTTTCATCAAATTCTTCTTCAGATCTTCCAGGCATTCAATGAGAAATTGTGCCCTCAAGGCTACGAAAAGGGGGAAACACGGAACACTCGAGCATTCAGTAACATAGAACATAGAAGATTTTTATTTGGTGTGCTTATACCTCCGGTTTTCGGGAAGCCGAAGTAATGGGTGGCCCCAAAGTTGCGAGGATCGACACAATACACCGGCAGCACCGATTCCGATGCCGCCCAAGCCCGCACCAGAGCCTCATTATCCATCAACCGGAGGTCGTTCCTGAACCACATTATCGCGACGCCACTGCCGCTGCGCTTCAGACTGGGAGAAGAATGCCTCCCAAAGGCCTCATCGGAAGCAGCGACGACCTCGTCGGCGCTTAGTCCGGGGACCGCGTGGCATCGGGCCGCGAGCCGGCGATCGTCGGTGCCGCGGGGAGAAGGGTCAGCGACGATGCTCATGAGGAGGCGGAGACCGAAGAGGGGAGGATTAGGGACGGGTTTTGAATGGAAGGAAGGGAGTTTGGAGGGGAAGAAGGATGGGGAGGATGAGGAAGCGCGGATGATGGAAGTCATGGCTTTCGTTTTCTTTTGTCGTTGATTTGGGTTTGGACAGCGCGGAGAGAGATGCGGAGGGAAAGGAAGGGAAGCGTCGGCGTCGCGGCACGTGGGTCTCTCGGAAGGTGATTACGTGGCGCAACGTCGGCCTATAGAAGTTTCTCTGGGTTGGGCCGTGGACCAATAGGAGCCTAGTATTTGAAGCAGGTCGAATGACGCAGATTGGCTGCAAGTGACAAAACAGGAAAGACCGTGCAAGCGCTCTGCCACTACGTGTTCTGATTGGGTCCACATTTAGGACTTGGTAGACAACTGTTTCGTGCCAATCTTTCTCTGTGGAACGTAGAACAGACTCCTTTTTACAGGTTTGATGATATCGATGGACGTCAAAGGAATAATTGAGTGATGACATTAATATATAAATTATTTTTTAACAAAAATAATGCCCAAAAGTGAGAGAAGAATGGTTTTTTTAAGATTCAAAATCTCATTCGATATAATTTAAATAAGTCATCTAAGTTAGCTGATAAACACTTTTAACTCATTTTTATCATTTAACCTTTAAACCAAAAAAAAAAAAAGGTTCTTTAGTATCATAGTGATACCCGAGCAAAAGCCAAACTCACCGACGCCTAAGAGAGTCGGATTTGTAGTCTCAGAATGTTGGTAAGAAAACGTGGTTGTCTCTCATCAAGAAAACATCACCGTTGCAGCTCAGGCTGAATCAAAACCGTAATTGAGTTATTGATTCACCCTTTATTACAATAGTTCAGAAAAACAATGGTCTGATCTGCTAATAACAGCAGCAAGTTGGAATATAATAACAAAACAGCATGTTCAAGAACATGCATAACTCAAAAGGGAAACATCAGCAGCATGGGGCCTCCATGATGCTGCAGATCTTCCAAAATTCTAGTAACATCGTAATGGTGATAGTGATTCCGATTAATGACTTTAGGGTACAAAGATCATCGTGCGTCGTCTTCAAGGTTGCGGAATCCAACAGTGAGGTCATCATTCAATTTCTTGAATTTTGCAACAAGAGCTTCCTCACCTTCTGCAGGATCTTCAAATTTTTGAGACCTATGAAAACCAATAACAGACTCAAATTGTCAACTACGAAAGCATTCTGAGAGAATCCAGTGAGGGAAAAAAAAGAAAATGCACACAATGAGTATGGATAAAATATTAGTTAACTCTAGAACGTCATGCACTACTTACACTAGACGGTAGAAAAGGTCACCCAACCGATGTTTGATAACACTGTAAGTGATCTTTTGGCCATCAGAACCTGCTGCTCGCTCCACTGCCTGATAATGAAATTGATAACAAAGCAAGAGTGAAGTCATAGAATCTAAAAACTACGAAGTTCCATCAAAGCTCTTATACTACCAATTGACAAATACTTCAGCTTTCTAAAAATCCATAGATATAACAAAAAATGCATGAATGAACCATCATCAAGTGAGCAGCTGCTGACAAGTAACCAGAAATATGACTGAAATATAACTTTGTTAAGGATCACACTAAGAGCTGGAAATGGGTCAAGGCCTCATTGTTAACCATGGACTAATATTTACAGACTGGGCCTAATAAAAAAAATAAAGTCTGTTTCTGGTGCACTATGAGTTGCTAAGTGAGATTCAAGGTTGAAGATGAACCAGAAGCAAGAAGAACAATCTTCTACATATAAAACTCAGAATTTTTTTTAAACAGATATTCACAGCAGCTAGGAGAATACCTGATTTGCCAAAGTATTGAAATGAATGATGTTCCGCATCATCCAAACTGATTTGTAGAATGGGCAGAACTTATCATAGCTGTTTCAATCATAAAAGTTGTCAATTGAGTCACCTTGTATAAAGGAGAAAAGCAAGCCAATAAGGCCAGATACAAAAGTCAATGGGACAAAGATGCAGCTTACGGAGTGAATGCATTTTGTGCCAGATAATCTTCCCGTAAAAGTTTTGCAGTCTCTAGTGTGATCTTGTCCGTCTCAGCTAATGCATCTTTACCAACAAGCTGCAGAATCAGAGGCAGTAGTTACAAAGAAGTGATTAAAAAAACATGTGATTCAAGTCTTTTTCAGGTTTCAAGATATGAGAACTAGGAAAATCAAATAAAAACCTAGCATCACAGAAGGTTGTTGAAAGTTATAGAACAAATCAAGTGATAACAAAAGAGGAAAGAGAAAGTGGGTATCAAGTCAGACAACATACTATAAACTCAGAATAGTAGAATTCATAGATAAAAAGTTATGCAAATCAAAGTAAGCTCTCAAAACATTGTAAGAAAGGTTATGCTCCTAACACATTCAAGTTCAACCGGATTCCAACAACTATAAGAAAAGATAAAGAGTTTCACATGTCAATAGATATTATTATGGTGATAAGATAGGCTAAAGCAAGATTACCTGCACAATTTCATTCAGATCATCTTCTCTCTGTAGTACCTCACGAGCCTTTGTCCGGATGTCAATGAAATCTGAATCAAATTTCTCATAGAAAGATTCCAATGCCTGTAAAACACAAAAGAGTGAACTAATTAAAATTAGAATTGGATGAAAAACTTGCTTTTGTCATGAAAAGTACTGAAGCATATCTTCAGAAAGCAACAAGTAATTAAGATGGAACATACAGCCAATTTGCCAGCCATCATTATGGTAATTGTTGTACTCAATGAAATGCAAGTGGAACAAAAGTTAAGACTATCCAGACTGAAGATCCCAAAATGCACTGCCTTGTTTTTTCACTATAATTTTTATGTCATGTATCTTAAAACCGGAATTATTACACTGTATCCTCTTTACCCAACAAAATGCACGACATTTGTGAGATAACTGCAAGTTCAAGCAACTTTAGATAATAAAATGGTACAACAGCAAACCTTTGAGTACTTGGAATATGAAATAAGCCAATTCACAGATGGAAAATGCTTTCTCTGAGCCAGCTTCTTATCTAGTCCCCAAAAGACCTGCACAGCATTTTACAGAACAAGGGCTTGATAATTCTCCATGAGAAAGCCTCAACATTAGAAGAAACCATAAGAAAGATGACATTTCATTTACCTGAACAATACCAAGAGTTGCAGAAGTAACAGGGTCTGAAAAATCGCCCCCTGGAGGGGAAACAGCACCAACGATTGTGACACTGCCGGTTCGGTCTGGCCCACCCAGACATTTCACTTTACCAGCACGTTCATAGAAGGAAGCTAAACGTGCTGCAAGATATGCAGGATAACCACTATCTGCTGGCATTTCAGCCTGAGAAACAATAGATAATTTAACACAGTACAAAAGAGATTAGAATGAAGTAGAGAAATTAACTTAACAGATAACAAAACAAAACAAGACAGCACAAATAAAAGTGGTGGGTGAACTTTCAGTGAACAGGTTACAACCAATGCTAAGTGCTGAATGCTTCAACAATTGTTTAGAAGAAATAAAGACAATTACCAGTCGGCCTGAGATCTCACGCAAGGCTTCTGCCCATCGGGAGGTAGAATCAGCCATCATGCTGACATTGTATCCCATATCTCGGAAATATTCTGCTATTGTGATGCCTGAGGAATTCAATGTAACTGAACATGAGCAACTATGTTTTTACAGAATAAGACAGAAGTATCTATAGTAGTGCAGAATGTACGCTGTAAATGCTAAGATACCAAAAAGGTACGAACAAACATATGGGCACTTTTCCTGAAGAGGCAGACCCTTTTCCCCTACTCAAACTCTCCTTTTTGGACTTTTCCCACTTAAGGTTTCCTTTACATAACATAGGGAAAAAGTGTATGAAGGAGGCTTCACGTAGGAAAAGGAACAAAAACTGGGGCCTTAGGTGCAAATAAATGGAAAAAAGGAAATAACCCGAAATACATATTATATAAAAAATATATACACAAGGCACGTATAGAGAGTGTATATTTATATATTATACATAAAGACAAAGTTGGGTACTTCATATTGAACACATATTGAAAACATGGGAGAACAAGAGAAGATCAGGGCCTGTCAAAAAAGCTCTCTAATAGAAATTACTGCCTGGATCTCCAAATAACACAACGTGCAAGTATTCTGTTGCACAAGGCTTAGGATGCTTGCAAGAAAGGAGTAATGAGTTATTGGACCATGCTGCATGTCAGGCGTGCAGTTCTATCTTTAGATGAATCTTCAAAATGAAGGCAGTACCAATCTAGATGGCTTTTGCAGATGAGGTTTCACAGATTTCTCATCTTTTGTAATAAATTATCAATTACGATAAGCACAACAATTCTTGTTATTTGAAAGACAAGACTTGGTGAAATGATAAAATTGCTCCTTTGCAAGATTTGAGTTCAAGTTATGAGGACAGCCTGTTTACTAGAAGATGCAAGGTTGCATCCATTGACTTTCCCTACACCACATTGGTAGATACCTAGTGCATGGTGGCTGCCCTTTCTGGAAAAGTTAGTTCTGTTCAAGGCAATATCTGGATTTGATGGGCATAAAATCAACCTAACTAATTTATCACATTTTGTCAAGTAATATCCTGGCTAAACTTCTGGCAATATGTCAACTCAAGATACTCAAAAGTATGGAATATTCAACCATGTGATGAGACATCTAAAAATTCTCCTCACCATTGCTTGGTAGACTCGGTTATTATTATTCTATAAGCAACCACTGAACAGCAAATTTCCATCTTAGAACTCTCATCACCCACAAACAGTAATATTCAAAAAGAAACTTCTTAATAGTTAGTATATGAGTCCTAGGCCTTGCATAGCCTACCTTGTTTGCCATATAACCACAAAATTTATAGACCAAAGAGAGATCAATGCCAGCATATTTATGCACCTAGGTTAGCTTAGGGAAACATAAGTGATATGTCCAGAGGAACTGCTTCTGTTAAGGAAAGCATAATATTGTCTGGCATTCTCTAAACTAGTTTACCTTATTCTCATTTCATTTTAACTACTTAGCTCATACCTGTATATATGGAAGCTTCACGAGCAGCCACAGGCATGTTGGAAGTGTTTGCCACAAGTGTTGTTCTCTTCATGACAGATTCTTCACGGCCATCAGGTAATGTCATTGTCAATTGCGGGAAATCCATAAGCACCTGCATATTGTTTTATGATATTATTGATAAATATAAAATCGACAAAGTACAAAGCAAGGAAGGGGACATGAACCTCAGCCATTTCATTTCCTCTTTCTCCACAGCCAACATACACCACCGTGTCAGAATTAGAGTACTGGAGAAGTTGATAAGTGTAAGTGAAAATTCACAACTAAAGACAAGGAGAAAAACTACAATTACAAACATAATAACCTTTGAGAGTGCCTGGCTGATGACTGTTTTTCCACAACCAAAAGCTCCAGGTATAGCACAAGTGCCTCCAAGAACAGAAGGAAAGAGAGCATCTAGCACACGCTAAATAAGGATACACAACTCAATATGTTAAATGCCAGAAGACAAGAATGCCATCATATGAACCTTGAGAAATAAAATTCACAGTATATAAAAGCACAACATAATCCCTACTGGCAGGAAAGGTTCTTCATCTTTACCTGTCCTGTTAATAGAGGTGTATCAGCAGCAAGCTTTGCTGCAACTGGCCTTGGAGTACGTACTGGCCATGTCTGCAGATAAGTCATGAAACATTGAAGTCACTCTGTTCAGCGGGAGAAATGGATATTAATTAAACTATAAAATGACAAAGGACAAGGATATAAACCTGAAGCATACTGAACTGCTTTTTAACACCTTGAAACTCCAGCTCCAGGACTGTATCCTGCAAGTATAATGGTAATACGAGACAGGAAAATATCATGAGCATAACCAACATGATGAACATGCTGATGAAAACAAAAAAAACATATATAAACAAAGAAAATGTTCACTAACATTCAGGTTGTATTGACCAGCAGGAGCAATATAACTGATTTTCCCCATGGAACCAGGAGGAAGAGCAACAAGGTGCTTCATCAATGTGTTCTCAAAGACCGTCTGCAAATTAAATAATGAACATGACAATATTAAATTATTTGAATAAAGATAATAAAACAATATCACTTGCTATTCCAGAATCTGCTCAGTTTCATGCTACTTACTGCATATAAATCACCACCAGTCAGAAGATCTCCGACACCTGTAACAAGTGCAAAAACAGATTAAGCATGCTACAAACCAGCAACAGTCCAAAAACCTGAAAAAGATGATGAAAACAAGTTATGATTTGTGTTATAGGTAAGTCGGTCTAGATACCTAATTTACTGGGCTCAAATTCCCACAATGCATCCTTGTCAAGTGCAGGGACAGAAACACCACGAGGGATGTAGACATCACCAGATTTTATAGCAATAGTTTTCAGAGGCCGCTGTAATTAGGAAGAAGAATAAATATTAGGAAAAACATTTAGATTAACAGGATAGTCAGTAAGGCGGTTGATAACATCAATTTCAAACAATGTATGTTTGCACCTAATGAGAAACAAGCATGAGCATATAAATGGAAAACTCATGCAGATATTTTGATATTCAAAGATAAGTGAGGTTAATGGTGAACTGCTACAAATAAACATCAATTGTACCAGCAAAAAGATTTAATTAAATTAATCATATAATTAATGACATATGAGCCACAAGCTAAGCAAGTGACCAAAGCTAACCAACAAGAGTCACTAAATGCTCTGGTAAAATACATGCAAGCAACTAGTAATTTCAGGTCAAAATTTGAACAAAACCTGAATTCCATCAAAAATGTTGCCCAAAATTCCAGGTCCCAACTCGACTGAGAGAGGCTGTCATAAAATAGCAACACACTATTTAGCCCAGTTCATAAATACATGTACTGATAACAAGAGTTAAAACTTAAAACCATACAGAATCTTGATCACCTTGCGAGTTCGCAAAACTGGGTCATTGACCATCAAACCAGCAGTTTCTTCATAAACTGAGATTCAAAACCAACATGTGTTATATCATTTATGCTTTCCAATAAACAACCTAAAAAGACAAAATAAATAACAAAGAAATTAAAAGTTGATTACAATAGAAGATATTTAAACGCATGCTTAGAACAATAGTAACAGCTTCTAAAGTCAATTACCCTGGATTGTAGCGGAATCACCCTCCAAACGAATAATCTCACCGATAAGCTTATCATAACCAACACGAACAAGTTCATACATGGCAGCACCTCCCATGCCATCGGCAACCACGACTGGCCCAGAAACCTAGAAAGTTGTAAGATTGAATAAGGCTGTATGACAAATCAAGCCACAATTATCCATGAGTAACTTGTTGCAGAAGAACCATTAAAAAGCATCTTTATAAAGAAGCCCAGACTTGAAAGAGAACAAGGCATATAGAAAAAGGAAGCAAGATGATGGTTTGGAACTTCATCATGAACAAAGATAAGACTTCGTGAGGATAATCTTCAGTTAAAATTTAACATTGATAGAATTAATGGTGTCAACAGCCAGCTTGGACAGATAGGCCATAACATCTGATTAAATTCAAAGGTCAGGCTTAGCTTAAGCCCTGGTATATGCCTCTAACAAAAACCTGAACAATGAACAAGCTTGGTCTAAATTGTCAGACTAGACCATCCAGTCAAATCAACAATTTTTTAGGTCAGGCTGAGCTGAAATGATAGTTCAGTCTAGCAACAGACAAGCATAATGTTGATTTATAACAATACCCAACACCATTATCAGTTCTTGGTCCATCAAGCATAAGCCAGAAGAGAACAAAAAGCAAATGAGGGAGACTCATATTTACTTTCCTAATCTGATTTGGTCTATTGCAAACTGCAAAACCTGATAAAGCCCACTGACTTTGGCATTTGTGCTAACATCATTCTTAGTATAGATCTCTAATGTTAGATGTTTCTTAAGTTAGCTTAAGAGATGATAATTTCATTAATAAACATTTGGAAAATTCAACTTGTCTTGCACTTTAAAGCCATTTGAGCCATTCTTTCTACAATACTATCGAAATTAAATAAATCATAACTTGTTAAGTGGTCAATAGCAAAATCTTGCATTTGAGTCGGTCTAAGTACTCTACCTCCATCTCCGAGCACAATAATTAACATGAACTACATCAGTTAGTGACTGGTTAATTTTGTGATGTTTTCTTATTTGAGCACTAGAACGGTGTGGAAAGAAGTATAAATCTTGCAATATAAAGGGGCTAAATAGAACATCAACAGTCCTCATATACACTCTACAGTGACCCACATGTACCGGACACGTTATTCTTCTTGACAAAAGGGACTTCATTACATCTATGCGCATCTCCGTGACTAGACGATTTGCATATCCTCTAGATGGGAAATTGTGTCCCCTAGAGTTGGATGCAAGTGCTCAGACAGCATTTTTAGATCTCAAAGTCAAAAATCCATAGTAAACCGCGAGTGTTCTTAAGATGACAGCGGGATTTGATCCCAGGATGTTGCTATCAACGTTCAAGATCATTACTAGTTCAATACATCTAGCGCCTTCAATTAGATTTCAGCTTTATGGTGAACATATTCCAATTAGGACTAACTGCGTGACCCCTGTTCACTTCAAATCACAAGTCAATATCTTGCTGCCAGATCGATCGAAGCAAGAACCCCAAGAAATCAAGTCAAACCCATTCGATAAGGCAAAGAACAAGAAAGAAACCCTAAAACTCGCAGAATAAGAAATCAAAATGGCCATAACGGACTAGATCGAACCCATTACGCAGGATACATACAAGGTGAGGCAAGCGATCGCAGGGACAATTACCTTGCGGACGTATCCATATTCGCTCTCCTTCTCGGAATCCTCGAAGGTGGTCAGGCGATCGCCGTAGGCCATCTCGGCGGATCAAGATCCGGAGTCCGAGGAAGAGGATGCCGGATCGGGAAGAACCTGGAAGAATCTGGAGGTCGATGGATGATCGATCTAAGACGAGGGGACGAGCGGGAGAGAGCGACGAGATCTGGAGATCGCGATGGAAGAGAGATAAGGGGAAGAAGACGACGGCGAGGGCAATGGACGTGCAACAGATAAACACAGCTTTGGGGCACGCGAAAACTGTGTAACGAAAGAGTGACTAAGACAGCTTCACTATAACCGGTTCACTACCTGCCTCGTGATTGGAGAGAACGATGTAGCCGGTCCGAGTTTGGTGTGGGTCCCCTATTGGTTTAACCAAATGGCTAAATTGTGAGTAGTAGAAACAGTACCCCTTTACTAAGGAGAAACGACGAATCGGTGTACCTGCCTTGTGATTGGCTGATAGTTTGTAGGCCCAATTCAATTGTTACTTAAATGTAAGTTATATGCGTGGAAAACAGTACTCCCTCGCTACAGAGAATAATTTTCTCGGCACTTTAAGATTGTTACCAACGAACCTACCTGCCTTCTGCTTATGCTGAGGCACTCAGTAGATGAATATAAGCTACACAACAACAAGAGAGAAAGAGAGAGAGAGAGAGAGAGAGAGAGAGAGAGAGAGAGAACAATGTTTCAGTTTCATTTCATGAGCTCCCAGTGTACAAGGAGGAGATTAAGAATGATGAACATCAATATGATACAACTCACAATCTACACACAAGCAAAGATAATGTTCTGCTAGAGAGAGAAAATAGATTTATGGGCTTTTAGGCCCATTGTTGTAAACTAATGGGTTGGGCTTTAGTGGTCAAACCTGTGTTTTGCCTGTATCAGAAAATTAAGGAATTATTGTTTTGCTTATACGCAGGTTTAGTCCATAATAATATGTTTTTCTATGCACCAAATTTTATGATCTTAAAAATGCATTGATGAGTCACTTGGGATTTGTTTCTTCTAAAGTTGAGATTATAATGATGTATAGGAAAAAGTATGGGTCGATTCCACACAATAATTTATCCTCAAATGGAAACAATTGTCGTAATCACTTGCAAGCAAATTTTATAGGATAAATGAAGCATTTTACTTGGTGCATCAACTCTCAGAAATTTTATAATAACGAGTCCGAGTCAAACTTAATATCTGCAATGCGACTTTTTTAATCATCATTATTATGAGATTATCCTCTCAGGATATTTCTCTTCATCTCACGTATATGAATATTTTTAACATAAATCTCTCGATGAATAATCCTTGTTTAATAGTTAGGATTAGCTTCATATTATGGGGTTTCATCGAGTGGATTCATATTCGATTCCTTTCTAGTTATAAGGTTCCTTACATAAAATAATAGTTTTAGAATATGGGTTAAAATTTGTAGTAAAATTAAATCTATTAGAAGGCTGTTGGAAGAATTTTGTATACTTAGACTACTTCCCATTTGAAATTTACATTGGACCCACTACATATTTCAAATATATTCTCAAACACATTCTTAGTAAGTTTGATCCATTAATATTTAGAACATACTATACAAGTCCCATTTATAGTACCCATTCTATAATTATTGACAGTCATTGAAAAATTGGTATCTTAATTAGGGAAAAGTAAGCACTTTCTATGTCAAGTTTTGATTAGCCAAAAATAATCCAAAAATTGGATAAGTTGTAACATGTGACAAACATGATAGTAAGAGTGAGTTCAACTTAGTCTAGGGAGAATGTCATATGACTGAAAAATTTTATTACATATATATATGTATATACATATATATACATATATATATAATGTTAAGATGCATCATAACTTGGGTCTGTATATGACTGCTTGCCCAACTTGTCCAGTCACATGCAATCATCTGAGCTCTGAACAAGCATCTTCCCAACTTGGCTCCAACTCAAGAAATGGCTGCTCAAGGCATGTGCTTTATGTAAGAGGAACAAATATACAAAATCTGTGAATTAGTCCCATCTGCTTCAATTATTAGTCAATTTGAGGCTTTAGAGTAACTGTCTCAAACTAAATCAACTGCTGCTGTCTGACATTGAAGTGCCTTAAGAGTCAGAAAGGAAATAGTCAAGCTGAGACTGCATTGGAGAGTAGAAAAGGAGAAGCTTCAGAAGATGGCTAATGGTCCTTTGTTTTGATTCTGATGTGGAAAAGGCATGTATGACATTAATCATGTTGGAAAGTTGTGAGCAATCTGCAGTTGCATGTAGACAGCACATGGGCAATCATTTGAACTTAAAAGTTCAGCTATTCTAACACTTCAAAGTGATACATTCCCTTACTTCCTATCATTACAAAGTGTGATGCAGAAAGCAAATAGCTCCTTTTGTAGATTGACACCAAACCAATGTTTTCTATGCATTCATAGAATGCAAGTATGATTAGGAACTGAATTAAAGATAAATGAGATCACTGAGGTGTCAAAAGAATAAGTTTTTATCAATTTAACAAAGGATTAATGAGTACTTGAAGCTCAGATTTGTTTTCTGTTTTTTTTTTTTTTTAGTGTGAGAATCTTCTGCTAAATCATTCATTCAGACCTTAACAAACTCAATCATTCAGACCACCTTCCTACCACAGACTTCACATGACTCTGCTAAATCTACCACATGGAAGTATTAAACTGATGAGACTGAACCCTTATTATCTAATTAGAACTTGTATGTTAGTACTGGTCTTCAATGCTAGTCCTATCTAAAACTAGTTCTTAAAGCTCTGTGTCAGCTTGGAGAATGCACCACCATCAGTTCAAGATTTGACCAAAAATGGCCCCTTGATCATTCAGTTAATTCAATCAGCTCCAGGAGCCAAATGCTGAGTTCAGAATCCCACTAACATCCTGAAATGACCAAAACCATCTCTCACTGTAGCCTATGCATGATTAGGAGCTGCAAATTATTTGGATGCACTTTTCATGAATTTGGCTATGTGGTGATTTAGATACAACAACCTGTTATAACTGGAAGATGAGAAGAGGTATAAGGCATTGCCTCATCAATGAACAATTGATCAAGCATATGTGCTTCCAGAATGTACAGAAATCCTTGTGCTGTTGGAACATCATGTTTTTTAAACTTAAAGATGGTGTCCCCTTGGCATCATTCCATTTCTTTGATTTCTGCTTGATTTCAAAGTAATATATTCACACTAGCTTTGTGAATTTCTTGATCAAGAGTCCCAACTCTTCCTACATTCAAACATCAAGGTAGAACACAACTTGAAGCAAGAATGCACAAAAATTCAAGAAACTGTGGTGGTTGAAACTCGCCTTTTTCGGTTTTGATAATGTGATTATTCTACTCACAAAATTTCTTTTAAAGCTTCTACAATTTTGGTAGCTGGATGAGCTTCATCCATATATTGTATTCAAATCTAACAATGAAATTTTGGAGCTTCAACAGCCATTCTGTTTACAAAATGAAAGAAAAAAGATATGGTGGTTGGATTGACTGGGAACAGACTGAATAGAGTATTTTGATTCCTCAAAAAGAAAGAGGGTATTTTGGATCCTCAAATTTAGCCACACCTTCAGAAAAGAAAAAAAAATAATGAGATTGACCATATCAACTGCCAAATGATTTGATGGACTGACAATTGTAGTAAGAAATAAGGAACATCTTATTATACAATGCATGACATTAGAGGCCTTCACATGCACTTCTGCAATCTGTCACCTGCCATGTTCTGTTGAGCACCCAAATCCAACCAAAATAAAACTGCAAGTTAAAAAAACTATGATCAGTGCATTATGGAGCTAAGAAAAATAGCATTCAATAGAAATAGGCAGTTGGGAGAGTGTGATATTATATGCTTGAGATGGTACATGAATCACATGAGAGGACAGCAAATGCCAGGAGTTGGCATCTGCTATTGAAGATTGCATGCACCTGCTCTTTGCTCATCAGTCAGGAATCAAATCTGTAAACCCCAAACATGATGCTGCGACAAATCTATGATTCTGGCAATGATGAAATGGATTCCCAGGACTAGCCTTCTCCACTTCATGTTGCATAGCAAGGCAGATGCTTTCCATTTTTCACAAACACCAATTCATCATGATACTGATACCATGGATAAAAATCAGACAACTATGGATTTGAATCAGATACTAATGTGGACAAGGAAATACACAGGCACTAAGTCATATAACCATATCTGTTTGAATTGATAAAGGATACAAATCATATGTATATTAGGTGAATATAGATTTGGGTGCCATATAAATCAAGAAGGATCAGTATCAACAAATAGTTGAGAAGTTAATTCGTTTCTAGGAATCCAATGAGCTTGATCACACAGGAAGCTGATCTAGAAACCATATTAATGTAGTCACTAAGAAGAAGAACATTGTGCATAAAATAAGAGAAGAGGACTCATAAACAATGAGTCCCAACTCCTATAAATTGTGATCACCACCATCCTACTCCAAATCGTCAATCACCAAGCCATCCATACCACTTGTGCACTTGGAAGATTTCCCAAGCCACCAGAAGCCATCCATGGATTCATCCAACAAGACCAACAAGATCACAGAAGTCGTCAGGCTGCAACAGATGCTGAAGAAGTGGAAGAAGCTCGCAGCTGCACCGAAGAGTAACAGCAAGAGCATCAAGTTCCTGAAGAGGACTCTCTCCGTCTCCGACACCTCTGCGGCGCACTCGGGCGACATTCCCAAGGGATGCTTGGCGGTGTGCGTGGGAGAGGAGATGCAGAGATTTGTGATCCCGACGGAGTACTTGAGCCACAGGGCCTTTGCCATTCTGCTGAGGGAAGCAGAAGAGGAGTTCGGGTTCGAGCAGGAAGGTGTGCTGAGGATTCCCTGCGAGGTTTCTGTGTTCGAGAGCATACTGCAGACGGTGGAGACCAACTACTGTTGATCCGAGCCAGTGTGCGGAGATAAGCATGTAGCTGCAGGCGTGGGATGACACTTCTCCCCCCCACAATCTATGTTCTTATCTTTCCTTTCCATGTTCATGTGAGGATCAAATGCTAGGTTGGGTCAAGCTACTGTGTCAACTTGCAAATTAGCTGTAGGAGACTGTAGGCCTGTTTGATGATTAATGAAACTTGGCTGCTTCACCCTAATGTTTCTCTTTCATTCAACAATCACAGGATGCAGAACAAGAACAAGTAGTGAGGATAATCTCCTCAACTAATGCTTCTAATCTTCCTCGTCTTCTTATTCATGTGAAGATCTGCATGTATAGGAGAGAACAACAGTTTGGAGAGATGTCTACTGCATTAATCTATCATCGAAGATCAAATGTCTGCATGTTAACTGATTGCTTCACCTCTCAAAGTTCACTCTTGCTGAGGATCAAACCTGAATTCCTGCTTTATGATAGCATGATCACGTCAAATCATGCATCCAATGATCTTAGTGTTGCCACATTGCCAACGGTGTCTGAAATAGCTGAGAGTGAATGATGTGAAACTGGATTCCTGCAGAAGAAGAACAGAGTCCATGGCGGCCTGATGTAGTGAGAAGGAAACAGCAGCAGCAGCAGCAGCAGCCGACCTCCGATGCAATGTAGGTAGAGTGAGTCACCCCTGAAAACCCTGAGAGGTCCAGCGGTCTGCTGTAGTGAGAGGAAACAGCATCAGACCACCTACAATTTAGTATAGGTGGAGTGAGTCACCCCTGAAAATCCTAAGAGGTCCAGCGGTCTGCCGTAGTGAGAAGCAGCCTACCTGCAATGCGATGTAGGTGGAGTGCGTCACCCCTGCAAACCCTAAGAGGTCGAGTGGGGCCCACGTGCATCAACTCCGTGGCAGACCACATTACCCATGAATCTTTTCAGGTGCGATCCGGTAAGACTTGGTTTGTCTTCACCGACGTTAAAAAAACATAATCATAGTTAACACTCCTATTAGTTTCACGTCCAAAATAGATAATATCAAGATTGATTTATAAAAGTTTGATGAGTATAATATTATAAATTTTTACTTAAATATTTTGAAATAATAATTTCGGTTCAACAAAGTTAACATGTCAATAATCTCATCTCAATCGTGACACTATAATTATAATCGGACTAATTATATATTATCCTATGTAGTTAGACCTCCTTAACATTCAAATTCCTAAACTTAAAAAATTTATATTGGAATCTCAACTATAAAAGTGAAACATTTAGCTCCATTTACCCTAATATTATCGGTTTTATTGAAAAAAAACATAAAAATATTAGGCAAAAATATAATTTTAATATTTTATTTGATGATGACAGACAATGTTGTCATGAGTAGCCATAGGGGAGCAACAACGAGAGGGCCGCTATGCATCTGCGTTAGTGTCAATACAGTTACCATGAAAGGGTCGCTCGACATCTTCATCAGCGACCTTTCACTATTTAGCAAGTACATCGACGCTGATGTAGATATAGAGTGATGAAAGGATCGCTCGAATAGCTATTGTGGATGAGAAGAGTGACAATGAGAGGTGAGGATTACTCTGCATCTGCGTTGATGTCAACGCAATTGCCGAGTTATCACGGACTTAGCTGGATTTGCCTAAGTCGTGCGATACCCTTGCATGTTCGTCCGCAAAGATCAGCCTCCCCGAAACCTCCCATAGTCTCTTAGGACCTACAAAAGAGAAAACGGGTTAGAGAAAGCGCTTTACTCGGGATCCACAAGTAAACATTTCCGAAAACACTTCATAGACAATGCAAATTATAAACAGACTTTATAAGCTCTAAACGGTTGCACAACAAAGGGTCAAAATGGTCCACTATAGATCGAATATCTCTCATAAGTGTCCATAAGACACAACCTTTATTTACAAGCTTAAGAATGCCACCAAACCCAACTAAAATGGGGTTGTTAAGCCTTCGATCATTCTTCTACATATTGTGCAAAGCATGAACAAACAGAAAGACACGAACATACATAAGTATTACATTAAATATCCTGTTTAGAAATTTGTCCGTAACAGAGTGGCCCTTTCGCCACTCGGCATTTGCATCGATGATCTTTTCGTTACTCGGTAACTGTATCGACACCGACGTAAATATAGAGTAACGAAAGGGCCACTCGAGTGGTTGTTATGAATGAGGTGAGGACCTCTTTGTATTTGCGTCGATGTCGACGCAGTTGTCAAGTGTCCCTTTCATCGTTCGATAAATTCATCGATGCTAACGCAAATGCAAAGTGACGAAAGGGTCGTTCACGTGGTTATTGTGGATAAGGAGAGAGATGGTGAGAGGTGAGGGTTATTCTGCATTTGCGTCGATGCCGACATAGTTGCTAAGCAGCCCTTTCACCACTCTATATTTGTATCGACATCGACATAGTTGTCAAGCGACAAAAAGGTTAATAGACATTTACATCAGTGGCCCTTTTCGTTGCTCAGCAACTACGTCCTTTGACGCAAATGTAGAGCAACGAAACAACAATTCGGTAACTGCATCAACATTGACATAGATAGAAAGCGACAAAAGGGCTAGTCGATAACTACATTAGCGTCGACGCAGATGTAGAGTGACCCTCACCTCTCGTCGTCACTCTCTTCATCTACAATAGTCACTCGTGGCCCCCCACAACCCCTAGCGACATTGTCGTCCGCTTCCACCGATGTTATCTGTCACCATTAACTAGAACATTAAAATTATCTTTTTACTTATTAATTTTATTAGTAAAACCAATGACATTAAGATAAATGAAGTTACGTGTTTCACTTTCGTAACTATAAAAATTATAATATAAATTTTTTAAGTCTAAAATTTATGATGCTATGAACATCTACTTTACTTATATACAAGGTAATTTGTAATTAACCCACTATAATCCTTCATTCATAATAGCAATACTAATAGTTTCCTGTGAATCTACCTTGAATAAGATCAAAGTCAACGTGGTAGAAGATTAGCAGAAAGATACCGTGACATTCAAGTCCGGAACATGCAACCTACTCGAAAACCTCAGCCAAATAAGCTGTTGACTTACAAGAGGCTTAGGTCAAGTATGTCCCACATTCTCCCCGTACTTGTGCTTCGAAGACTATGTCAGCATACCTAATCTGGATGAGGATAAATTCCAACTTCTTGTGAATCTAAAACTCTAATAAATCATATACATTTTTTGTGTCTGTTTAAGTGAATATAGTACTTGCAATAATGCACCAAGTTGCTACATAGTCATCCATAGTTGAAAAGAACTTGGCCGAGAACAATCATTTGACGTCGCAGAAAGATCCAATGCTCATATTAAGGTCAGACCGACCTACAGATCGCATCACCATCATCTAAAATTGAGGCAAATTATCTTATACCAAGTCCACCACGGTTGCTAAGTAGGATGGATTTTGCAAAGGATGAGACCTTTGGCAATCTCAATCAAAAGTCAACCCTTTGACTTCCCTGCAGCATGTGACATGGTTACACAGCTTCATGGAAGGTCGGAGATTCAACCATTGGGAAGACGACGAGGTAGGCTCATCAAGATAGAATATAAGAAGCGTGAATGGAGAGAGATTTGGAGTAGGCAGGTAGATTGAGGTATTAGCTTGGTTGGATTTGGTGCTCTTGTCCTTCTTGGATGGCCATGTTTGTGCCTGCAAGCACGAAGAGGAAAGACTTGGAGGTCGTCTACGACCGCCAACCCGATTTGTCGCTCTTTTCTGAGACTAAAAGGATCAAAATAAGTCTGGTAATCACAAGATTCTTCCTCCTCATATCCTTCTCGGCTGAGAATTCCTTTTCTTGTTTCCGCAATGATTTCTTGCGGTTTACATAGAAGACTCGAGCGTTCATGTTTCTCACTGGTGTTACTACTGGTTGCAAGGACGGCAAGCCGCCGCTAATCCTCGAAGAAGAAGTGGCGATGAGTTCTCCGGCGTTCGAGGCGCAGCTGCAGGTGGATGGACTGCCACAGGGTGTGCTGCCAAGTGTCCGCAGTTCTATTTCTGATTCCTGTACTAACATGGTCGAGGTTTCTGACAGAGAATCGAAACCTGGTGATGACATTACCGGTGGATGAAATGGCAATTGATGGTGAGGTAGCCACAGCTACGATTGCTTCCTCCCTTGACCCCACAGAGAACCATGAAAGAGAAGAGACTGGAGCTGAGGAACCGATGGAAGTCGAAGAACAAGAGGGTCTTCTTCAGCGACCGGGAAGAACAGATCCCGTCATTTGGTCAGGTTGTAAGGAACGAACATGGTTTCTCCGTCCGTAATTGCTTCCAGATCGTTGGTCGCTTACTTTTTTTTCCTTCTTGTTCTCGAATGGAGACAGCAGGATTCTTTTGAGGAAGGACCAGTTTGCCCAGCTGATGCAAAGTTGCACTGTATGGGGAGTGACTAGGAGGCTGTACAGCTACTAGAAACGGTTTCGTCTCGTCTCGTTAATTCTATTTGTCATGATAAACTCGTGTGATTTTGGTGACTTGTCAATGAATGGACGAGCTCGTTTAAAGCTAAAGCTGCATACAAAGTTGCAGAAGAATAGATCATATGTAGTTAAGTTGGATCATTAAAAGACAGGCACAGCAGTATAACCTCATTACCGTAGCCAAACTGCCTGTGGACTACAGATGCAACAAGAACAAAAATTCAATCATGCAAACAAGGCATAGGACTACTACCCATTGGATCGATACCAATTAAACTAGAAGGGATCGAAAAATGTAAAATCTTGAGACTTCCAAGTGTCATGATAGCAGAATTTAAGTTTAAAACGGAATTAAGCTTAAAATGTTGTCCGGCATTGCCCCGATGACTGATAATTGTAACCTTGATTCCTTGCACTAACAAATCTCACAACACGAGGGGAAAAAAAATTTACGATGACACGACAAGACGACAAGAAACGGAAAAGTTTGATTTGCCTCCCAGCAATGAGCCACCCCACTGGCGTTCCTTCTTGCATGGGGTAAGTCAGTCATCATCCAGAATACTCGAAAGGTTGTGGGGGCTGAGGCTCCTCATCTACTGCCATTGCAGAAGACCCTGATCCCTGCTGACCGGTTGTGGCCGTTGCAGCACCCCCAACGTTGGATGGCAAGGTCGTTGGAGCATCAGAAAGTGTGAGTACCTCAACTTCGGTTGGCTGTAGATCCTTGAGAAGCACAAAACCAGAGGGTGCTAACTTAACAGGGACATATCTACTTTCCTCCAAAAATCTGATGTACTTTTCTTGTGCAGGGACAACCCTGGCTGGATTCGTCAGAACTTCATAAGACGGTTCAGGCTCCACCTTCTTTTCCGAAGCACTATCCACCTGAAGAAAAACAAAATCATGATGTGAAGTTTTTAAAACTCAAATAAATTACGGATGAGAAGTTTAAGATCAGCAAATATTTCGGACCTCTACTGAGCAAGGAATGAGATAATTTGTCTTCCCATGGCCTCACATGAATTCTCAAAAAGATCTCCAAATAAAAGTCAAACATTTAACAATAGCGTATTCTAACAGTAGCCTACTTTTTGAGACTTTGCTGTAAGTTGTTCAAATATGCACCAAAGGGATGTACCCATTTTAGAAGTCAAAGAAGTCCCAAGACCCAAAAAGTTTAAAGACCCAAGTTTAAAGAAGTCCCAAGACCCAAAAAAAAGCCTTCTGTTGTCTCCTTTCAAGAGACCCTAAGTTGGCAGTTGAAGTTTACGAGACTCCAAGAGAATGTGACATCTATACACTATCTCAACAGGATATGAAAAGACAACAATATTTAATTGTATGTAAACATAATATAACTCGACAAGCAATCATGAAAATTCACCTGCATTGCATCAGTATCCTTCTCAGAAGATTTATTCGTCTTTCCAGAAGTTGAACCACTAGATGTATCATCACTCGATGGCTTCTCCAAAGCAGCTTTATGTTCAGCATCCTTTTTAGCTTTAGACTTTGCTTTTGCAGCTGTTGACAAAACAGCGGTGGGCATCTTGATAGCTGAAGTCGAAGTGGGAGGTGCGGTTGGGCGGGGGTATTCAAATAGGGAAGGCTTTGCATTTGATAAGAACTCAAATTTTGGAACTTTCAGATCATAGTTAAGTCCAATAAAGGCAGTTGGGGAGAACGCGAGGCTTATAAAATAGAGAAGGGGATACCAATACCAGAACTGGCTGAAAACTGCAAGCCCAACAACAGCTGTGATTTTATCATGCTTAGTTTTAGAAAGCAGTTTAATAGTTACATTCCTTCCACCAGCATCAAGAATTCCAGAAGCCAATATAGCACCCATCTTGCTCATCGTATCTTCATGCTTATCAAGAATTATCTTCTCTAATTGCCGCCTACATAAATCAAGCAGATTAAGTACAGCAAAGCAGCTATTATCTACTTCATACCGACATTAGACTGGAGTACATATATATACCTGAAAGTCCCAACACGAGAGTCACAGGATTCATTAGTCTGGATCATAACCATAGCCATAGCTATGAGGGCTCCTTGGCGAACAAAATCCACGACATCAGACGTCAATGGCTCTAGCAAAGAAATGGCATCGCTTAAACCAGTACCAGCGCAGGAAATGCCAACTGCTAGAGCTGCACCATATCGGACATGTGGGTTGTAAGACTCTGATAGCAGGGAAACAATTCTTGGGGTCTGCAGGGATGTAATGATAGCCAATTTTAATGACTAGATTATAACCAAGAAAACTAGAAATATTTCATAGTTGTCAAGTTGTCAACTATGAGTAAATCGTTATTGATATTGCAGAACTGGCTACTAATCAATACAACTATAATGCCCTACAAAAAATACTTTGGTAATGAGAAGGGGGAAAACAGAGGGTATTTTTAAATCATAGGTACGTAAAAGAACTTGAACTAATGGATATTCCTCTCTGCTATCAAAGTACAAGATTTCAAGAAACCTTCACGAAATTAAATTCATGTGGCTAGTGCATAATAACTTCTATTTCATATCTTAGGAATATATTAAATAAACAAGATATCAGTAAAAACAAGTAATAGAAACTAACCTGTTCAGGTTCAGAATATAGGACAAATCCAAGGGCTAGAACAGCTGTCCTGCGAACATCATCACTTACATCCGACACAGCAAAATGAAGCAACTGATGGATGGCCTTGTTGTTTGATGTCCCCCTATAACCTAAAGCCAAAGCATACATGCCACCATAACGGATAATAGGATCTTGATCTCTAGTCATTTGCTCAATCAATGTATCAGCCTGTTCTTCCCTTCCATATACTGTCAATGCAATTCCAAGAGCTAAGCCCCTGAAAAAAAAAAACACATATACAAACTGCAACCAGTAAATATTGTGCAATATAATAGAAATTGCAGATGTGCCAAAATTGTGACTAAAAAGCACAGAGAATTACATACTTAGCCAAATTGAAGATTATCATTCTCCAAAGTAAAAACAGAGAGATATAGTTTATGCTACCATATCCCATGCTTGATGCCAATTATGCAAAACCAAACTTACCTTATGATCTTTTCATGCTGTGTATCATGTGCATATGCAAGCATCTCAGTTGCCTTCTCACTTGCAGTCCCAACCATAAGTAGTCCCATGCTAATGCCAGCAGCTTCACCAGCCACAGCACTATCTGTATAAAGTACATTTTTGACATCTTCAAATATTACTTCATCTGCTGTTCCTAAGGCTGCCAACCCCAATCCCAAGCATGCACCATGCTGGATGACCTGTAAATATATATCGACATATCAAATACATCAGGGTTAAAAAATTTGAGACCTATATTGGTGAACCTCAAAACTGAGGTGGTCCCAAGAGTCTTATCGGAAAAGAAAGAGCACCTCAGCATTAGTATTCCGCAGGCTTTCACGGAGAAATTGCTTTATGCCTTCTCCATGGTTGGCATGAATTAACCCAAGAGCATAAAGGGCACCACCTTCTGAGTAAGGGCTGCCTCCACCAACAGCACCAGTTTGAGGGAGATAAGGTGCCATGAGAGACCTGCCTTGCTGCAGATGGCCTCCATGGATGACTCCTAGTCCGGCTGTAGCACTGAACTTAGCCCAGTTCGTTGCCCTACTAAGCCATTCCTGTCAAGTAACAAAAAGTGGTAAAGCAATATGGACAAAAAAAAAAGGAAATGTAACTGGCCAACAATGATTTACAATCCTACTGAATTTGTATGAAACAATAAGATGGTATCAGTAAACATAGATCAGTTTGCAGAAGAATAGGAACTTCATTGGTAAACATAAAATTGTAATCATACCAGGTTTTCTCTAAGAAAGGTATCCACAGTTGTTCCAGCATGCATTATTGCATTGGCGCATATTGTTGCACTGTGGCAGACACTATTTCTCATTTCCACAGACTGCTTTATCGTCTTAAGAATCAAAAGGTCCGACCTAACATTGTGAGACAATAGAATCAAAGATGTCATGCATGAATGCTAAGAAACAAGAGTACACATCAAGCCTTGTGAACGATGGAAGTTCTTATGCCTCACCTATTGTGACTATATAAAAATTGTAGAGTCAACTGTATTGAAGTCTCTCCTGATAAAATTCCTTTTATCTTTGCAAGTCTCTCATTATATGCACCATCAGTTTGATTGATATCTTGTGAAGTCCCATTGGCAGTATGAGATTCTTCTGTCATGTGAACATCCTCAGATGCAGCAACTGCATTGTCAGCAGTGGCATTCCCGTTCTCTGAAGTTGGTGCACTAGACCCTTGTTCAGGGTTCACATGATCTACAGCTTGGGATTTCGAGCCAGCCAAACGACTTTTCAGATTTAATAGAAAGGCTTGGTGTTCGTTTTCCTCAAGATCAAAAGCAATCTGAAATGCAAGAAGTGCATCATCCTACAAACAACAAAACATAGCAATACATCAGCATTGGAACAAAGCTCAAACAAAATGACAAAGCTAAGTACCTTGCTCCCAGATAGTAGCTTCTCCAAAATGGTCGCAACAGTGTCAGGTTCATTCAAAAACATGAGACATTGGCAAATGCTTAGATAATCAGGAGAAGGCAACCTTTGATATATTTTAACAAGCAGACGGAGAACCTGCGACAACAACACAAAATCAATCAGGGATCCATCACACATTACTTTGAGCAGTGCATTATCATGCAAACTTTAAACCAGATGTGGAGACTAAATAGCCAATACATCAAAGATTGTGTTCAGGAAAAACCAATCATGAGCTACAAACTGGAGTTTCAGCTTTATCTATGTCAACACAAGTGTTCGTATAAGCACAAATATTTACAACAATATGCACATGAATGCACAAGGTGAAATGCAGCTTATGAGATTACACTAAGAATTTCAACGTCCTTCATGCCAAACAGGTCTAACAAAATTAAATGGCTGTTGACCATATAAAAAAGCCTCAACAAAATCCCACCTGACAGAGACACCCGCCACAACTGCAAATGCCACTACCACCACCAAGCTATCATCGTCATCATTACTATAGTAATCACCATGAACACACCACACACCCCCACCCACAATCATGAATCCCCTTCCTATGCCTTCTAGGTTCAATTATAGCATTATGAGGATATCTAACAGCCTCAGCCCACCTATGTGAATGATAAGGACCACAAATATTTGAAATTGTTTCTCTCCTCTTTCATTTCCTCTAAATCATTACATAGCTGGAATCCATATTTATATAATTGAAGTTAACAATGTTCTATCCAATATTGATTTCATGTAAAAACCTCTAAAATATTTAAATAATGGTTCAATATCAATCGGTTCAAAGTACAAGTTAGACTGATATGTATTTTAGTAGTCTGGTCAAGAACTAGCAATGGACCATATGGCTTAGTATTATTCACTATACTGCTTTTTTTATCTAGTGATTTCATGTGGTACGGGTCAGTAAACCTTTGGTATCTTGATACCATTACCATGTTGGTCCAACAAGTTGCCAAAGAAACTATTGGGCCAGTTTTTAAAACCTTTGTTTGAATTGTACACACTTGTCTTTTTTACCATCAATTTTAGTTAGTGGACGAAGGTGACTGGTAGGTATACAAAAGATAATACCTTGACCTTAGTTTTATCAACCCTTTCCCATTGCATTTACACCATTTTGCATGAATGATGGATCAATGTGCATCACTTTACACCACCAAAAATTATGGAGACTCGTACAAATTAGCATTTTGCATTTCCCATTCCATCCATAGCTTTTATGTCTCTAGTTTATTACTTGAATGGCCAAATCTACATCTAAATGCAGCTTAACACGAAAGGATTCAGAACTAAAACTGAAGAAAAGAAGTTTGACACAATATATTAATGTCCTAAGCAAATATCCTTCCAAACCTATAGATACCCATAACAGTAAGAAAAAACACAAAACTCTGCCATAACAATTCTGAGCCCCTTATAAAATATGCTTTACTCTAAAAGATCACTAACATCTGCTGCACATTGACAAGTGAAATAAGTTACTTAGCTCTAGAGACCTGTATGGCCTAGTCATCAATGTTCTCCAACCAAGATTATATTATTCCATTGCCATCTTATCCAATCATAAAATGAAACAATTTTCTCACCTCTCAGCATATAAAGCATAGTGACTATCTAATAAATGAACACCATCTCAACTAATGGGGAACACTCTGGGTTGAAATTGTCATTCATGATCATGTACAATTAACACCTAGTTACAATTTCTTCTTGTTCTATCAACATATTTGTCAGTTACTATAGCATCATTTTAACGATGGGTATGAATGAAGCACCAAGACAAGTTAGCACACATAAAATTAAGAAAAGACTATATTTACAAAATTAATTTTACCTCACAACGATATTCTCTGTGATTAACGAAAGAATGTGAAAGAGTGATGCAGTACGAAAGTGCACCATGAACATTATCGCTATGAGTAATAGCTTCCTCAAGCTTATCCAGTCTCCTACACTCAATGGCCATTCCCATGGCTTGCTGATATTTTCCATCCAAAATGCACCTGCATCAAGAAGAAACCACATTTACATGTCCCATTAAATAGCAAAAAGATGCAAATAAGGTACACAAAGTATCCTTGCATACTTGTCTAGCATCCTTTCCACTATAGCTTCCAACCTAGGATCCATCTTTGACTCCTCTTCACTTGATTTTGCTGCTTTAGACCTGAGGCTGGCATATTCGTCTAGCGCTTTGGCTAAAACAAGCATAAAAAATATACATTAGAGCTCACAAACATGCAAAAGAAACGTGAATCACTGCAGACTGATTTTTTTACCTAAGAGAGTATGAGCATAATCTGTGTCTTCTGATACATCAAACAGGGGTCCAGCACCAAGTGCATAAGATAATGAGTCATTAAGTTCTCCAAGGTAGTAGAACACCTGCATAGAAAACACAAGCAAGAGCGTGAGGCAAACACTCCATTGATAAGTGCCACAAATCAAGGCGCACATCAAACGATCAAATTAGAGAAAGAGGGAAAGAAGCATAACCTTGGACACCACCAATGCAGCAAGTTGCCTCTGATCAAACTCCTCATCTTCATATAAACTTTCACTGCAACCGACAGATTTAACTCGGTAAAGCTGAGTACATACTCAAGTGCAAAAATAATCTTTATCAGGTCTACAACAGAACAATATCAAGTAGGTTTGCCCAAAATTTCCCTGGTCTGACATAGAACGGCGTGATCTGACAAGTGAAGGGGTGAACCATGCAATCATACCTGAAATCAGCTGCCAAAACGTTGCCAATACCACACAAACCCTAATTCTATAATAGGACCATGTGATAGCAAGTGATCAAGTTTTCCAACGATCCCAAGATCGTCGATCCTAACCCCCAACCCCACAAATATTCTTAAGGTTCACCATACCTAAGAAACAAAATTCGACGGAAAAGCAGAAATCCTGGCATGAAACCCCCCAAATCATGAACTCATCGCAAAGCCCTAACCCCAAAACCTAGGAGGCAAAAGGACAAGAAATCAGGAACAAACGGGGAACGGGGAGGGAAAAATATGGGGGCGCTGGAGGGCTCACATGGTCGGGACGCTGGTGGAGATCTCGGGCCAGAAGAGGTGGACGAGGGAGTTAAGCTTGTCGAGGGCGTGAAGCTTCAGCGCCGGGTGCGGCTCGTGGAGCATCGCAATAAGGCCACTCGCCGAACTTACCACCGCCATCTCAGGCTTCTTCCGCCGCTCAACGCCCGTTGCTTCTACGATCGCCGCCCCAAGAGAAAGGATTGGGAGGGGGAGAGAGAGAGATGAGTGCGCCTTCTCCCCTTACTTGGAGACTCTGCAACCTAATAAAAAGGAGGAGCGGTGGTGATTATATATATGTATATACGGATTCGATACGTCAATTCATGTTTCAACGGGTCCGAACCCGACCCGATTTAACCAAAACCGCTTTACTGATCCGACCCGATTTAACCAAAACCGCTTTGCTGATCCGACCCGCGAACTTAACCGATCCCTACCCCGATCTCCGTCGCTCTTCCCCCAACGAGACGACGACTGGATCTCCGTCGGTCTTCCCCCAACGAGAACGAGACGACGACTGGCTCTCGTCGTCGCCCGACCGCGGTGCCGAACGGTAAGCATCTTTCGCATCCCTTCCCCCGTTCTCTATTTCTTTCATATTCGGTGATCTTTTAGCCTCGACTGATCTCGTTTGTCTCTCGTATTGATCTTTGTGTTCCCATTTTGTTATTTCCGGTCGACAAGATGAGGTTTTTCTTTGATTTTGAGGGTTTTCTACGATTTCTACGTGATTTCGGTTCTCTCGGACCCCTAATGAAATGGGTTACCGAATATGAGGATGTTGTTGTGGTGATTGATCCCAATTTCTTTTGGACTGCATCAAATTCAGTCATTTACTACTTTGAAAAAAATGTCAAGAAAAAAAAATATATATATAATTCTAATTATTCACTAATATTTTTAGAAGATGCCAAGAATGATCATATCAATAATTTATTACAATTTTTACATTGGTATATACGGATGGTTGATTTTTCGCTTTATTATATTACCATATATATGGAGATTATACTTTTCCTCTTTTGTCTTTTGGAATATAATTATATATCACAAGACATATGGAGATTTTTTGTATTCCATTATCATCTACGTTAGCATTATTATGTTCGAAAGATGTCAAGAATGACCATATCAATAATTCATTATCATTTGCACAAATTACAGTGAAGTCGGTGGACTTCGGGAGCTACTAGGCGACGGACTATCCTAGAACGGTGCTTCATCTAGGTGTGACCCAAGAGTGGGTGGATGAAGGTCGATTGCCAAAGGAGCGAACAAAATCGAAGGTGGAAGAGACCCTGCGATGTATTGGCAGAGGCCACATATTGAGGGTTCACAATTCGAGTTCATCTCATAAGGATCAAAATGCAATAGAGATGACACCAGGAGGCGACATGGTGCAGCGGATCGTGGTGAAACAGTTCGTGACAATGCGATACACACGACATAGTCCTGTGAGGGATAATGACATATTAAGAAAAATACATATGTTTGATTTCATTTTATTATACTATCATTATATGTAAATATTTTTTTATTTTTATAATTAGGAAAGATCATCATAAATTACAAGACATATTGATATCAAATACTTTTTATCGCTATACCTTTTGTTATTCATCTACTACATTATGTCTAATTTTTATATTCTACTACATTGGTATATTAAGAAGAATATTGATGGTTGATTTTTTACTTTATTATATTACCATATATATGGAGATAATACTTTTCCTCTATTGTCTTATGGAATATAATTATATATCACGAGACATATGGAGATTTTTATATTCCGCCATCATCTACATTATCATTATTATGTTTAAAAGATGTCAAGAATGACCATATCAATAATTTATTATCATTTTCATAATGACATATTAAGAAAAATGTATATGTTTGATTTTAGTCTTATTATACTATCATGTAAATATTTTTTTATTTTTATAATTATGAAATATCATCTTAAATTACAAGACATATCAAAATTTTTATATTACACTATCATATACTTTATTGCTATACCTTTTGTCAGAAGTGACATCAGAAATGGATGGTTGATCATACTGTATGTATGAATAGCTTCAGGCATGCCTGTCACACTTTTTACTACTCAATAATAACTCAGCAGCACACTCAAAAGTACGCCCTCCGCAAGCATCTGAAGTAAATCATCAAAGACAGGCATCCAGGTTGATGGATCTGAAAGATGATGTGATGCAATTTCATCGAGCAAAGGGAAAACAAAACAAATAAAAGATGGATGTTGGTGAACAAAGATAACAGAGCACTTAATTGATAACGTGTTTGATCAATATACCACATGAAGAGGTGAGGCAGGAAAATTGGAACAAAAAGACTCTTGTTCATCTTCATCCTCGTCACAGATTCCAGATCTAGTGAGTAATATGGAGGAAGATGCTACACTACTGGAAGACATTGCTAGCTACTTTTTATCGCAGATACCATGGCTGGCTTTCAGACATCTTTAGGAGTTGGTGATGAACCAACGCCGTTGCTGCTGCTAGTTTTATCTGTTGATATGCCTACATTACTTGTTTCTCCTTTGAACTTGACAACCTGAACAAAGCGCTTCGAGATCCTGTTTCGGGTGGTGGTCCGCGTCTCCTGCTGGCGAGCCTTCCTTCGCCTTAAGGCAGCCTCCCGCTTGTCGTAGAACTCAAAAGCATCAAGGATTGATTCCTTGTACTCGTGCGTCTTGAAAATGCTTAGCATCTCCAAACCCTGCTCCAACTTCACCTGCAGGTTATTGCACAGAATGACAAATCAACGTCCCAGGTAAGTCATCTGCTCGAGTATACTAGTTGCAATAACTCTTGGATGATCAATAAACTACGTTAACAAAAGCAGATCAACCGCATCCAGTGGAATTAATGCTTCACAAGTGATTGAGAGCAAGGATTGTATAGAAAGTAACGCTGAATAAAACAGTTGAAATTATAGTTGGAAATTTTATCTCCAGAATAAAGAATAAAGTTGCTAAATTTGGGTTGGTCCCAAGCAAACAAATAAAGAATTAAATGATAAGACAAACAAACTGGATGAAAGTTGTAGAAGGAAAAAAATCCAAGAAAGCAAGCAAAGGAGAGTACATTCAGTGCAATAATAAAGAAAAGACGAAAAGAAAACATTCGAGTGTGTCTTCATGGAGAAATTTGAAACACACATCTATGAACATGCATATAGACATTCACTGAAGTAATAATAGATCAGATAAACTACTTTTTGTCTTAGCCCCTCTTAACAAGTTAAGAAGGCATCTTAGTTTGGCAAGGAAAATATTAGTTTCGATAAGATGGATGATGAGAGGTGAGTAGTCATGATATACCTCCTGGGTGTCCCTGCTGTTGGTTACAGGCTTATTATCATTGTTCTCGAGAATAATATGACGAAACCTAAAACTGGGAACATCTTTCACAATATGCCACTTGACCGGGAATTGACCAGTCCATTTGTCCTTGTTCCAATAATCCACACTCTTTTCAAAATCAACAGGCCCAATCATCTCAGCTACACCACAAAAACGTCCACTTGCATTCACCTGCACATGATTGTCAGCAATTTATAGAAAATCTATGTGAATATGCCCCAGTAAGAAGAGTAACAATAAAACACAAAAACAGTGTTAAACTTCCAACATTGTATAATTCAATACCCAAAACTTTTAAAAGCATGCTTAAAAATAATGAGTTACCGAGAAAAATAAGAAAATGGGGGAGGAATGTCCTTTCTTTTGTGCTTCTATATAAGCAGAATTTAACTTTTTGTTCCCAGCAGATGTGCTGGACCAAACACCATATTTGATGCTCTTATGAACATTGGCCTCACTGTAAGATTTTATTATGAAAATTTTGCCATCATCGTACTCCGTAACAAACTCCGGGCTATTGTATAATTTACGATCAACCCCTAGGGAGCAGTTGGCACCACCACTCTCAGCTACTGAATGCTGTTGGATCGCTCGATTATTTGATCTGTTGGTCCATGGCCGTCGGCTTTGCCTCCTAAGAAACCCATGAGTGCCATTAGAACGACCGAATGAAGCATTTCCCCTTTCTCGAATTGTGTTGTTGTTCTCTGTGCTGGGATAGGACACTCCCTGTGCAGAAGCAGCTGGTGATGTTTAACAATGATGAGGGGAAAAAACTGATGGCCTGAAAATGAGAGGTGATAGTGAGGAGTAAACCTGAACATTTCCACCAACATAAGCGGGCATTGCACTGGGATAATAGGGTCCATTAGGCATATATTGACCATACCCATTTCCAGCATTGAATACCAGTGGGTGTTCCTCACTGTAGGCAGCCTTAAAAAACCAAGTAGTTGAATACTATAAAACTGAAACGGAGAAGTAAAACATTCATACAGGAAATTGAATAGCAGATATTCACACATACAGCGGATCCAGACATTTGTGCCTGAGGGTTATACATGCTGATCGGATACGAAGCACCCACGTTTCCAACTGCAATGGCACCTTCAATGCCAACGTGTTGAGTGTCAGTTCCACTCACATTTCCGACTGCATTGGTACCTTCAATGCCAACATGTTGAGTGTATGTTACAAACGTACCTGATGGATTCCCATATCCTACGGAGGAAGATATAATTACCCAATCTCAGAATCAAAATCAACAAACTATGATATTAAATAGTAAAGCACAACAAGGAAACTGACATAATAAAATAGTCGATACTGTTTATCCTCTTGACTAATTATTGTGTTTTCATTTTAAATTAGAAAAATAGTAGTACAAAAACATTTTAAATTAGAAAAATAGTAGTACAAAAACATGCATACCTATTTGGGAAGGAAGAAAGAGAGAGAGAGAGCGAGAGAGAGAGAGAGAGAGAGAGAGAGAGAGAGAGATCTTTGGTAGTAGGACTAAAAGGACAAGAACAATAAAGTAGAAGCAATTATAAAGCAATGTTCCAAACTATATGAATTCAGTTCCATGCTTTTCTTTGTGTCCTTCAGGTTTGTTTAGGGCAATATCCTCAGAATAGTGATGCTAAAACATGTAATATGATGGTATCGGTGTTCATATTTGTGATTATGTGTCACACACATAACACAATACTTCTCCCTACAAAGATTTAACACTATAGACTAAGGTTCTCAAGACAAACACATCTTCTCAAGAGGTGCGCATATACCATCGCATTATGTAGGGTACAAACTAAAAAGTACAACGAAACATCAACAAACAGAATTTAGATTTAAAAAGAAAAAGTTCAGTGCACAATGTGGAGTATGTTCAACTTGTAGTCTCCAACATAAAGAAACAAATAATCATCTAATGATTATGCTAATCAGGCATTTTAGTTTGACTATGTTTTACAAAAAGAAGAAAGCTCCGCAAACCTCAGCTGAAATATGTTACTCATGGAACAAGTTTTTGTTAGGAAAATCTTAAAATACATACCTCCATAATAGAACGATTGTGCCTGAGAGTTATCCATGTTGGCAGGAAAAGAAGCACCCACGTTTCCAACTGCATCAGCACCTTCAGTGCCTTCATTCCAAGAAGAAGAGAAATGAAATAATAGTAAAAATGGCATAGCCTAATTATTAATTATTGTGTTTTCATTTTAGATTAGAAAAATAGTAGTGCAATAACATGCAAATGCATTCAGGGAGCAAGAAAAAGAGAGAGATAGGTCTTAGGTAGTAGGAAAATAAGGAGAACAATAAAGTAAACGTAGTGATAAAGCAATATTCCAATTCAGTTAGATGTTTTTCTGTGTCCTTCAGGTTTGTTTAGGACAAAATCCTCAGAATAGTGATGCTACAACATGTATGATGATGGTATTGGTGTTTATATTTGTGATTATGGTTCACATACATAACACAATACTTCTCTCTAGGCATAGGACCAACTGATAGAAAAATATAACATTATGTGCATATATGCAGAATCAAATCAGTGTCATACAAACAACATATTTAAAATATACATTGTGCCACTTCAAACATGCAGAATAGTTTTTTATATGCTTTCTACAAAGACTTAACACTATAGACTAAGGTCCTCAAGACAAACGCATCTTCTCAAGAGTTGCACTTGTATCATTCCATTTTGCAGGGTCAAAAGTACCACGAAACATCAATGAACAAAATTTAGATTTAAAAAGCATGAGTTCAATGCACAATATGGAGTATGTTCAACTCACAGTATCCAACATAAAGATACAGGTAATCAGCTAATGATTATCTTAATCAGGCATCGTAGTTTGACGATGTTTTCCAAAATGAAGAAAGCTCTCATGTAACATGTTTTTGTTAAGAAAATCTTGAAATACATACTAACCTCCATAATAGTACGGTTGTGCCTGAGCGTCATAGTATGGTTGCGCATGAAGGTTATTGTATGTGCCTAAGGATAAAAAGTACAATGACATATCAACGAACAAAATTTAGATATAAAAAGTTCAATGCAGAATGTGGAGTATGTTCAACTCACAGTCTCCAACATAAAGATAAATGTAATCAGCTAATGATTATCCTAATTAAGGCATTGTAGTTAGACGATGTTTTCCAAAAAAAAAGAAAGATCTCGTGTAACATGTTTTTGTTAGGAAAATCTTGAAATACATACTAACCTCCATGATAGTGTGGTTGTGCCTGAGGGTTATAGTATGTGCCTGAGGGTAAAAAGTACAACAAACAAAATCAACAAACAAAATTTAGCTTTAAAAAGAAAAAATGCACAATGTAGAGTATGTTCAACTCACAGTCTCCAACATAAAGATACAAGTAATCAGCTAATGATTATCCTAATAAGGCATTGTAGTTTGACCATGTTTTCCAAAAAGAAGAAAGCTTGCATGTAACATGTTTTTGTTAGGAAAATCTTGAAATATATACTAACCTCCATAATGGTACGGTTGTGCCTGAGGGTTATACATGTTGGCGGGAAATGAAGCACCCACATTTCCAACTGCATCAGCACCTTCAGGGCCTTCATTGCAAGAAGAACAAGAGAAATGAAATAATAGAAAAGGATAATATTGCTTAATTATTAGTTATTGTGTTTTCATTTTATATTAGAAAAATAGTAGTGCAATAACATGCATATGTAGTAAAGGAGCAGCAGAGAGAGGTAGGTCTTAGGTGGTAGAAAAATAAGGAGAAGAACAATAAAGTAGACGGAGTGATAAAGCAATATTCCAATTCAGTTATATGCTTTTCTTCATGTTCTTCAGGCTTGTTTAGGGCAATATCCTCATAATAGGATGCTACAACATGTTTGATGGTGGCATCGGTGTTTATATTTGTGACTATGTGCCACATACAATCATATATTACACAATACTTCTCTCTAGGCATAGGACCAATTGTCAGAAGGATATAACATTAAATGCACAATATGCAGAATCAAATCAGTGTCATACAGACTACAAATTTAAAATGTACATTGTGCAAGTTTGAACATGCAGGAAAGTTTTTTATATGCTCCCTATAAAGATTTAGCACTATAGACTAAGGTCCGCAAGACAAACACATCTTCTCAAGAGTAGCAGTTATACCTACCATCCCTTTATGCAGGATAAAAAGTACAACGAAACATCAACAAACAAAATTTAGATTTCAAAAGCAAAACAGTTCAGTACACAATATGGAGTATGTTCAACTAACAGTCTCCAACATAAGGATCCAAATAATCAGCTAATGACTATCCTAATCAGGCATTTTAGTTTGACGATGTTTTCAAAAAAGAAGAAAGCTCTCATGTAACATGTTTTTGTTAGGAAAATCTTGAAAGACATACTAACCTCCATAATAGTATGTTTGTGCCTGTGGGTTATACATGCTAGTGGGAAAAGAAGCACCCACGTCTCCAACTACATTGGCAACTTCAGTGTCAATTTGTTGAGTGTAGTTCTCATATCCTATGAGGAAAGAAATGAATTTCCAATCTTAGAGTCAAAATCAACAACCAATGACATTAATTAGATAAAAAGAATTAAGGGAAATGACATAATAGAAAAAGATGATACTGCTTATCCTCTTGATTAGTTATTGTGTTTTCATTTTAGATTAGATAAATAGTAGCACAATAACATGCATATGTATTTAAGGAGCACGAGAGAGAGAGAAAGAGAGATACGTCTTAGGTAGTAGGACAATAAGGACAAGAACAATAAAGTAGACAGAGTGATAAAGCAATGTTTCCACCTATACGAATTCAGTTACATGCATTTCTTTGTGTCCTTCAGGCTTGTCTAGGGCAATATCCTCATAATAGTGATGCTACAACATGTATTTATGATGGTATTGGTGCTTACATTTGCAATTATGCATGACGTACATAACACAATACTTCTCTCAGGGCATAGGACCAACAGTGAGAAGAATATACATTAGGCGCACATATACAAAATCAAATCAGTCTAGAGTAGAGACTACAAATGCAAAATGTACATGTGCCACTTTGTGATCATAACATGCATGAAAGTTTTCTATATGCTCTCTTCAAATATTTAACACAACTAGGTCCTCAAGACAAACATATCTTCTCAATAGTTGCACTTATACTATCCCTTTATGTAGGGTAAAAAGTAGAACGAAACAACAATGGACAAAATTTAGATTTAAAAAGAAAAATTTCAGTGCACAATGTGGAGTGTGTTCAACTCATAGTCTCCAACAGAAAGACACAAAAGTCAGCTAATGATTATCCTAATCAGGCATTTTAGTTTGACGATGTTTTACAAAAAGAAGAAAGCTCTGCAAACCTTGGCCGAAATATGTTACTCATGAAACATGTTTTTGTTAGAAAAATCTTGAAATACATACTAACCTCCATAATAGTCTGGTTGTGCTTGAGAGTTATACATGCTGGTGGGAAAAGAAGCAGCAACGTCTCCAACTGCATTAGGAGAAACCATCTACATCTGATTTTTTTATATAAAAAATTCATACTTTTTCTTGTCAAGATAATCCAATGAAGAGATGAACATTATTACATATAGTTTGAAGACAAGAAAATCATCAAACATGATTTCCTAATCCTTACATCGTGATATAAAATCTTAAAACAATTAAATTAACATCAACAAATAATATAATTTATCATGTAACATAATCAAATATTGTTTGAAGACATAGGCAACAACTAAGGTATGTACATTTTTTCTACATCACGATATAAAATTTCAAACTAATTAAATTAACATTAGCAACACTAGAATCTAGATATATGAATGAACCATTGTCTTGTACTGATGACTAGTATCGATCCACCAGACATATATAGTGGTGGCTACCAGTGTACCATGTTGGTACATTAGTCTGTACACATAACCTAACAAAATGACTGAAAAATCAGCCAAAATAAAATAAAATAAAAAAAAACTATTTCAGGATTTTAGTCCTAATTTTTTCACATATAAACTAAATTAAAATAAAATTAAAGTATATCTAAGCCATAAATGAATAAGAATTATAGGCTGTAAGGATCAAAAATTAAAATTCTTATCTTTCAGAATACATCAACAACAAACTTTATTGCATGATCCTCCGTCAAAGAGAGTTACTACTGTCAATCTAAACTAAATTTTCTTAAATACCTCTAAATAGGTCTTAATTAATCATTAATCTCTAATGAATCAAGATTTGTCAATATTATTGATATTAATGACATGAAATGATAAACAAAACATAGAGAGAAGCTAAATACCATCAATGATAGACAAATTCCACTAGATCTCAAGTCCCAATGCCTCTTTTTTTCAGATAACTATCGATTAAGGAGATTAAACAAACCTAACGAGAGTATGAAAGAGTGAGAATGAGAGTGAGCGAAAGAAGGGAAAGGAAGGGCTTTTTATAAGCCTAAAACAACCCCCAACGATCAATTTGATCGTTGGGAGCCAGTGTGAATCAAATTCAGCACAGTACGATCAAAATATAACCCTCACCAACCGGTTCCGACCGTTAATGATCGGATTTCGATTGTATCAAATGAAATGTGAGGTGAACCAACCATTACGCCCCACATTTCTTGTGTATCGACCGAAACGAGTTGGTTGTTTTGCATCTCAATCAGTCATCGGACGTGTACATAGAGCCAATTTCATACCGTTTCAGGCGATACAACAATCATCTTAATAAACATGGATTTAATGGACTATTTCTATTCTAAAATTAATAAACATCATAATTTTATAAAATGTTAAACAACTATAACATTGATTATTCGAAAACTTCAAACAAAAAAAACTGAAGAACCAACAACTATTTAAAGAGTTATGACGTCCACCTAACCTCCCTCGCAATCGAGCTCCTCTTCAGCTAATGTTATGGTGAAAAGGGAGGAGCCTGCTTAGGTTTATATAGGATATGAGGGAGGATCTCCCTTGATACGAGGAGGTTTATTTCCATACCAATTTCTTTTATTTTAAAATAAAAATCAAATATATTTTCCTTTATTAGGGTATTTAAAAGTAGAAAATAGATATTAAATGTTGAAACATGTTCCTTATAAGGATATGAAATATTAGGAAATAAATGATAATTCTAAAGTGGGTACCATTTTTATTTTTTAATTTAGAAAAAAAATTAAGGCAATTACATCCCCACACTTTGGAATTTGATCATCTAATTCAATTTACCTTAACAAAAAAGATTTGGATACTTTTTCAACATCCTCTTCTCTTTAACAAGTGTCTTCATTCTCTGTATGTTGTTTTAGTATACTTTCACTAAAGGTATTTACTTTATTTCATACAACACACTCCTTTCTTTCCAAAATCACCATTGATTGTTCCAAAAAGGCGACATCTTCTTACGACTGTTTAGCGTGAGAGGACATTTAATGGATCTACAATATACTTCGAAACCATCCATTGAAAGTGTTGGGGCAAGGCCACTCTATAAGCCACTAATCCAAACATTTGTAAGATTCCAAGAGGACCTATATTTCTAGGACTAAATTACCATTCTGCCCTCTCATAACACCTTTTGTCAAAGATATCTTCAAGAAGACATGATTCCCAACCTAAAATTCTAGTTCCCTTCTCCTTCGCAAAGTTTTATCAAAATAGAAAGAGCAGCTAAGCATTAGTATTCTCACCAGCTTTCACGAATCATTTGGTTGATGCCTTCTCCATGGTTGGCTAGAGCATAAAGGCCATCAGCTTCCAAGTAAGGATTGCTATCGCCAACAGAACCACTTTAAGGTGGGCACATGGGTAGGTGCCCTCAAAGGCCTGCCTGGCTGCAGATGGCCTCTGTCGATGACTCCTAGTCCGGTGGTAGCACTGAACTTAGCCCAGTTTGTCACCCTACTAAGCCATTCCTGTGGAGTAACAAAAAGAATTGGGAGAGTTGAAAGCATAAAGCAATATGCACAAAAAAAAAGGAAAAGTAACTGGCCAACAATGATTTACAATCACACTGGTTTTGTAAGAAACAATAAAATTGTATCAGTAAATATAGATCACACAGAAGAATGAAAACTTCATTGGCATACCTTAAATTGTATTCATATCAGATTTTATCCAAAAAGAGGTATCAACAGATATTCCAGCATGTTATTGCATTGGCGCATATTGTTGCACTATGGCAGACAGTATCTCACATTTCCATCAATTGCTTTATCATCTTAAGAATCAAAAGGACTAACCTAAAATTGCAAGACAGTAGTATCAAATATGTCATGCATGAATGCTAAGCAACAAGGGTACACATAAGCCTTGTGAATGATGAAAGCTCTTCTGACTCACCTATTGTGACTATATAAAAATTGTGAAGTCAAATGAATTGTTGTCTCTCCTGACAAAATTCCTTTTATATTTGCAAAACTCTCATTATATGTGGCGTCAATTTGATTGATATCTTGTGCAGTCCCGTTGGCAGTATGAGATTCTTCTGTCATGTGAACATCCTTAAACGCAGCAACTTCACTGTCTGCAGTGCATTCCCTTTCATTGAAGTTGGTGCAGTAGATCCCTGATCATGGTTCATATGATCTATAGCTTGGGATTTCAAGCCTATCAGATTTAATAGAAAGGCTTGATCTTTGTTTTCCATAAGAACAAAGGCAATCTGATATGCAAGAAGTGCATCACCCTACAAACAAAAAACAAAGCTATTGTCAGCATTGGCGAAAAGCTCAAAGAAAATGACAAAGCTAAGTACCTTCCCCCCTGATAGTAGCTTCTCAAAAATGGTTGCAACAGTTTAGGGTTTAGTCAAAAAACATGAGATATTGGCAAATGCTTAGATAATCAGAAGAAGGCAGTCTTTGATATGTTTTAACAACCAGGCGAAGAACCTGTAATAACAAAATAAAAAGAACAGGTCATTCATCACAGATTACTTTGACCACTATATTATCATGCAAACTTAAACCAGATGTGAAGACTAATTATTCAATGCATCAAAGTTTTTGTGTTCAGGCAACACCAATCATGACATCCAAAACAGAGTTTTAGACTTTTAGTTTTATCTATGTCCGCACAAGTGTTTGTATAAGCATATATATTTATAACAAAATGCACATGAATGCACAAGCTGAAATGCAGCTTATGAGATTCCACTAAGAATTTCAACATACTTCATGCCAAACTGGTCTGACAGAAGTAAATGGTTTTATGCCTTACAAAAGAAGTCTCAATAAAACCCTTTCCGACTGAGACACCCACCAAAACTGCAAATACCACTGCCACCACCACAAGGTATCATTGTCATCGCTACTATCATAATCACAATGAACACACCACATGTCACCACCACCAACCTCCTTAAAAAAATGATCACAATTTCCTTTCCTAGGCCCTCTAGGGTCGATTATAGTGTTACGAGGTTATCTAACAGACTCATCCCCACCTGTGAATGATAAGGAGACAAATATTTTCAAGTTTTTCTCTTCTCCTTTCATCTCCTCTAATTGATTATAAAGCAGAAATCCATATTTATGTAATTTTAGTTAACAAATGTCCTATCCACTATGGATTTCATGAAAAAATCTTTGAACTCGGTTTAGAGTACAAGTTGGATTGATATGTATCAGTCAATATTTCATAGTCTGACCATGAACTAACACGACCATATAGCATAGTACACTATACTGCTTTCTTATTATTTTTCCAGTGATTTCAAGTGGTACAGCCGTACAGGTCAGTATACGTTTGGTATCTTGATACCATACTGATCTAGCGAGTTGCTAAAGAAAGTAATTGGGCCAGTTTTTTTATTTGAATCAAACACACTGCCCCTTTTACCGTCAATTTTAGTTGGACCATGGTGAACATGGTAGGTATACAAAAGATACTACCGGGACCTTAGTTCTATCAACCCTTGCCCATTGGATCAGTGTTACACCTATTTCAATATTTTTTATAAGCAACAAGATATTTGAGTATTAGTTCATTTGATCACATAAGGTCTAACCAAACTCTGTCTGGCCTAAGACGGATCAATGTGCAAAGCTTTACGTCATCATAGACTATGGCAACTCAAACAAATCAGCATTTTGCATTTCCCATTCCAACCATAGCATTTACATCTCCAGTTTATTTATTAAATGGCCAAATCTACATCTAAATGCAATTTAATAGGAAAATATCCTGAACTACAAATTAAGCAAAGAAGTTTGACACAATATATTAATTTCCTAGAAAAGATCCTTTCAACCCTATAAGATTCCAGTAGAAGTACGAAAAAACACAAAACTCTGCCATAACAATTCTGAGTCCCTCATAAAATAGGCTTTACTCTAAAAGATCACTAACATATGCTGCATGTTGATAAACAGTCGGGAAATAGTTCGAGAAACCTGTATGGTCTAGTCATCAATGTTCTCCAACCAAGATTGTATTATTCCATTGCCATCTTGTCAAATCTTAAAATGAAATGATTTTCTCAGTTCTCACCGCTCAGCACATAAAGAATAGTAACTATCAACTAAAGGGGAACACCAGCTACAACTCAACGTCGTCAGGTTAATTGATGATGTTTGATGCAAGCACCCTAACTTGATGATGCTTGATGCAAGTGAGAGAACTTGGCTAACAGTGTTGTAATTAGGCAAATGGTTGATTGATGACCAAAAGAGTCTGTGCAAGGACTCACATGGGCAAGGGTTTTGACGACTCAAAAGAATTCAAGAACCATGCAAAGGCTTTGTGTGCAGACAATGGACTATTTGTTGCCATCACAAGACGACCAAAACTCAATGTCGTAGAGCATGAAATCTTTTTGTTTTATATAAATTAATTCCACAAAGAGGAAAGTTTCTCCAATGGACAAGTTTTCAGATGATATGTCCTATTTTTCTGACCAATGGTTCTTGTGTAATGAACCACCCATGAAAAAGGTGATGCCTTCAAAAGGCAAGCCTACTCAGCTTTTTGGTTGTCTCTGCCAAGTCAAAGGACAAGGGTAGCAAAGACGAATGCTCTGTAAAGCTTGAAGAAGGCCAAAATTGAGCAAGAGGCGAGGAGTCATCATAAGATCCCACATAAGGTGATGGTTGATTGACACAATGTGAGATCAAGTGGGGGAGCAACCAAAGACAACACTAAAGATGAAGGCACACATCGAGCCAACGAGAACATCGAGCTCAATAGAGGGTTGGCTCATGCAATGCCTGATGTGAGGGCCACCATCATCTCAATATAGACCAAGGGGCTTGAGCCGTATGAAGTGAGTTAATTTAGAAGAAGGAACATGGAACGAAAACACCAACTTTGTTGTGTTTTCTTTAGATAGAGAGGCAAGTGCAGAACCATGTTGTTTCTCAGTTTCCTCATTTTGATAGAACAAAACTCATCTCGCAAGGAGCCGGAGTCAAAGGGAGCTTCAGGAAACACACATGATCAAGATGCAATTCATAGCAACACCGAGGCGAGAGTTGGCTCAACTTGTAGAGGTGAAGTTAGAGCTGGAAGGCCTTGGTGTGGTTAAAAGGACACCAAGATGGACGCTTTCAAACAATACGTCACTGTGCTACCATCCGAATTGTCGTAAGAGAAGCAATGCGTAGTAGAGATTATGTTAGAGGCAGAGTCCCAAAATCTGACCCATATTGGTAGTGGAACAGTTTACGGATCACAGTGGAATAGTTTGCGGCAACGATCGTTGTTTCAAATACCCGACCCATATCGGTGAAACTGATATGGACCATTTGGTACCAAACACATGTTACACCGGTACGTACTGATGTTTTGAAGAGGAAGGGGCGGTGAAGGAAGAGGAAGGAAGAAGAGGAAGAGGTGGAGGAAGGAGGAAGTGTACCCATTGACAATGCACGAAACCAATAGGCATTGAGCGACAACAGAGGTGAAACACACTTGCATTCGAGCAAAGAGGACTCACGAACGTGAGCCCAAAAAGATTTAACTAAGCAGGCAAGAGTGGGCTGGCTTCAGTGGGTCGGAGCGTCATGAATAGTAAGGCCATGAGCATGAAGGTGCATCATGGTACCATAGAGGTGGGACTTTAGGGTAGCAACTTACTCCCATGAAGGGAGAATGTGTTCATCGCAAAGGGGGCTAAGGCGTTGGAGAATGCAAATTGCAGTGACAGACTCCACATACCAATGATAAGACAAATGGGCAATGGCCTAACAACTTCATAAAGTCTATGTCGAAGTTCTTATCAAGATTACCAAAAGTAGGGGACTTCGAGTCAAAGCGATAGCGACCGATAAAGGAATGAAATAGCATATGAAGAAGGTTGTACAACCGTAGAGGTCTATAGATCTATTAAGAAATTGCTCCAATTAGGGCAAAACTTTGCTTTTTCCAAGGTGATACTTCTTGTATTCCAAAAGTACGATAGCAAAAAAAATGTGAAGTCCAATAACCAATTATATAAAAGAAGTGCAAAACTTCTATTGTTCCAAAAAATGCCGAAAGTGTGAGCAAAGCACAAGTGAAAATTGATAATCAACTTGATGCATAGAGTACAACTCTCGAGAAGGCAACCGAAGTCAAGTAACCTTAGTATTCTCAACTTTTGAAAAAATGGACGAAACCAAATGTCAATTTCTCTTTTTCTGTAGATAGTAGCTACCAATGGTGTTCGTTTCTATCGAAGGTAGTTTGTTCCCATCATCTTCGAAAAAAGAGGTGATGTGAACCCCATATTTTGTTGATGGCTTTCGATATTTTCGGTTGCTTTCCCCTAAGCATCTTGTACAAGTTGTTTAGCAGTTGGCAATCCTATTTTGCTCGAAGCAGCATCTCTATTTTTTGTTTTATATTTTGTAAAATACACAAGCATTGTAGGTTGAGCGACACGTGTAGGGAAAAATGCTCAAAACAGCTCTATTTTCACATGGCACAGCTTGATTTCTAGTTAACAACCTCATGGTAAAAATCTCAATTGTCTCTCCACCCTGGAACACCCGAGTCACACCAGGCTAAATGGAGATTCGGTTATATGTCTAAGGATGGATCATCGACTCACTTAACACCTGATGTCGACACTTGAGCAGCAAATTTTTGGGTCACATCTTACTTTGGACTTAGTGTGTGAGCCAATGTGAAGGCTTCAGCAGCCTACCCAAGATAGGTTGAAGTAGTATTAGGTTGAATAAGCATACTAACCAGATAAACCTCAATATGGGTTTTTAGTGCATTAGACAAGCTAATCCAAGTTTAGGCATCTAGAGTAGGCTAGGTCATTTTAGGCTCAAGCCACTCAAAGTTGATAGGCTAGTCCAAGCACAAATCCTTGACACATAAGCTAATCTTCGACACACAAGCTAGATTACGATGAACACATGCAAGGGTCATCTCTTGTGTCCAGGCAAGTCACTTGAGTTACCTCGTCCAGCCTCGTTGATATTGTATGAACTTTAGTTTTTGTAACCCTACCCGTGATCGAACAGAGTTGAATCCAGCTCAATATGTGGTCTAGTGGGTTTGGTTTCACACTCAAGCAATGGATACAACTTATTTTGGAGTTAGTTGCTTCCATTATTTAACATGGATCCAACTATAGTGTTAAAGTATTAAGTTTATTTAGAGTTGGATCAAATATAAGACAATGTTTGCAATACCATAACGTACCGCCCAGTACAGGCAGTACATATCAGTCCGCCAATAGATCGACACGCGGACCGCTTGCTACTGGGCGGTATTAGGCATTTGGCCTTATATTGGGGGATACAGGGCTATACCGGGTGGTAACAGTCGAAACCAACCGTTATCAAATGGTAACAGTGCCTCCTTAAGGGTTTTTAAACCCTTTCCTCCTCGCTATTTCAATCCATTTCACTCTCACACTCTCTTAAACTCCCTCAAACTCATTTTTTCTCACATTTTCACTCTCCTAAACTCAACAAAGCAATGATTTGTGGACTGATGCACCGATGGCATATAGTGCATCAATACATTATGTCGTGGGATCAATTTTAGGATTGGGTCCGACAAACATATCATGTTGATATACAGATATATAGGATCGAGGACCTCATCCACCACACGTGGAGACCCGTTGTTTGTTTTAGTGATAAAATCAGATATATCTACATATGTGTTTACTTAATTCATTTGAATCTTAAAAGTTAAATTGTATACAAAATAATCTAACAATTCAAATAATTTTTCTATAGATAATTCAATATTAATGGAATGACAATCCGAAACGAACCGAAATTGTGAACCTTGCACTAGGCTACTCCTCAAAACTCAAAAAAAATATGTGACACTATTCTTACCTAATTTACATTAGTCTTGCTAAATGTATATTTATTTCTAACTTAAAAACTCTATCCTAATTTTTTTTCTATTTTTCAGGTATTTTCGAAGGGTTTTATGCCTATCTAAGTCGTATCACTCGGTACGCCCTGGCATACCGCTTGATACACCGTACCGTACCATACCGAGCAAAGCTTGGTACACCGGTATGGTACGAGATTAAGAACATTGATATAAGATATAAATTTTATTCACTTTGAAATATGTTTTTCTAGTAAGTTTCGTTGTCATGGTGATATATGGTTAAGGTGACTCATCCAAGTCGAAAATGCTCTCCATAAGAGAAGCTACAGGCTCATCACGATGTGAAGCCATCTTTAAATTGAGTCTTTTGTATCATATACAAAGTGTAGTTTATTTTATTATGTTTATAGCCATTTAGCTTAAAATGATTGACTCATCCTATTAGTATAATGTATGGGAATAAGTTGAAACGGGATATGCTAGTGTTGGTAAGGTTGCAAGATCTCAATGTTGTCATAGATAGACACCACACACCAGCAACACTTTTGTCAACAAACGTTTATTGTTTTTCGATTTGATTTATTGTACAGCTCTTTGGCCTTAGGTTTTGCTTGGTTTTTGTGTTTTCCCTTAGTTTTAGCAAGCTAAGATTGTTTGTAAGATTGCACAATAACCACTTGATGAACAAAGTCAAAATGGGCCAAAACAACCCTGTTTTCGTATGCCACATGCTGGTTTCTTTGAGGCAGTCGAGTAACACACAACATCAATCATCTTGGCACCCTAGAACACCATGGAACAAGGTTGGATCCCTAGAACCCCGATGGAATAGGGTTGGATGGGGCTTTGGGACAGTGTTGGTGATCAGTTTGGAACTTCCAAGCTTCTGGCTATCTTTTTACTGTTCAAAAGTCCTATTCTCCTTTGTTGTCAAACTATTTGCTAAATTGCTCGAGTGTTGGGCTTTTGTTCGAGACATCAAAACTTGTTCGCCCCTCACTTTTGAAACTAATCAATTTTCTCTTGTATAAGTCCTTTGGGACTTGTGCAAGGTCGAATTTAGACTAACCCTTTGTGGACGGTTATTGTAAGGGTGCCACACGACTTGTGCAAATTTTGTTGTCCATGACGCGGTGGTTGTGCTCCACGTGACGAGATAAGGGCCCATAATGGATTGAGTACCATTCATTGGATTGAGTCCCCTATATCAATCACAAAGCATAATTCACTAATATAATTGGACATGAATTGCTTGCTTGAGTGGCAAAATGAAATGATCTGCGATGGACAGGATGACACTATCAGTTATTTAGATGGAGCAACCAATGGACGAACATCTGAGGTGGAGATAGAGTTAGGTAGTTGCTAATATTTTGCAATAAATATCTAAAATATTTGCGAAATTATGGGAAAAATGTATAGCTCTACATAATTGATTTTCAAATTAATAAAGTATCCTTACGTACTTGTCTAGCATCCTTTCCACTGTAACTTCCAACCTAGGATCCATCTGACTCCTCCTCACTTTGACTGCTTTAGACGTGAGGCTGGCATATTCATCTAGTGCATTGGCTAAAACAAATACAAATATATACATTAGAGCTAATAAAACTTGGAAAAGAAATGCAAATCACTGTAAACACAATCTTATACCTAAGAGGGTATGAGCATAATCCATCTTCTAACAATCAAGCTCTCCAAGTTAGTAGTAGAATTTTATACCTAAGGGGTCCAGCACGAAGGGCATAAGACAGTGAGTCATTAAGCTCTCCAAGATAGTAGAACATTTGCCCAGAAAAAACAAGCAATACCATCTCATTTCAAGAAATGGGAGACAAACTCCGTCGACAAGTGCTAAAAGTCAAGAAGCACATCAAACGGTCAACTTAAAGACAGAGGAGATGAAGCACTGGATGCCACCAATGCAGCAAGTTACTTCTCAGCTTCATATGACCTTTCACTGCAAACAAACCACAGGATTAACTCGGTGAAGCTGAGTAAGGTATCTTTTATCAGATCTACAACAGAACGATCTCAATTAAGTTGCCCTAATTTTCCGAAGTCTCATATAGAACGCCACGATCTAAAAATGGAAATATTCAAACACGCAGTCGAACCTGAAATCAGCTGCCAAAACGTCGCCAATACCACACAAAACCTAGTTCTATTATCGGACCACTGTGATAGCAGAATGATCAAGTTTTGCAACGATCCCAAGATCGTCGACCCCGACCCCCACACCCACAAATCTTCTGATGGTTCACTATATCCCAGAAACAAAATTCAGCGTAAAGAGCAGAAATCCTGGCGGAAACCCCTCCCAAAGCCCCAACCCGAAACCAAAGAGGCAAAAGGACAAGAAATCAGGAAGAAACAGGAAACGGGGAGGGGAAGTACGGGGGCAGGAGGGCTCACATGGCGGCGGCGACGCTGGTGGAGCTCAGGCCAGAAGAGGTGGACGAGGAAGTTAACCTCGTCGGGGCCGTGAAGCCTCAGCGCCTGGCGCGGTTCGTGCACCATCGCAGTGCGTCTTCTTCTCTTTTCTCAACGAACCATTTGGGTTCGTGCACCATCCCAGTCCGTCTTCTTCTCTTTTCTTCATCGCAGTGCGTCTTCTTCTCTGTTCTCAACGAACCATTTGGGGTCGTCCACCATCGTAGTGCGTCTTCATCCCCACCCGCGGTGCGTCTTCTTCTCTTTGCTCAACGAACCATTTGGGGTCGACGTTCGTACGAGTCTATGTGAATGTAGATTTGATCCCTCGCAAACGCTGCATCCCGATCCGTTTCGATCAATTCACAACGCAAACCTTTTGTTGACGACAGAGCACAAACACCTCACTGATAAAAGCAAGATAAAATAATTTCAAATGTTTAAAGAAAGATTTAACACCACCAACGACGCCGGTATCCTCATTTTGCTATTGAAAATTCCTTTAAAAATAATAAAGTATTTTTATTTTATTATGAGCTTACCATTTTAGATTTTTTTATACTAATCATAATCTCCTTAAATATAATAATTTTTTATTATTTATTATCCCACTAATTATAATTTTTTTTTCATCCCTATGATTCACCTAAGTACTCTCTTATCATCGATCGTTACACCTCGACTCATGCTCCCTGCTGATCGTCACCCCCAACTATTGCTCCTCATCGATCGTCACCCCTCGGCTTGTGCTCGTCGTCGATCATTACACCCTAGTCATCGATCACCACCCTCAAGCCATGCTTCTCAACCCACACTTTGATCTCGCTCGTCATTCCCTCACATTACCTCCAAAGATGAAGGAAGGTATTTATATTCATTTATAAAAATAATTATTTTAAAAATATATAAAAAATAGAGATGAGATTATAAATAATAAATAGATGCTATAAATAATAATACCTTTTTTATTATTTATAATTTCAGTATTATTCTTTTTTTTTTCCTCCGTGTAATCTCTTATTTCATCATATTCGTTATTGTCATCCTCCCAAAAGGAAGAAAAAGATAAAGAGAGAAAAAAAAAAAAGATGGGTAGCAAAAGGAATAAGGAGAAGAAGATAGTAGCTTGAGATCCATAAAATAATTATATATTTAATTAAATTAAATATACTCAAAATCATTATCTATAATTTTTAATTGGATCTTCTTCCACCTCTCCTCTCCTCAACAATTCTATCATATATCTCATGGACATTTGTGTTGGAAGATTTTGCAAGCACCACAACCCTACCAAAGACTTCTTTTAATAACAAACTTCAGAAAAAAGAACAAACTTCATGCAAATTAATCCTCGAGAATAAAAAAAAGGAAATCAGATTACTGTTGGTGATCAGGACAACATGATGTACCAAATGATGCCTAAGGTTGGCAGCTTGGGATCAGAGATTTAACCATAACATAGACACAGAAGGCAGGTAGATGGGATCAGAGATTTATATAGGGCTCAACCAAGAAACTTCACAGAATCTTCTATAAAACTGTAGTTCTGCTTAGGACTGAATACAAGGAAACTAAAGCATGCACCGAGAACATAGAAAGTTGGGGTTGAGACAAATAATCACAGGCCTAAGGTCGATAAAGCCTGAAATTACTAAAAGACTGCCACACTGCACAACTGCTCCAGCAAAACCATAGTTACATCCTGCCAACAACAGGTGATGCAACGATCCAACAATAGATCTTCATCTTCATCCTTTTTGTCAGAAATACTGTCCTGGCTTTCCGACATTGCATGTTTCTTCTTCAAAACCGGACAGCCTGAGCAAAGCTATTTGAGATCTGGCTGATGGAGTTGGTCGGGGTCGGAGGCTCACAAGCCTTCCTTTGTCTAAGGGCAGTTTCCCGCTCCTCGTAGAACTCAAAGTCGTCAAGGATTGATTCCTCGTACTCATGCTTGTTGAAAATGCCTAGCATCTCCAGACCCTGCTCCAGTTTAACCTGCAGGTTATTGAACAGAATGACAAATCAACATCCGACGGAATCAGCTGCTCAGGAATACTAGTTCCGAGAACCTTGGATGTCAAAATCGCATTAACAAATGCAGACCAACTTCAATAGTAATTGAGAGCAAGGATAAAATTACTAAATTTAGGTTGTCACTCGAGCAAACAAATAAAGAAATAAATGATGAGGCAAACAAACTGGATCAAAATTAAATAAGGATCATCGAAGAAAGACAGGAAAGGAGTGTACATTCAAAAACAAAAGAAATGAAAGGAAAACTGTCGAGCATTTTCATAAATAAATAAATAAATACATAATTATGAACGTGCATATAACATTCACTGAAGTAATAAAAGATCAGATTCAATATTTTTTTCCTAGCCCATTTAATAGGTTAAAGAAGCATCTTATTTGGCAAGGAAAAAATTAGTTTCCACAAGACAGATGATGAAGAAATTGTAGTCATAAGGACATGCTACCTCCTGGGTGTCCCTGCTGTTGGTTACAGGCTTATTGTCATTTTTCTCAAGAATAATATGCCGAAACATAGTGTTGGGAACATCTTTCACAATATGCCACTTGACTGGGCATTGACCGGTCCACTTGTCCTCGTTCCAATAATCCACACTTTTTTCAAAATCAACAGGCCCAATCATCTCAGCCACACCACAAAAATGTCCACTTGCATTCACCTGCACATGATTGTCAGTGATTTATAGATAATCCATGAGAATATGCCCCACTAATAACAGTAGCAGTAGAACCCAAATATATTGTTCCTTCCAACATCATAGATATTTAAATATCCAAAACTTCTAAAAGCATGCTTGCTTAAAAATAACGATTACCGAGAAAAATAAGAAAATAGGGTAGGAATGTTCTTGCTCCCTCATTTCTATATAAGCAGAATTTAACTTTCTGTTCCCATTGGATGTGCTGGCCCAAACACCATATTTAATGCTCTTGTGAACATTGTCCTCGCTGTAAGATTTGATTATGAAAAACCTGGCATCCTTGTAGTCTGTACCAAAGTCCAGGGTATTGTACAGTTTACGATCAACTCCTCGAGAGCAACTGACACCATCACTCTCATTCACTGAAAGCTGTTGGTTCGCTCGATTCTTTGATCCATCGGCCCGTGGCCCTCGGTTTTGCTCACTGAGAAACTTGAGAGTGCCATTAGAATGACCAAATGGAGCATTTCCCCTTTCTTGCTTAGTGATTTTGCCGGCAGCTATCAAGCTCCGGCCATTACTCCCTACCCCGGGATAGGACACTCCAAAAGTACTATCATGATGAAGCCCACTATTGTGGTACCATCTGTTGTAAGAGTTGACAAATGATCCAAAGCCATAAGATGGTATTTGTCGTCCCTGAATGTGATTAGATAGAATCAATCACTGTTAAAAACAAGTCATGAGTTATAATTACCTAAAAAAGAATGCCTAAAACAAATCACAGAGGAAAGGCACTAACTCAGATTCACAGTGGGTGTGGGTGCATCTTTTAAAAATTAAATTATGCTCACAAAATATATCACATGAAACTGTTGATCAGTATTTTGTATAAATCTAGCATGAGTTGCCAAAGCAGAAACCATCCTAAAGCAAGTGAAAGGAATCAAAGAAACCAATAAGCTAGTTGTATTTGTTATTTGAATATGTTACCACTAATAGATTCATCTTTCATGCTACTCTTTCAGAATAAAAGCTTGTGTTAATGAGACCACAATCTATAGCAAAAAAAATGTATTATGAGGACCTTGGCATCCAGAAGAATGAAAATAGGTTTTTAGTTGAAGTTGGCAACTAATGAATCTAGCCAAATATTTTTCAGTGAGGAAGAACATCAAATAGGAAGTAGATCTGTGCCACAGAAGAGACCTCAGGAAGATGCTTGTTCTAATCTTCATGTAAAATCTTAGCTTCACCCCATGAATATGAATATTTTTCGATGTTTTATCTGCAAAACTTTAGATCATGGCCTCACAATACCATTTGCAACTTGTTGACCACATATTAATGAATCATAACAAGTTGTAACACAAAATCATAGCAAAAAATCAATGAACCAACACTTCAGAAACCATGATATCTCTCTAATATGTCATCTTCCTTTCTAGTGCACAAAATCAAAATGCGTTAAGACCAGTAGAGAGCAGTAACTGGTGCAATGTGTTTGTATGATATGTTAATTATTCCCAGTGCAGTTAACCCTACAACAAATATGACTATCAATTTGAAAATTTTATCAATGGTCATATTTCACACCAGTTTAGATGCTTGTAATATGACAAAAAGGAAAATGAGGATACGACATTATCAATCCCAGAGTTAAAGGTATGGTGCTTTGCCCAAATGACTTCAGAGCATTTACCAGTCTGATGGAGACAGCTGATGATGGCGAAGGTGACACAGAAAATGTTCCATCTGGAAAAATCCTCCAATCTGACCAAAACCAAGCAGAATCAAAATCATCCAACCCTTCTTGAAAATTATAGAAACCATGAGTACCAAAATTCCCACCAAGACTACCTCTACCATAGGAGCCATATGATAAGTGACAGCCAGGTCTTGGTCCAAAACAAGTGCTGTTTGAATTAGCAGTAACAGCAAGAAGAGCTCCTTCTTGATCAACTGGTGCTGTAAAATCAATTTGTGATATTGGAGCTGAAGACGATAGATGTGGCATGCTAGGATGAGCTGTCTGCTGGCATTGAGTGCCCGAGAATGAGAAATGATGAGGGGCATAATACAGAACGTCTCCACCATTAGAATAAAGAGGCATTGTAACTGGATAATAGGGTCCATAAGGTATATGTGGACTGCATCCATGTTTAGTATAGTATGCCAGTGGATGGTTCTCACTGTAGGCAACCTTCAAAAACCACATAGTAGAATATTATAAAACCGAAACGGAGAAGTAAAATGTTGAAACAAGAAACTGAATAGCAGACATCCACACATCCACACATACAGCTGATCCAACTTCCATGCCTTCAGTGTTAAAGTGATGAGTGTATTCTTCGAACTCACCTGTTGGATTCTCATACCCTATGAAGGAAAAAATGTTTTCCCAATCTCAGAATAAAATCAACAATCTAAGACATTAAGCAGGTAAGAAGAACAAGGCAAACGACGTATGGTGTCTTCATTTTTTTATTTCAAAAAATAGTAGCACAAGAATAAACATATATTTAGGGAGCATGAGAGAGAGAGGTCTTAGGTAGTAGGAGAAAAGGACTAGAACAATGAAGTAGATGCAGCGCTAAAGCAATGTACCCAATTATATGAATTCAGTTACATGGATTTCTTCTGGTCCTTCAAGTTTGTTTAGGGCAATATCCTCAGAATAGTAATAGTACAACATGTATCATGATGGTATCAACATTTATATTTGTGATCATGCTTCCCGTACACAAAACAACACTACACTTCTCTCTAGGAATCGGACCAATTGTGAGAAGGATATACCATTCTGTGCACATATGCAGAATCAAATCGATATCATACAGACCACAAACTTTAAAATTTACATTGTGCCACTTTGTGATCATAACATGCATGAACTTATAGTATCTCATTATGCAGGAAGAAAAGTACAACAAAATTCCTTGCACGATGCAGAGTATGTTCAATTCCCAATCTCCAACATAACGATGCAAAACATCAGCTAATGATGTGCTAATCAGGCATTTTAGTTTCACCATATTTTACAAAAACGGAAAAGCTCTGCAAAAATTGGTGGAAACACATTACTAGGAAAATATTTATACATACAAACCTCCATAATAGTACATTTGTGTCTGAGGGCTATACATAATGTAGGCAGGAAATGAAGCACTGAGGTCTCCGACTGCATTTGGAGAAACCAACTGACCCAGGGCATCTCTCGAATGATCAATGGCACTTGAATCAGGTGAAACATTTTTCTCGACTTCAGCTGAAGGTGGCTGATAGAACATTTACAATAGCATCACCGAGAATTATTCTGACAGCACCATGAGAAAGACAAGTTGGAGTGAGTACCTGCTCATTCAAGTTCTCCATGCTGACAGGTTTCTGTTCAGCATCAATAATTGAAGGTTCCAGCGGCTCCCTAGAGTCTTAACGAATGGTCAAAGGAAAAGGTCATTAGTATGTAAAGAAACCAAAAAAATGTGTGCATGCATCTCTAACATATGCATTGACGTATAGATGCCAATATCTAGATGTATACACTTCTAATCCACCAGCACTATATTTCGCAGGTGGTGCGTCAACAATTTTTTAACAAGCATGAGGTCAAGTAATATAGCTCACAAGGAAAAGTTTGCCATGCTAAACTTAGTAACGAAAAGAAGAATATGTCTTTTCTAGTTGTCACGATTAACTCGCCTCAGAATTTTGCCCCTTTGGAATCAGGCCATCATGTATGAAAGTCTCAGGAAGATGATGAGTCATGCGAATCATAGATTTCGGAAAGGGGATACTGCGGGGGTAAAAGGTGAGTGGGAGTAATACTTGCACATACAGCCAAAATTGCACTCAGAGCACTGTATCTCGCAAATGATTAGGTGAAAGTGCAAAGATAAGAAGCGGCAAATATATTCAAGAAGATATCGAATACCAGACTGCTAATGCTCTCGTAGACTGCTTATCGAACCGCAAGAACTCGAATCGAACTCCAACAAAAATAACATCTTTCCTAATTCAGCATAAAAAGAGCCCTAAAAATCACATATTTCCGAATAAAAAATGTTAAAACTAAGGCAAGAAGGTGATAGATGAGGAGGAGGCGGGAAGCACCGATTAGGCTCGGTGCTGGCTGAGTCGTCGCCATTGCAACGGATATCTGGAAGCGCTTCGCCTCCCAAACAAATCCAGAACCCTCTTCTTCGAGTCCTTCTCTTCTGCAATCGTCGGGAGAAGGCGTTCGAAGGAGTCCCTCTGCCGCCGTAGAGAACCGTAGAAGCGACTTGGCAGAGGAGCAATGAAACGCAACGAAACGGCGAACGCAGTCTACGCCCGTCACGCCTATTTATAGTGGGAAGAGTCAAGAGGGCCGGAGAGAGAGAGAGAGAGAGGGGTATTGTTGGTATTCTACCTCTACAATTATTATTATCGTCATTTTATATTGTATTATTGTTTGTGTGTGTGTGTGTGTGTGTGTGTGTGTGTGTGAAACATTGGAAGAGGAGATGTAAGACTTGGGGAGGAAGTCATAGCATGAGTGACGTAAGGTGGCGTTCGATCGGTGTGTAAAGGAGGGAATCTGAGTCATAATTAAATGTCACCATTGATTGTATATTGCTTTTGTGGGGGTTTTGTTCGAATGTTCCTATTGGGCTTAGCGGGGTGGAATGGAGTGAGATCAAATTAGCGTAAAGATCTAACTTAGGAGGCTTTGTCAATGTGGCAAATTAGTCAGGTGACCAACTTAACAAAGCTTTCCTTTGGAGGACGACCGACTTGATGATGAAGTAGCCAACATGGCAGGCAACTTGACCACGGTTGACTTGGTACTATAGCATTCGTAGAGATATAGAGAATTTGCATAGGACAATGAGTAGGCAAAAGATTGACTCTCAGAAGGAAATCTTCAAATAATCGATCATCAATTGAATAGGCATATGAGGTAAGCAGTCATTGTCGAAGGCATTGACGGTGTAATTGCCAACTTGATGACTTGAATGAAGGAGGCATATTTCATAGAATCCGTAGTGGCTTGTTCTCGATGATATCTTGATTTTGATTAGATCGCAATAAATTTGTTTGGATTTCTCATTCTAATGCTAATCTGCCAGTGTTAGAATTTTTCCGAGCTTAACTCGATTCTCTGAAATATGTCATGTCCGATATTAAGGAGATCATCTATGAGTGTTCGAGCTCGTCAGTTACCCTCGTCGATAGTATATCTCTCCTGAGTTGAGAGATTCTCCTACGATATTACGTAGGAGATGCGACTAACAAGGCCTCTCGAATGAGTAAGTAAAGAACTGAAAAAATGAGTAAAAGAATTATGTTGAAGTCTCAATCAAAGTCAAATTAGGTTGCATTTAGGCTAAAATTGAATTGTCTTAGTTCACAATTAAGTTGGGTTGCATGTGGATTAAAAATGGTTGAATTTGGTCGTAACATCGCTTAGGCCAAGCAATGATACCATCCGAGAGGAATAGTATCGCTTAATATTACCTATGTTTGCATACCACGTGATTCGTCATTGTTTCTGACATTAGACGATAGTATCGTCGTAATAATGTTAGTACCCTTGTTTTTCAAAACTTTAATCTGCTTTTGAAATGTAAGTTATCTTTCAACATTTGGTTGATCAATTTGTGAGCTTGTTAAATGTTCAAGTCTTACACTTCTTTCTATCTATTTGAGTTTGAGTTGCGAGAGTTTTAGTAGTAAGTATAAATAAGTATAGTAAATGAGAGTTAAATAATTATTAGTCTTTACTTATTATAATAAGAAAGATCGATAGTAAAAATCAATGATCGAGAAATCTCTATACATGCTAATTGAGATCATGCCAAGCCTAAACAGTATTTAGGGTCGAGTTTAAGCCTATTTAGGGTTTTGTATCATTATTCAAATATGTTTTTTGATAATTTTTTTTTTACCAAATAATCAAATAAAGAGATGAACATTATTAAATATGGGATAAAAAAATGGTATTTATTCATAGAGACATGAATGCTTATCAGATAAACGAATATGGGATAATATTTTTTTACCAAATAATCGAATAAAGACACGAAAATTATTAAATATGTCGGGTGCAGTTTCTTTTGGGGTTTCCAATCATATTATCTTATAAACTTCACATTCGAGCAAATATAAATTCTGTCTGTACTTCTAAAATTTACTTCTATCATAATTTTTTTTTCCTTGCATGAGGTCAGATGAGAGGTTTTCTTATAGATTACTCGAGGAACAGCTTGTGGTGCAAAGCATCGACTCCATGAGCATGAAATAACCATACAATTCATTTTAGTGTATGTGCTACAATAATAAAGATGGATAGCATTCTCCAAATCAACAGCTTGTGGTTCCAAGTATATTGTTGTTGTAATGAACATGCATGATAAGGATGGACAAACATTCTCCCAATCAGGTAAAGAATCAGTTACTGATTCACAAATCGTACTATGAAATTGTCATATAATACGTATGATATTGTCATCTAAGAATCAATGTGATGAACATTCATTTCTCTTCCTAATCCTATACAGAATCAGTCAGGTCGCGGCCGCTGGTTTCGAGAGGAAATAAACACACCGCAATTCCTGAAAGGAAAATTACAAGTTCAAATAGAAGAACCGCTGCAGATTGATGGCAGCCATGCACCAGGCCAACGGCCACGAGCGGGCAAGTTATCCCGCCTATTCTTCCCACCGAACTAGCGATGCCGATGCCAGAGGCCCTGACCGAGGTTGGATATATCTAGTAACAAAGAGTACACATGATCATCAGTTGGATCAGGGAGGTTTTAGAGTATGTTTCTGTTTGATGAATAAGTCAACATGATTCTGTGGCAGAACCCGTTCGATCGCACTAACCTCCGGAGCATAGATGTAGATAATTGTGAAACTTGCTGAGATGCTAATCCGTGCACAAAATAGAAGGCCTGTTGTTACTTCTCCTGTCCGAGGAAATACCAGTGGAATTAAGAACACACAGCTTATGAAAAGCATAGATGACATAGAGAGCTTGCGACCAATCCTATCCACGATTGCGGCTGATATAATGAGCCCAGGAACCTCTGGACAAAAGAAAAACAAAGTAAAACAAGTCCTGTGACGAAGAGTATAACTTCAGCTAATTGACACTGTAAACAGGCACAAGTATAAACAATACCTGCAAAGCTAGTGACAAACACATCTTTATAGAGGCTGTCATCATTCGAACGACTTGGTTGTGAACTTTTTACTGTGCATGCCCTCTTTCCGTTACTTAATTCAGATGTCAGCAGCACAATGCCATAATAGGAAAATGCATTCCCAAAGAACACCATCCATAGAAGAAGAGTTGATCTGATTAATTTTGGTGATAGAAGCCTTCTTAGAGTACTAACGCAGCTTGCTTTCATATTCATATCCTCGTCAGAGCTCTTGATCCACCCGTTTCCAACTAAATGTGCAGCTTCAGAATGATTGGATTTCTCATCGAGCTCAAGTTGGCTTTCCGAAACAAGTATGCCAGAAGGCAGTGCCTTATGGTTTGCTCTGGCCATCTGTTCTAAAATCTGCATAGCATCAGTTATTCGGCCTCTCATGCAGAGATATCTTGGTGACTCAGGTGTAGCAGCATAAAATAGGAGCAACAGAAATGATGGCAAGGATGAGGAAGCTAGCAACCATCTCCAGCCAAATCTGGGCATAATAGCCTGCAAATGCATGTGTTAACAAAAATAATATGACCCTTCTAACTCGAAATAGCAATATACTCTACAGCAATAAGAAAAAATTAAAATCTGATCATGTTCACCTTCACACCATATTGATTGTTTGCAAGTCCTATATCTTCATATGTCTAAGTACCCAAAAAGTAAATGCACTATGTTACATTGCTGGGAAAAACATGTTGCATGATTTTGAACAGAAGTATGGTACTTCTTCACTTTTATTGTGTTTAAGAAGTTGTGGACATTTCAAAAAATCACGTAGGGAAAAAAAGGAGATTGACAATCAAAATCAATCAATTCTCTGAAAAGTCGTATAAGCCCAAAGAATTATCATTTTTTCCAGCAACTCTTTTGAAATACAGTTAAAAGAAGGTGGCAATATTCTCATCCTTGAATAGAAAAATGAAGAAAAGCTCAGTTCAAGATGCGAATTTAGTAAGTCGATTTGATGAGTATTTAAACTAATGCATATACTCGAGAAAATACAGAATAATTTTGGATTTTGGCCCTACCCATGCAAGCGAAGCCTCAAAAATTGTGCCGATGGTCCAAAAGGCCGAAAAGATAACCATCCATTTACCTCTGTGTGGAGAAGGAATGAACTCCAGAAACCAAGAAGCAAGCACAGGCCCACCTCCCAACCCAATACCAACCATAAACCGTAGAAAAATTAGAGACCAATAATTGGGAGCAAAAGAACTGAGAAAACCAGCTACACTTGTTATTAGGGCCGTAAAAAGGAAACCCATCCTGAAATGAACAAAATGTATGAGGCATGCAAAAAAGGATATTCAAATTCCAATCCACTAAAACTGATAGAGCATATATTTACAGCAAGCAGTGTCCAATTCTTTCCACAATAAAGCAATAGGACATAAATCAACTTTTATATCGAATGATGTTGATAGGATTGCTCTGGACGTATCTGAATAGCATGCCTTTCCAATTTCTACATGCCAACTTAGTTCCCATCTCGTCAATAATTTGTCAAAACAACATCTACTGTGATGTGAAAGCAAATCAAGCAGAAGAGTTACTGCCTGAAACCCAAAGAAAAAGTGTAGTCTTTGAAATAATTTATACAAAGTAGGTAGAAAATCAATATTCCATGATAAAACAATGATATTTTATTTGATTTGTTTTTAAATAAAATTTGGCACAATTCAATATAAGTGAACATCTCAAGTGTCGGTTTCAATGTTGCTAAGGCAGTTATGGTTGTCTTGCTAGAGAAGAATTTTAATAGTTATTCGGAAATTCCATTTTCCTAAAACCTTCAAACTTCCGTCAACTATTTTCCTCGGTATGAATTACGTGTCTGAGGCATAATCAGATTAAAGTATGCACCTACAAAGTGACAACATGAAATGTTGGAAATAATCACAATTGGACATTTAATGAGTAATGACCACAGAAAAAAAAAAAAGGTCAGCTTCCAATATGCAATAAATGGATGCGTACTAAATTCAGAAGAAGCACATTCATGTGAGATAATTAATTATTCCATCTGAAATTCTGGATAACTTCCAAGTACTATAGTTGTAGAAAAGGATTGTTTCAATTTGCTGCCACATGTGGATATATAGTACAAAAGCTAATTATTACGAAGAATCACAAAGTTCAATGGAATTACCAACAGTAAGGAACTATTTTCTCACTGGGGAAAACAGAAGTAAAAAGTGAAAAGAGTGAAAGTGCCATATGCGGAGTACCATAAACTAGTTATGGATAGTTCTTGGGCATGGCTATACTTCAAAATCTTTACTACAATCTCGCCCCTAATGCTTTCCACATAATATACTTATTCATGTAAATACTGTTGCTAAATCATTGTTCGTTCCAGCAACGGAGAAACAAGATTGATAAGTTGGTGCTTAACAAAATTGTAGCATTTGGTGAGAAATATCAAATTCTCAGGTATTCTGGCAACCGACAAAGAGTTCAGTACCGACCCCTACCTCTAAAATGGCTCTACAAATGAGTCAGGCAAAAAGCGACTAAACTATATATTTAACATGGATGTCAAGTTAGAGAAAAATATTAAAGAGTGATAGAAGAGTGGTAAATTAAGCACATTGGTTACTGTAGGAAAATTAAGGTTTATGTACCAGGCTTCCATCAGAAATCACTGTTTCAGTACCTAAAAGACAAGAAGTATTAAGTTTACCTTCACCAACAAAAAGAGCATGCTTCCACATGGCTCTTTTTTAGAAGTAGCATCCATGAGAAGTGGAGACAATTTGGATAACAAAACTGGAGTATGAATCCATACTTGAGGCTTTAGGTTCATTTTAATCAACAGAGAAAAAAAAGGATTAGCTCATGCACATTGTATGATCCGAGGACCACTGATGACTGTCTCGATTAAATCTTGTCATAGTAGTCAGCTTGGTCGCAGACAAAAGACAATAACATTCTGTTTATTTTAGAGGAAAAGGAAAAAAGAAAAAACAAAGAAGCAGAAACTTGAGGCAGAGGCATAGATATGTTGTGTATAACACTAGACAAGATAATGAAAGGTCAAAAAAAGGACCTGCCTCCTGCCATAGATGTCTGAAACTATGCCCCAAGAGTAAGCACCCAGGAGCATGCCTACGAAAACTACACTGGTAATCAAGCTCTCCTGCTGAGATGAAAGCTCCCATTCCAACTGAACAGCTGGTCCCACAAATGAAAGGAGCATCATCTCCATTGCTTCCGAGATCCAGCCCATTCCGGCATAGCAAAGCACAAAGGTCTGGAATTTCCCAAATTCAATGGACAAGAGTGCCTCATCCACAGTAAACGATAATACTCCATCTTCAATCTGCAAAATCGAACCAGGTGTAGGACGGATAACATTTGTTGATGATTATTGACGCATTTATCAACACAATTGACAAAAAAAAGGCAATATTTTGCTCTGACATGTCAATATTATGACAAAAAGCAAACTGCTTGTTCAAAGATCCAAATCACGAATGATTGATTATGAACGGATCCTGTCATTAGAAGGCTCTATATGTTCTAATTATTACGACGAGGAAAACCACGACGACTCATCCGTGTCTTGCTTATAATATTTTTTCTTGCTTCCGATCTCATGAATACTGCCGAATTCCTGTTTTCTTCAGAAACCAGATAGTATCTTCGCATTCTTACATGGCTGAGCATTAGGAGTTACAACAACAACGAATCAAAGAAATCATGAATACTGGAGTTTGCACAAACAAGAGCGCTAGGAAAACTAAGAACAAGACGAGATCTTGGAGACGGACCATTGGTTCTCGGGGAAGACGGATCGAACCAAGCCGGCGACTGGATCCTGCTTTCTCTTCCTGTCTATCCGCGTTACTTGTCAGGAGATGGTCCGGACTAAATCTATCTGTTAGAGAGGGGAAGAAATCATCGAAGGGGACATCCAAAGAGCGCCGAGCGTGATGAGGATGAGAGAGGCAACAACAGGTCAAAGCAGGGAGGGTGTGCGTTTCTTTGTTCGGCCTCCTCCGACGTCTTATCTTTGTCGGCAAAGTCAAACCGCAAGGGATAGAGTACGCATCGCGCCCGTGTTTGTGGGGTCCGTGTTTGACTCATTCGGGCCTAAATCGAGCCCAAATTCTAGGGTTCTTTTTTTTTTCTACACCAACCTCTAATTAAATGCATTATTTACCTCCAAATAACTTAATCGAGCTTATAAATAATAATAATTATTAGTATACTCGAATCCAAAGCCTAAATCAACTTAAATCATACTCTATAGTCTGTATAACCACATTAATCCTCTCATGTCGAAAGAAATAAACCACTCGACCATGTCCACGGAATGCCGTGGTTTGGTCGCCATATTTGGGGTCAAAGAAAGCTGCAGTACTTGTCTGGGAGGTTGCAAGGTTTAGATAAATTGAGCCAACTGGTAAAGAGACCAACACAAGTCAAACAACAGCAGCACATCTGCTGTTTCTAATATAGATAGATCAAGCAAGTCCAGCTTCCTTCAAAATCCATTGCAATACTATTATGATTATTACAATCTATCCACATGCAAAAGGAAAAACGAAAAGGAACTCTAACTAATCTATGATGATAAATACAATCTATGTATTGTATGAAAAAGAAATCTAATATATGCACAAAGGCGACAGATTGCAACCCCAACCCTAACAATCTATGTATTTCATGCAAGCGTGCAGGTTTCTGGCCAAAACCAATCCCGACTAAATTATATTTCCACAAAGATTGTGCTGTAGGCTTCAGCATCTGAAACGAATCACAATGCATGAAATATCATCTTTGCTCTTCCTTGCCAATGCCTCGGTTGTCAAACGCTTTGCTGCAGCCTGGGGATCCTTTATAGATTTTATGAGATCAACAGCTTCCTTATTCTTCATCACCTGGAGACAGAAAAGGAAAACAATGTGAAATTTACCAGACATTTCCCAAATTCAGCTAATGGTTTCTGCAGGTTGCAACATCATGAGAGATGAAATACAGAAGATGATAACTAGGAACACTCCAGATGCACAGACACCGACATTATTTCAGGAGAAATGGCTCGATAGCAATATTTGGACATAAACCTTGCAGGGGTAGAAAACTTTCATAAAAATGAAAAAACTACAGATACGGATTTCTCCATCAAAAGATTTCATGTATCAGCTAGCAATGAGACTTATCTTTAAGGAACGAACAAAGGCGAAGAGAGAGAAACTTGGTGATAATGAGAGAAAGTGACTATGTTAGGTGTTCTCCAACTCCTCTCTCAAATGTGAGGTGATTGTGAAGGTTCTGTGGGATGATTGCGAAGGAGTTGAAGGGGCGATAACCCCTTCTTTCGTCGGTACCTCTGTCGCCACTCCGCACGGGATCCCAATAGTTTTTTGCTTTTTTCCAATGGATACTCCTCCTGGAGAGAGACAAATCGTTCAGTCGAAGATGGCATCATCTACAGAAAGAGAGGACGCTGCTACGAATGAACAGGAAGGAAGCCGACCTGTGGAGGTATCCCAACCACCGTCATGGGCGAGCTTGTTTAGAAAAGCCAAGGCATAGGGTTCTGGAAAGCCTATGACAAATGGGAGGGGAAAATCTAAAGAATGCAGGATGGCTCATAGCTTACCCTGGAACTCGATGCACAAGAGATGATGGGCATTAAGCAAGAATGGAAGAACTGTTTGTATGGCAAATTCCAGGGGAAACACCCATCCCTCGAATACTTACGATGTGTTCTTCTGAAGATATGGAAAATCTCTCTAGATTTGCAAATTCTAGATTTGTCGGCTGAATTCTTTTGCTTCAAATTCTTCGATGAGGAGGAAATGGCGAGAGTGTTAACAAAGGGTCTCCTTGGTTTGTCCACGAACAAGCTCTAATGCTGACTCCTTGGAGGGAAAATTTCAGGCCATTGTGCAAGACTATGGTGGAGGCTCCTATTTGGCTACAACTACCGGGCATTTTGGTGGAGCTCCTACGTCCAAGTATCCTCTACAAGTTAGTCGAACTGGTGGGAAAACCACTGAAACTTGATAATATCACTTTGTCGAGAACCCGAGCAAAATATGCAAAGATCCATGTTCTTATGAATGTGTCCAAGCCACTTCCATGGGGAGTGTGGATAAAGATTGGTTTTACCAAGTCTTTTCAAACGATTGCGTATAAAAATATACCTAACTTGTGCTTTGCATGCGGAAGAGTGGGGCATAAAGCAAATAGGGGCTAAAGTGATACCAATGCAAAAGGAAGATGTTAGGGTTTTGAAAGCTGGGCGGGAGGTCGAAGATGACCAGCTGTTTGGACCCTGGGTTTTGGTCCAACGTAAGACAAGGCGCAGGGTGTCTAAGCCAAATCGGATTGTAAGTGGGCTAGATCACATCGCAGAGGGTGACTCGGGGCAAGGTGGCACCAAACCTCATTGGAATGGCTTGAACAAACTGAGCTCAAGTAAAGGGATTTTTGAGGTAAACACAAATAACAAGAGATCGGAAACTAGGACCGATTCAACAATCCATCCGGTAGAGGAGGTAATTGTGACAGGAAAGGATAGAGATGGGCTGGGACTCTCTGCCCCTGTGCCTAACCCATAACAAGCATTTAGTGGCCGCAATCGGATGCAACAGCATATTGGGAAAGGCGGTTCCACACAAAGACATAGAGATAATGTTAACGTTACCAGACCTAAGGAAAAGGGGAAGGAAGTTGTTCAAGGGGATGACGTGATACTCTCTAATCTGTTCTCTACCCTTGCACACCCCGACTTAGTTATGGGGGAAGGAAACCCTAACGTCGACAATTTCCAATTCCAAGCCTCAAAGACAAAGGAGAAGATGGCGGAATCCGGATTCAAGCATATGCCTAGAAGTCTTCCGTTAAGCCATAGATGAAGCTAAGAAACAGAGGTCGGGTTCGTTCTGGAAGAAGACAATCCCAAATGGTCAAGAGTAGTATGCAGCCAAGGAAGAAAGGCCCAAAAAAAAACCCCTCGGTGAAGTATAAACCCCATTTTAATTTCGCTCAAACATCAGTCAAAGAAAAAGAGGCTTGAAACCTAAAGCCACAGAATCCATGGGGCCTAAGCTTGACAATTAGGAAACCAAAAATTTAAATATAGATTCATGAATGTTTTATCATGGGATTGCAAGGGTGCAGCCAAGAGGGATTGCTTGGCTCACCTCAAATTTCTTATAAAAGAATATAGTCTTGCTATTTTTGCTTTGTTAGAGACGCATATCAGCGAGGAAAAGAGCTTGCGGTTCTTGAAGAAGGTTAGTTGAAGATGGAGGGGAGATTTTGTTGAGGTAGAGGGGCGATCAAGAGCTATTCTGGTGGGATGGGACGAGGAGCAGTTGCAAGCAACAACGGTGAGTAAACACAGGCAATTCATTAGTGTGGTATTCAGCGACTCAGGTCAGTGCTCTTGGATACTTACAATAATTTATACAAGTACTTCCATCTTACAGCGTAGGAATTTGTGGAATTTACTTGCTTCCTGTGAATTTGATAATAGACTGTGGATTATTTGTGGTGATATGAAATATGAATGTGATCACTGATCCGAAGGATAAGGTTGGTGGAAAACCATTCGCTTACTCCCTTCTGTGATGGATATTAGAAATTTTATTTCTAACATTGGTATATTAGAATTGGGTTTTCAAGGACCTAGATTTACCTGGTGTAACAATATGTTTGGCCCACCTCGTATCTCCGCTATATTGGACCGGGTCTTTGTCAATGACTGTTGGTTTGATGTTTTTAGACACTGATGTGATTCATCTTAGCAGGATAGCTTATGATCACTATTCGATGTGATACTGGTTGCACTGCACAGGGCAGTGCAGGAAGGCTGGCTGGCTGAAGGTGCTCATTCAGTCGAACACGAAGGAGTTCATCAACAGAGTTACCCAACCACCCTGGCCCTTACAGTCCATCCTCAAAGATATTTCGAGGGCTGCATTGGAATTTTGTCAAGTTAATTTTTGCCACATTAGCAGAAATGTGAATGTTGTTACGCATAACGTTGCATATTTTGGCAGAACCCAAGAAAGGGATTTTTCTTGGGGTTCTGAGTTTAATCACAGGTTGTTTTGGGATACTGGTTTCTATCAGTAATACAATGAAGTATTTTGTTCAAACCAAAAAAAAAAAAAAACTTGCAAGGAGACTTTCTTCTATACTGCCTGTACTGTTTATTTTTGTTCATATATCTTTAGTAAAGTATAAAAAGCCAGAGAATAATATTTCTAAATAAAACATTTGATATTAAAATGGCAGCAATTAAAAGGATTCAGATCACTAACCTTCCACAATCCATCACTTGCAAGTATAACAAACTTGATTGTCGAATCTATTGGGATGTGTCTTACATCAGGTTCTGAACTTAAATGTGCCCTGAGGCTTTTATCACCAAAAGCCCTTGCAACCGCAAGTTGGCCATTAACACGGGGAACGTCACCTGATCACAACAAGCTTCAGACCACCCAATAGTCTGGTGCTAGAAGTAAGTCAATCCTGTCAAATGATGATTAGATCATAAAAGGAGCACATACCAGGAAAAGTCGTTACAAAACCGCCTTGTTTCTCAATCCTACTTCGCTCAGCATGGGGTTCGTGGTCAATGGTTAGTTGATTTGCTGTACCTCTTTCACACACAACAGCTCTGGAGTCACCTACGTTTGCTATCCACAAGTCTTTGCCATCAATCACAATTGCTGTAACTGCTGTTGAACCTCCATGTCCCAGCTGCTTTGAATTTTCAAGAATATATTTATTCGTGGAGGAGTAAGCATTTTTCATTGCTGACTGAGGATCTCTCCAGAACAAAGGCTACAGTAGCAATGAATGAAATCATTAACATAATTTTGAAGAATTTGACATGAAACCAAGAAGGAATACCCAATTTCAGATATAAAAACAAAAGGTAGATATCTAAATGGAAATAGACACACTGCAAATAAAAGAAAACTTGGTTGATTTAAATGTACTATGTATAAGGGGGTCATCTGCAATTGCTACTTGAGTGGGCTTCATGTACATCTGTTATATCTCAGATTATAAATTGAACCAATATGCTGTGTACCTACTGATAGATAAAACTGAGGTTTAGAGAAACACAGACAGTGAAAAGGTACCTCTTTTAGTATATTGTTGAAAAGGTTGGCTTTCAGGTAACTTGGTACACTTTCCCCCATATGACCATCAAAAATAGCAAACAGACCAAGCTCGTGATTGTTTTCATTTCTATATTCAGCTACATGGTAGTCTTCCATGTCATGGCCTGTTTTCCCTTCCACCAAGTGGAATCCATGTGATACTTGATTACTTGACAACTTACTCCGCCCTTTCCCAGTATCCGCAGATGACGTATCGAGACATGCCGCAGTCTTCAGCAGATAAGATATGAAAAACATGGGCAAGACAAGCATTAGTAAATCTTATTCAAGTAAACATTCGATTGAAAGCTTGAAACAAAAACTAAATAGTACTCCCAATGACAACCTTTTTTTTCATGCTTTTCAAAGGGATAATGGTACAGACATGCAGAACAGAGAAGAAACCAATTCAGCTGAATAATGTTAAAAAAAAATTTCACAAGTCATTTTGAACAGCTAGTAAGTCTGCAATAACAATGTTGAGAAAAAGGGATGATAAAGAAACACCTGCACTAGTATTTGAAGCCATGCAACCAGCATTGGATCTAAGATTTCATGGCTAGAACTTGATGATATCAAAATCAGTTTTACGTCAGTTGTCAATAACACTTTAGAATCTCTGATGGCATACACATTTTTGTTTGCTAGATACAGATAAATTCAAGTTCAAAAAACAAGCTAACGTCGAGGTGCTCATAAAAGGACTTCTATCTCCTTTAACTTGTAAAGAAATGGCTAGCCTACAACCTGAAGAGCTAAGTACCTCTTTTCTTTCCTGGCTAAGAAGGCACAACTACATCACTGCATGGTTCAACAACAGGCTTACAGAAAACTTTCTCACCAAGATTGCATTGGAGATAAATGCATCATATAGGGTGAATGCATTCTTAAAAAAAAAAACAGCTTCGATTGTCTGGTAAAGAATTTTGTAAGCTGTTATAAACAAATTGGTACTCGATAGAGTTGGTTCTTCGTGCCAAATTTCCCCTTTTGATACATTTATCGGGATTTCATATGCAATCATCAAACACACTGAGATCAACAATGAAAGTTTGATTTGTTTGATTTGACTCTGTTTAACCTATGTTTTTTTAAGCTCCATCAGCATACATTGGTAAATAAACTACTTTTGTCATCCACTCAAGGTGAAATTCCATTTGATAAATAGTCAATTGGCGTTTGTTCCACGACCTTTGAAAATATATGAGACCATACATAGCAGTAGACAGGAACTGATATCCAAATCAGTAACATCCAAGCAGCGAAGAGATGGTTTTATAAAATGATCAAGTGTACCATACACAATTTTTTAACGTGACAGCTCTGGAAATTAACACCTTCAAAGGACAAACTTGAGAATGTGCATGAACAAAACTAGAAAAATAAACAAGAGATTAAAAATCAAAAAATTCAGCCACTAATATACTGAAAGGAGAAAACTTTTGGGTGTTGTGGATAAATAAATTTACTATAATTTATTTTAGAATGGCCGATTAAACACAAAATGGTATTACAACTTAGCAATTGCTTAGAATCAACAACTTCAGCTGTTCATACTTTTTAGAGGAAAGATGAAAGCTGGACTTCAACTCCAGCTTTTTGGAACAAGAAGGATACAATAGGATTTAAAATTTGCAATAAAAAACGTTCACAGGACAAGTAATTCCTCTTGGCACAGTAAATACTTTTGATCCAGTAATACAAAGTATTGTAGCTAAGTTACCCATTAACCATCCAATTACGAGTTGAATGACCACGGTTCTTGTGCTTACAGCATCTTGATTCTTCTGTTGACATGACACCAAAACAATTTTAAATCCACCTGAGGATGTTCATGCCGATTGAGCTACTAAAGCTTTGCTTCAACCGAAAAGAGAGTCTTTTAACATACCCTACATCATCATAATCGAAGCACGAAGCCATCACCAGAATCACGCGTGCCACCGATCCATTTCCTCTCACGAGAAAAACCCCTCGTACATGTACCAACCACAACCCTAAGTCTCTTCCAATTTTATCAAAATTCGAGCCTCGAAGAGTGGAAACAATCAGCTGCTTCCACGTCTAAACGATTCAACGAACAAGAGACGACAAGAGAGAGAGAGAGAGAAGTACACCGACCCTGATGATGCTGAGGAGTTCCGACTTCATAGCGGCAGGAGCGAAGAGCGCGAACGAACAACCGCGAATCGAGTCGAGGATATAGCAATGGAAGGAAGCGAGGCGAATCCACGGGTCAGTCGAAGCAGTCGATGAAGAGGGTGTTGGGAAGCCTTCCAATCCAACAACCCTAAATAACAACAACAATGACAAGACTCGTATTCTTTGCCGCCTCTTTGCTGTCGATCGACGACGACGACAACCAACACAAATGGTGGGCGGTCTCACGAAGACATTTACTTCGAGTCGTGTTGTGCTTCGTTACGTGGGACATCTGTTTGGAGGTTTCCTCACTCTTTGTTATACGTATTTATCCATGCAATTAAAATATATATTAGTGTTAATACAGTATATACGTATGCATACGTATAAAAAATCTACATTTAGATGGAGAAATACAGATATTAATTTGTGTCTTCCAGTCATATTAGATATATCCTTTTGGTGCCTAAAATTAAATGATTTTTTATATATTTTTTTTCAAACTTAATTAAGTATTGTCCATATAATTAATATGTATATATATTTGTATACGTAATTAGAACTTCTTTCTACCTTTTAATTTCTTGCTGCTTAAGTCACGGCCTTTAAATGGCAGAAAGGATCATTGATCTTTTTGACTACCGAAACGCGTTGTCATTTCGACATCATAAAACCAGCAACTTCAGAAGAGAGGATTGGACCGATTCAAGGGCTGCAGAAGATTGGCATTGATTTGAGGCACGAGATGATCCAACAAGTCAATCCAATAATGCAATCCCAATGGTTTTAGGATGAACACAAAGACCATGACCAAGTCGACCGGGAAGCGTGTTGCCAAGCAAGTAGATACAGTAGCTACTGGATGGTGGAGCAGGTTCTTCCATTGCTTCTCTGTTCAACCATGAATCTGCTGATGGAGGAGAGCTGTGCCTGCAAGCAGATTCATGGAGAAAGATGATGCATCAGTGAGCAAGACCAACTACAGACAGTATAAATAAAGTAATCAACTCGGTTGTTTCATTTCTCTTCTCCGATCTGAGCACAGAAAAATGCTTTGGAAAGTACAACTCGAAGTAACGAGTTCTCGAAGTAAAGGCAGTCAATGATGACAGCTTTGCTCTTGGCGAGTAGCTCCTGGGATCATAAAGCTGGGTATCATCTTGTGTTGAACAGTCTTCACACTTCCAACACAAAAGCATGCGACGAGGATGAGCAGCTACAAATGAAGTGCTTGGAGGTTACTTTACTTGTGTAGTTCTTCGATTTCAATGCAGATGGTTTAGGCATTTGCTAGGATAATGTTTGTTTGTCTACTCTCAAAGAGTCTCTCATCTATCAAGCATGATTAGAGGTGTAGCTTCTTGATTCAGAAAAACCTGCCTATTGTTCTGACTTTATCTCCTTACTTCTGACTCGTCCTGTGTTATTTAAAAAGAGAAGAAAAGGTTATATATTTTTTTTTACAAAGATATCATATTTCTAATTTTATATGAAAATAATTACATAAGAAATTTCGTCAATATCTTAGCATCACATGATTAGTATCTCAATGACTAACATCTTGAGTTAATAATATATTATTACGTGATTGACACGAATTTATATTTTCGAACATTACGATCACACTTATATCACTTGAACTTGATATAGTATTATTATGTCCAACATAAAAAAAGACGTGTAACTATTTATGATATTAAATCAAAATATTAGTACAAATGATTTAAAATTTAAATATAAAAAGCCCATCGTACCATTATGAATCGGACGGTTTAAAACTATTATATTCGATACAATTTGTAGAATAAGATTGAAACTTAATCAATAACTAAGTTTAGGGTTCGACTCGTTTAATCAATAACTAAGTTTCAATGTTTTAACAAAATTGAGACAATCATTTGATTGTATATAAAGAAATTGTTATTTAATATAATAATTATTTATATTTTATAAAGAGTTTTTATCCACTTATACAATCAGAAGCCATTGATAATGTAATGTTGCATAATTATGAGACTCATAAATAACACAATAAATGTCTAATTGGAAAAAAAAATTAAGAATGTCCTTACTATCATCATATGTTACCTTATTATTTGTTTATTTTTATTTTTTCACAACAAAATATGGGTTTCAAAAGAAATTTTTTAAGGTTTTTTTTCGAGAAACGCCACTCGTTTTTATAATCACCAAATAATGCCATTTTTTTCTTTAATATTTAAAATATCTTTTTTAAACTCAATATATAAGGTGAATCAGTCTAATCATAATATTTTTATATTACATAATAATATTTTTATTATAAAAATATAATATTATTAAAAAAATGATGAGAAGATTAAAATGAATAATTAGACATCAATCTTATAAATCAAATCAATCAAAGAAACAACTAGAAAAGTCTAAACACATGTAATTTAACAATTAAAGGACAATTCAATAAGATGGAGATTAATATCAATCAAAATTTCAACATCATTAGACTAACGATCACCAAAGAATAATAAGTAAATGAGTTTTTGAGTTTATATATGCTAAACATAAATTTGTAATTATAAATGCAAAAAAAAATCAGATTTTTGCCACCATCTGACACAAAGCCACTAATTTTTGATGGGTGTTTATATCGGGTCGACCAACGCGACAGTTGGCCCGTTGGATTATGATCGGACGGCGCTCAGAGCCGGGCCACTTGTAGAATCCTCGCTCTTTGCCCTGCTGCTCAAACCTAAGCCCTCGAACCTCCTCCTTCTTCTTCTTCGTCGTTCGTCTCCGCTGCGGACGAGAGGAAGGGAGAACACCGCGAGAAGCGCTCGATCTCCACCGCTGTTGCTCCTTCGATTCGACAGCATCAGGTATTTTCTCGATCCCTCACCTTTCCCCGTCTAATCGTTGTTTTCTCGAGAACCTCGCAACGTCTTGCGGAGTCTTCTACGACGATTTCTTGAAAGGAGATTTAATTGGAACCTGCTCGCTCTCATTTCCTCGACCGCTCCTTGCTCCCTCCCGCTCGACCACCTTTGCAATTACCAAATCACCGAGGCGAGAGGCGGTGCCTCTGTTTTCGATATCAAGACCTTTTTCGCTTTCTTAATTTCTTTTCCCACGTTCTTTCTTCTTTCGTCTTTTTAGCCCTTAGCAGTCAATTTTAGGTTTTGTCCTGTCTCTTAAACGTTGATGCTTCAAATCATGGGGCTGCCATGGAGCGTAAAAAGCCTTTTTTTTCTCGCCCCTTTTCTCAGTTGATTTGCATTTCTCTTTTTCTTCCGTTTTGTTTATATGATCTGCAAGTCAAAAAGATCAAAATTCCTGGAAGCAAACGCCGGTTTGCTCATGCGTGATAAAATTAGGGCAATGTTGTTGAATTCTGTTTTCGTAACCATTTTAAGACAGATTTTTTATTATTATTTTCTGTGTCAATGAATGTGTGGCAGATACATTTTGTTTTTAGTTCTAGTGTCTTGACGAATTTCAAGATTCAAGAACACATTGTATACTAGTGCTCAATTTACAGGGAAGACAGTGGTTAGTTACTTGAATTTGTATTTTGATCATCGTTCAACATGTTATCATAATCAGATTGGGTGATTCAACCTGAGAAAAACAGGAACCAATTTTCTAATCCAACTTTGCTCTAAGAACTTAGGATTGGATTACCCTTGAATCATGATAAACCAGCTAATTTGATTGGTTTCTTTAGCAATGTCTAGAACTGGTTAGTCCATAAAGGTCTAAAGAAAAATTCTCCTTAGTGACCCATCAGTAAATTCACTGGTGTCCTGATGATCTTAGTCTTGTCCATATTTACTGCCAGTTTGGTTTCAGTGACTTTGCTACATAAATTCTCTAACGTTATGATTGCCATGCTTAGGTGTTTGTGATATTTCCAAGAGCTATACTTTGTGCTCTTATGTTGGCATTCACTTTTGTACAAAGATTTAGAAGCACACATCTTTAACAAAAGAAGTTAAATGCATAATGAACATTAGAATAACTAATTTAGGTTTTTTTAGTTACATATTTCATTGCAGGAAGAGGAAAAAAAATGTACTGAGTAGAAGAGTGTGCTGCTAATTATCAAATTGCAGTATAATTACATTTATAATGGCACTATTTGAGAATATAAATAAGTGGTATGGGTTTTGGTAAATCGAGGATTAATGCCTTCTGTGCTAGATTTTGCTAATGATGTGTTGTCATGGTACCAGATATGCTGGACCAAGTCATTTTTAACTGAGATTGTCCGGGATCATTCATTTAAAATTGGTTTGTGTGAATCATGGTTATACTTCTCTATGTTGTGTTGGTACTTCTTTGGACAATAGGTTCTGCAGTGTAGCCAATTTTTTAATACTTGAACTAGTTGAATTCAGTAGATATATAAATGTCCAATTAACAATGAGTAGACAGGGTTTATCAATTTTTTTGCTTTTCAAGGAAAACCAGGGACCAAGAATGTTAAAGCAAATAAGCATCCCTTTGTACACTTCAATTTCCAACATATAATTTTATTTACTGAGAAAAGTTCTTTTGGTTTTTATGGAGTAAAGATGAAGAAATGACAAAGAAGGGGGCTGCTGTTCAAGCGACTAAAAATTTAGCTCTCTTTAACATGAAGCTGAACTGGAGAATAACATAAATCTTAACATGAATCTGTCTGTCATAAATCAGCTACAATTTGCTCGAAGACAAGTCAACAAGTTAAGCTTCTTGGACCACTGAATATGGACCCTTTATTATCCATCTCATTAGAGATGATATCTCCTGCAGATGGGTGAGGAAGTGAACTTGATTGCTTTCTGTTCATATGTTCATTTTGCATCGGGGGATCTTGTTTGATTAATGTTTCTACGGACTAACCTTTAGGATGACATCTGTAGCATCTGAATGATGACTCAAAGTGGTTTGATTGTCTATTGAGTCTTTCATTGGCCTTTTGATTTCTGAAACTTCGTTGGCTCTACTTTACTTTTAGTGGCTGATCTTTGATTGGTGTATATTCAAATTGACATCATGAAATTTTAGCAGATACATGTCATACATAAGTCAATTTAATGTGATATTTAAGTTATTCTAAATTTGTTTCTTATGGTAATAATCGATGATATACTTTCTGGTTCTTTTTGTCTATTGTGTGATGTAGTGTGTTTATTTAAGAGGGAAAACTTTGGTGCCACGGTATGGTTACTCCTTTGCAACTGAGTTGACAAATGTTTGAGACATGGAAGCAACTTTTCCTTGCAAGGGTTTAGTTGCATACAGTCCCAAACCCCAGATTGCGAGAGCCTTGCACACTGGCTGCCCTTTTAAGTGTGTTGATATGAGAAATTAGCAATTTTGTTATGCAGTATAGTTGTTTTAGTAGGATTTTTTGCTGTTTTTTTTAATCTTTTCTATTTGATCCAACTTGGAAATTCATTGTCACTGTTCATTTTGGTTTACAGCTGTTATTTCGTTGTCTATTTCCACCCAAATTACTGTGGAGAATGGCCAGCAATCCACAGTCCTCTGGGACACAGGTAGCATGTCACCGTAAAATGCTCTCTCCATTTCCTCTTTCACCTGCCTGGTACTTGTTGTGTGATTTACCATCAGTTTGAGTTATTTTTTTTTCATTTTGTTATTGTTTGCGTGCCGTGAAAATTAATATTTTTATTCCATTCCAAAGCCTTTTAGGCCTGCAGTAGTGGGGCCTGCTGGCCCACCTCAAAATTTTGTCCCCCCTATGCCTATGCAGGTAACCTTGCTTCTTGCTTGCATTTGGTTTTCTTGCTTTATTTGAATTCCTTTATTATTTCTTAAAATCATGTAATTATGGATATTTCAGTTTCGAACATTGGTTCCACCAACGCATCAGTTTGTCCCAGCAGCCTGTCAGCCATTCCGGCCTGTTGCACAAGGAATGCCTGGACCAAATGTTGCCATGCCTACTGGTCAAACACAAATGCCCCATTTTCCTCAATCACAGCATTTGCCTCCAATATCAGGCCAACCAGGTCAAGTGCTGCCATCATCACAAGCAATTCCATTGCCGTATGTTCAAGCAAGTAGACCTATTATATCTGGGTCATTGCCACCTCAACAGAATGCTCAGGTGACAAGCAATGTGCCTAATTTTCCCAGTTTAGGAATGCCTCTTTCTTCATCTTATACGGTAATTTCTTCAAGCTATGAACAAAAGTTTTTATCTTCAATTTTGGTTTGGTTTCTGTTGTCCATTGTTTGATATTCTGATATTGGACTATTGCAGTTCATGACATCTTATGGTCAGGCACCAAATAGTATAAATGCTCCATCCCAGTTTCAACCAGCATCAATGATGCAGACTCCTGCCCCTTTAGTAGCACAACCCTGGTCTATGCCTGGAACTCAAAGCATGCCTCTTGTTGCCCCTTTGATCCAAACTGCACAGCTACCTGCAGCTGCTGCTGTGATGGCTCCAGTGAGAATCTCCCCCACTTTTTGCTCCCCACTCTTCATCTTCTCTGTAGGAAAAAATTACATTTTTAGTCCAATAAATGTTAATTGTGTAGCTCTCTGCCTTAGCCTCCTTTTTTCTTCTCTAAAAAACGTAGGCACAAACTGTCCAGCCTAGCTCTACTGAACAGATGTCTTCTGATTGGCAAGAACACACATCTGCAGATGGTAAAAGGTCTGTGCTGGATAATTATGCTACTTGCTTGCTGTCTTCTCTTGGTCGAGAAACTTTTTGCTGTATATTTACTGCTGTTAAATTAAAATTGTTTAATTCAACACTGGAGAACTATGCTTGTAGTGTTTACTTCATTACTTATTAATCCATGTGATTCTTACTTCGTTTGTATGGTCTTGATACATTATTCATTTTTTGGTTCTAATTCTTATGATGGTTCTTCAGGTATTATTATAATAAGAAGACCAGGCAATCTGTCTGGGAGAAGCCACTTGAGTTAATGACACCTACTGAGGTGAGTCATTTTTGTAAACAAGTATTTCCATATTACTTGCAATAAAACCTTGAGTTGATCATGCCAGTGACTGAATCTCATTATTGTACCTTTCATAAATCGTGACTGTTGTAGCTACTGTGTCGATAAAAGGAATTTTTATTTGTATCATCTGTTTCTTTGCATGTTCTACTGGTTTGTAGATGTCTTTTGGCACGTCTGGAGCAAAAAACAACTGCTCTATATGGTCATTATAAAGGCGAGGTTTCACTTTACTCAAGGCAGGCAATTTTGCTATTTATTTTTATTTCATTAAGGGGCTTCTTTTCCTTGTAATGCTTGTGGTAGGTCTAATATCTAGTACACAAGAACTAGCAAGGCCTGATGCATTTCCTTGGCCACTCTTGATATGTTGACATGAGATTTTGGCTGTTCTCTTTTATTTTTAGCTAGTGCAGAATCTGATAGTTTGGGGCTAAATAGTTCATCTTGATACAATCTTGACTATTGATCTGAGGACTGCATTAGATGCTTCTTGTGCTGTAGAAGTTGGGCAGAGTTTTGCAGTTACATTATGGTCTCTGATATGTTAGTACATGCTTCTGCTTATGTGCTGAGATGATGTAACTTTTGGACAGATCAAATTATCAAATCATCATTAGGGTTCTTTGAGGTCATTTGTGTATATGCGTACTAAATGTCTGTTTGTTATTTTAAATCATATATTGTATATAATATTCAAGCCAGTATGTTTTACTTATTTCACAATTCAGTGTATAATATTTATTACTACCAACTGGGGATCATTTGGTGGGTGGTATTTCCTGAGCAAGATGCCAACAACTGTCACTGTGATAATTGCTAGTTTTTTTCAGAATTTTATACTACAAATTCTGATAGTTGATCTGTTTTTAATTAGTCCTCTTCTCATTGGTATGTTGAAACTTCTGTATTGAATCTTGATAGTACCAAAATATACTTGCTATGATGCACGAGTTTTTAAGTTAATGTAAACAATGTTCAACCTAACTGCCAAGTTCTCTCTGATCAGCTGCAAACTTTGAACGTTCGCTTACTGTTAAAATTCTCTTTTGTTGAGTTGGATTTTTGAAATTACAGTATATCAAACACAAGATGCTGAAATATCTTCTTTCCCGTGGTATATGACTATATGTGAACTAATTATCTTCCGTTTTACTGTGTGAAGGACAACACCTTATTTTCTTCCTATTTCATCAAGAGAGAATTAATTTCCTTCCATCAGATCATAACTTCATGCATGCCTTGGTGTATTTGATCATTGAAAATCTAGTATGCTAATGCTGATTTATATGACTTAATTAGTTTTAAGTTTGTTCACAGGTACATGATTTAATTTCTCACTCAGGAGGTATGGTTTATTGGGGGAATGTTTTTCTTGCAATGTGCTTCTTAGACTATCTGTCATCCCACATTTGTGGAAATTGTAGAATGTACTGTAACCAACTAGAATCTTTTCGGTGAGTTTACATGAGAATCATTCGCTGATGCTATCTTTAGTAGTGCTGTTGGACATTCTATCATAATCATACTGTTTGTCTTTATTTCTTGAGATCACAACGTCTGATGTCTAACAGTAGTAAATCATTATATGACTTTTCACTGAAATGTTTTTTATAATTCTTGTACTCTTTGGTAAAATGTTTCGTTGTTACTCAGATGTGTGGTTATGCAATTACTGTCTAGGTGTGCTCTGTGTTACCTGGCTGCGTTGTTCAGGAAGTTTTTTTTTTTTTCTATTGGAGAGATTTTATTATGCTCATTATACAATATTTTTTCAGAAGTTGTAATTAGTAGTTCTCAACTCGCCAGCAACTTATGTTTACATACCTCCCTAGACGCCGTTGGTTAATGAGAAGATTCATGTGCTTGTCTGTTTGGTTTGTTGACAATATTTAACTCAAAGCTCTTGTTTTAATATCTTTTGTTAGAATTATTTCGTGGTTAATATTTGGAATGTTTATTTTGATGTCCGATCAATTGGTAGCTTAGTTTGAGTTTTCTTTTTTATCTATCATGATTTGTCTTATTTCTGTTAGCAGTTAATATTTACAAGGTTTGTTCTGAAATCTGATTAGTTATTTCCTTATTTTGATTGGAACCTTATTCTTTTCTATTGTGAGCTCTTATTTCTGTTTATGATCATGAAGCTGGCCTTGTCCCATTAATTACTTAACTTGTGAAGTTGTACAAAACTTTGTAGGTTCAACTATCATATTCTTCTTTGCTCTTCTGGTAGCTATTGGCTAGGAAAAAGATTTTCAGGCATACACATGTATCTGCGAAAGGTTCTTTGAGGCAGATAATCTAATTGGCATCCATCAATTTTATGTATACTTGGCATACATGTGATTGGACCTCCCTAGATCCTGCATTAGCAGGTGGAAGCCCTTTTTTATGCCATACATGTGACTCAACATGTGCATGCAAGGCTTGGTGCCAATACATGCTTATGGGCACATGATTGGAGATCTTGATATTTTATGCTTGGGTGTGTACCATGTTGAAACTAGCATGATATGCTTATGCATGATGCCTATGGAGCCATATCTTTCCACATTGATATTTAACAATGCTGACTCAGCTAGGACATCAGGACACGTGGACCATCTTGACAAACAGACATGGACTCCAACATCTTGATGCATGTGATACATGGGGCTGCATATTTCTGCTAGCTTCATCAAATTTTGGTCATTTTTTAATCACAGCATTGAGTTCATAGATGCATTATACAATTCAGTACATATTTGCAGACTTCCATATTATTATGACACTTTGTGCTAGCTGGGCATATAGCACATCTATCAATGTTCTTATATACTCTGGACCAGCCTTGAAATTCTTGAATGATAATTTGGTTCAAGCTTTGCTTGCTCCAGAAAACCATTTTAAGGAGCTAAATGAAGGTGCTTGCTTCGAGATGCATATGGACTAACTGTTGCCATGTGATTTAGTCTCTTTATAAAACTGTTGATAATGATACTAAGCAATACCATTCACCGAATATCAGATTCAAACTTGTGAAAGTCACATACCAACTCCATGATGTATTAATTTCCATTGCAAGTACAACAGAGAGTTCCTGACTTTCTGAATATTACACTTATTTGTCTGTCTGCTCTAGTTCTAACTATAGGTTGGAAGTTCACACCAAGTTAGCATTCTGAATAAAGATTGCCGATGTGCCATGCTGTAGCGTGTTGTAACATGCACGACACATCGGCTCACTTTGACAGGCACTTCCTATCATCGGGGCCTTTTCTCATGCATGGGTACAGTGCGTGCCATGAGCATGTACCAGCTTGGTCATGCATCTTCTTGTAGAAAGCAACATCCCTCATTTTATCTCTGTGGCAAACACTTTGTACTTAGCATTAGAATGTGAAAATTTTCACATAAATTAGGCATAAGTTCAATAACCTTAAATTTCATAGCAAAGGACTTTCACAAGCAAGCTAGAAAACATGTTATGTCTTGATAAATTATTTAAACTCTAACCACTGGCATAAGCATACTAAATCAGGGACTTTGTCTTTCAAGTTGAGTTCAGGGATTTTGCTTTATATCTTCGTTTCTAGTTGTGCCCATGCTTTTTAGTTTCTTATTTTTGTCCAGTTTCTCATGATTATGCTATTCTTCTTTTACATTCCAGACTAATCTCAACTTGAGATTTTCTTACAAGTGGTCATGTTTGGTCTATCAGCCACTTGTTTGGACCATGTTCCAGGGATATGTTATCCATGCTTTAAAGCCTTCTTTGTTGTAGTTTTCGATGTTGCTCTTTTTTTTTTTTTGAACTTTTACAATTATTACTGGCATGCCATTTTTTTCTTTTCTTAGTTTTGATCTTGGTGTTTATTTCTTCACTGGCACATCTATCAATGGTTTTTGAACTTAAAAACTGGTTTCCCCTTTGCAGTAATTCCAATGTTTGCTTGAAAAGATCTATTGTCACTTTGGAATTTGTATTTCTTTTGTATATGTTGTTTTTTATTTTGTGTTATATATCAAATATTGCCCTATCTTCATTGCATCTCTTAATTTCCCTCCATTTTGTATTGCACAAATCTTTGAGTTCATCAGATACAACATAAGAAAATGAATTGTTTCTTCATTCTGTGAATAAATTCTCTTCCTTCTGTCTTTATTTTATCCTATTCTGCTTGATCTGTATGTTAAGTTTTGTATATTTCTTTAGATGGTTTGTCATCTGATCATGCAGTACTCATAGAGACCCAAGACATTTTATTCCTTTAATTTTCTGCATGATTATGACATATCTTATACTAATGCCCTTCATACAAAATTGTTCAGGTTATAAATGCACACATTTTTTCTGACTGGTTATAGTTTATGTGAATGCATGCATATTTCTTCTTTTGACTGGTCTTTTTTGCTTGGTCTTTTGCATATTCGAAGTTTTGCACTAATCATTTGAAGTTTTTTTAACATTTTCATCTATGGCAGAGGGCAGATGCATCAACTGACTGGAAGGAATTCACTGCTGCAGATGGTCGAAAGTATGTCACTGTGTCATTCTTTTAGTTTATGATGATATTCTGCTTATGCTGTTATTTTCTTGAGCAGCACTATATATTGCCATGATGAACTGTGATATATTTTGATCTTTATATGTTTCAGATACTACTATAACAAAGTCACAAAGCAATCCAAATGGACAATGCCTGACGAGCTCAAGGTTTGATCTTGCTTTTGTTGTTTCTAACATTCTCTTTCCATCCTGCGTCAGTTTGGCCCTCAGAATTCTGTTTGTGCTGATTTTAGCTAGCTCGAGAACAAGCAGAGAAGTCTGCAACTCAGCCAGCACCAAAAGAAACAGGGACCACTGTTGTATCAGTTGCTTCAAGTGTTCCTTCTGTTGAGACACCTTCTGCAAGTGCTTTGGCTCTTAATGGACCAGCAGCAGTATCTAACGCCATGCAGTTGCCAGTTGATTCTGGTACCCAACCCCCGGCGACCTCTGTGGCACCATCATCCATTGCTGTTGTAACATCTGCTGGCATCAATTCTAGTTCTTCTGTAGGAACAGAAAACACAGTTGGTGTGTCAAATCATCATGCACCTTTAACTCCAGTAATCACTCCTGCTTCTGCGAGTAGTGAATTTCCTTCTCTTTCTGTGGATGCTCCAACCGCTGCAATTAAGTATGGATCTGGGTTGCTTTGGTGTTTTTATTGCCTTTCTTAAGTGTTGTAGCGAAATCTTGATTTCTAAACTGACTCTTTTCAGCAGTAATCAAGACAGTTCATCCCTTACAGATTCTGCAAGTGTGCCTGATGAAATTTCTGCTCAGGATCTTGAGGTATGTCAAGTTAGTAGCTTTACTAAACTTATCGCAGATAGTGTTCATTTCTTATTGTAGTAATAACATGCACTTATGTGGATTTATATGCTAATTTTGGAGCAATAATTTAAAAAACGCTAGGCGTCAAGGTCCAAAAACGCATGAGGCGTTAGGCACTCACCCGAGTGACGCGAGAGGCTCTAAAATATTAAAATAAAGATATATTTTAATATTTAAAATATTAAAAATAATTAAAATATAAAAATATTTTAATATTTTAAAAATATTCTCTACTATTAGTAGCAGTAGAGAAGAGTAAGTGTGAGGAGACTGAGGTGAGATGCTGAGTCACGGTAAGAACTGAGACGCGAACAAGAGGTTGCTGTATGAGAGCAGTGACAGCGGGCGGTAGCGAAGAGCAGCGACAACAGAGGAAATGTCGACGGCGGAATCACGAGTAGGGTTGGGGGAAGTCGCGAGGGGGAGGCTGACGCAGATGCGACTGAACCAAACCTAAAAACATGGTTTGGTTGCTTGGTTTAAATCGGGCGCTCGCTTGAAGCACTCGCGCCTGGGCTCGGGCAAGCACCCAGGCGGTGCCTCTTTGAAGCGCGTTGCCTGGACATTAAACGAGGTGCGCGGGCCTCGCCTCGCCACGCTCGACCGCCTTGGCGAGCGCTCGAGCGCATTTTGAAATCACTAATTTAAAGAGCAAAGAAATCATTTGCTATTTCATTTTAATTTCAGAATGTAGTATTTTAAATGATTGAAGCTTAATTTTTTTCAGAAGATTGTATCTATTTGGGATAACTAGTGATGCTTGATTAGATTAGGCTTTGAACGGTAATAAATTTTTACCATGTCTATCTGTATGTTTCAAGATGTGTTGTTGGACTTCTGTGCTTTGCAAACTTGAAGAAAATATTTGAGGTATTATATGTACGAGTCTTAAGAACTTGGTAAAGCTGTAATTTGGTGTGATCAACTATATGTGATGATTTTTGTAGAGGAGAAATGTGTGGTTGATGCTCTCGATATTCATTGTTGAGTCTGTTTTTCTTTGTCATTGTTTTATACATAAATCTATCCACTGAAAATTGTCTTAATAGTAGCACATCTCATTTTATATTCAAGTTCTAGATAGCATATTGCATAAACATGATTATTGCTTATGTTCTGTAAGTACAGTGATATAAAAGCCTTGCCCGGCTTGTTACTTATGATGTTTACTATTGCACTTGATCTTTCAAATTAGATACAGGGTTTGGAAAAAAAACAAGATGCTTATGTTAGGTTGGTGTTAGAACTTTTATGTCCTTTTGGCCAATTGCCACTTTAGGTTTCTGCTGGATGGTATGCCTCTTGTTTGCTCTGTAATAGGGTTTGTGTTGGTATTTAGTAGGGATTGGTTGTGTGCTGACATGTTACTGGTACCTAATTTAATTGGTGGCACAGAAGCTGTCGGAATGTTTGGTGCACTTTTTGAGCTTGCAACAGATGGTAAAAAACATGGCCTACTTGTTGTATAAAATAGCCGGTCTTGGCACTGCATGGTTTGACAGACTTTGGCATGAGATTTTTTATGTCAGCTAAAACCTAAAGCTTTGAATAACATACCTCGTACTAGCAGAAATAAAAACTTTTGATAGGCTAGTTATCTGCTTAAGCAATATAAGCTGCCCATACTCTGAAATGCTCGATTTGATTGCCTTGTTTGTTGTGTGATTGTTGGATATCCTTTGCTCTTGCCCAATGTTAACTGTGGATCTTCACTTGGTGGTTGTGCTCTTAACTCTCTTTTTTGGGTTTTTGCTTACTTACATGAAAGTTAGTTTGTTGATTATGCTTGCATCAACCAGTATGAACTTGATGCTTAAAGATGAAAATATGGAATATAAACCAAGTGATGAACTGATAAAAATTACCTCGAGTTAATTTGAGAAAACACTTTTCATTTTTGACATAAAATGTGAAGGCAAGAAGATAAAAACAAAGATTTGCCACTCACCAAAAAGTGGAACACATTTTATGCTTAAGTGTGAGGGCAGAGGAGGATGAAGAGTGCAGGAGAGATGAACATGGAGGAAGAGTCACTCTGTATTTGATTGCCTATTTATAATTATTAAAATGAGGGCAATTTTGTCATTATGCTTGAAAGGAAATATATAAATGATCAAAAGAGGCAATTTGGGAAAGTGCTCTGTTGGTTAATAGATGTTTACCACAGGATGTAGGATGTAATTATTACAAAGGTTGGGTCTCAATCATACTATTGAAGTGAACTTTTGTTAGTTTGTCTTGCTTTTTGTACATATTCATTCATGGTACTTTATTACTTTGAAGCTAGTCATGATCTTTATCTATTGGATGATCCTAATCTTCCCTTGTTAATTCCAAATTTGTAGTTTGATGGCTCTTTGGCTTCCTTAAAGTTACTTTGCTTATGCCTTTTTCATCTAAGCATTTTTCTTTAATTGGATAAACTGTTATATATCTTCATTAATGCTCCAGGAAGCTAAAAGGACCATTCCTGTTGTTGAGAAAACTAATTTCACTCAATTAGAAGATAAAATGGTTGATGAAGGACAGTTCGTTTATGCTAACAAGCTGGTAATATAATATGTTTCACATGTTAGTTGACATCTTCTTTTATGTGTGTAAGCTTGTAACTAATACTTCTCTTTAGGAGGCAAAAAATGCTTTCAGGGCTTTACTGGAATCTGCTAATGTGGAGTCTGATTGGACTTGGGAACAGGTGTGCAATTTCATCTCCTTTTTATTTGGAATGGCATAGGCATTAGCCAATTAGTCTGATTATTTGCACGTGGTTAATGTTTTTTTTCTACAGTTGTATATATGTATGATTTCTTATTGAAACTTCCTAGGCAATGAGGGTTATCATCAATGATAAAAGATATGGTGCTTTGAAAACACTTGGAGAAAGGAAACAAGCATTTAATGAGGTCAGCTTATGAGTTAACTTCAGATATAAAATTCACATTATAAGCACGTTTCTAAATGCTATGACAATTGGGCCATTTAGTTCCCAAGTACCTATTGAAATCACCTATGTTATTGATTTGATTGTTCATCAAATTTTTTACTCTTATTACAGTACCTGGGCCAAAGGAAAAAACAGGAGGCTGAGGAGAGGCGCATCAAGCAGAAGAAAGCAAAAGAAGACTTCACTAGAATGCTAGAAGTAAGTTCAATTCTTCTAATATAAGGTTGGTAATCCACTTGCTTCTTATGATATGATTTCTATTGGTCTTGTGCAGGAATGCAAGGAACTTTCATCAATGACTAGATGGAGGTTTGCTCTTGACTGTTCATGTTGTATTAGTGGAATTAAATAGTTCTTAGGTTAAAGGGTTTTTGTATTAGGACTCTTGTTTTCTTGCTCTTGTAAAACGTCTGTTATGTTTTTGAGTATTTTTTTGTTAATTAAACACAATTTCAATTCTATCTATGCAGTAAAGCGATAACCATGTTTGAAGATGATGAACGATTTACTGCAGTCGAGCGGTCAAGAGAGCGTGAGGATCTTTTCGAGGGCTATATAGCGGAGCTCCAGAAGAAGGTTGGAATTCTAAAAACTGTGTATTCTTATGTTTACCAACTAGTGATTTTTTTAAGAGATCTATTTAATTCTCTTCTTACTCTATGTTGAGTAAATCTGCCATGTCAAGCCTATTTTTGGATCCTTCATGCTTTTATTCAACTCGAGCTGCTGATTTTTTTCTTACCTTTTAAGGAAGTTTAATGTTGGTTTACAAATATAATCATCAAAATCGATCAGGTATCAGTTTCACCATGGTGGAGACCAATATAACCAATGTGTTTGCATTTAGTTCAAGTACTTGGAGTCCTATCTTTGACAACTTAATAGCTCCTGGTCCCATTCTGCATCATTGTATCTCATATAGAACAATATAACTAATGTGATTGCATTTAGTCCAATTAATATGGAGCAAGGTTGTTCAACTCGTGATCTGGGCCTGGGCCTTAGGGTCGAGCAATCTTATGGCCCAGATCAAGATTGATGAGTTGAGCCAAATGCTATAATATAAAAAAAGGTGGAATCAGCCTGACTTGTGAGTCGACTCGGTGTTCGAGTCGATGGAGTTTACCGAGTCAATTCAGTTGGCTGTATATAAAAGAAAAAAAAGAAGAAAAACTCACCTCGAAGATGAAGCAATGTGTAACGGGCCCTAATCACCCTAATAATTGCTGTTGCTCATGATGAGAGGGTGCTGCCAACCTCGCCGGTGGCCGTTCAATGTTGCTGGTCTCCACTTCTCTCCTGCAACCCGCAGGAGGTATGAGGTGATGAGCCCTAACCGTTGCTGCCACGCATGATGAAAGGGTGCTGTGACCTGCCAAGCTTGCTGGCTGTTCAACATTCGCTGATCGCCGTAGGTACTGTTTCTCCTCCTCTCTCCTACCTCTCTTCCCATCTCCTCTCCTTTCCTCTCCTTTCTTCTACTCTCTTTTTCTCCCATCTCTTCTCTCCTCCCTTCTCCGACCCTCTCTTCTTGTCTTCTTTTCTTTCTTCTCCTCCCATCTTCTTCCATCTCTTCTGCTCTCCTCCCCTCTCCTAATCTCTCTTCCTGTCTCCTATATTTTCTTTTTCTCCTTCTCTCTTCTCCCCCTATCCTCCCATCTCCTCTCTTTTCTCTCCTTTTCCTTCCTGCTTTTCTTTTACTTGTAAATTCAAATCTTGGGTTTACACTGTACAACATAGATTGAGTACATACTGTTTTTGCTCCAGTATACTAATATCTTGTCTATTTGACACCTCCTGCATATTCACTCACTTGATCAGGAAGACAGTAGGATAGTAGGTGTTTTTTTATTTACTTTACTAGACAGTTTAGGACAGTAGGACTGTTAGGACAGTAGGACTATTAAACTGGTGTAGGACAGTAGTTTTTTTTACTTTGTAACAAGAAAATTATATATAATTTTTTAAATGTATTTATCTTAAATTATTTATTCTTATTTGTTTTTATAATTTGTAGGATCTTATGATCCTACAATCCATTTCTATGATCCGAGTTTGCAACCCCTTAAGGATCCTAGGTTGTAGGTAGGAAAGTGAGGTTGACAGCCTTGGTTTGCTGGCAATCTTTGATACCTTATAGTGCCTAGTTGCGATCTCCATACTTTTGGTATTGATTCTATGGTTGATATTGGTGACTGTTTATTGCAGGTTACAAGGTGCAAGCACTTTTCTTTCAAATGGAAGTTGCATTTTTCTTTTTATCTTCAATTTGTTGCTGAGAACCACTTGTTTGTGTTCCACAATCCAAAAAGCTCATTGTACACATATGAACAATAAAATATTTTTATAATAGTGCAACTAGATATAAAAAAGAGACAAACCTAGTGCATGAGGAAAATAGTACAACTTTATATACTTATATAAAATCATTGCTATTAATTTTTCTAAACTATAGCTTGAGCGGATCTTGCCGATTGGTCAGGTGTATAGCTCCTTTTTAAATTGAGTTACTGATTTCTATCTCATGCTATCATTTAGATTGTGCACATATGTCATCTCTGTCTCCTATATCTTTCACTAGGGTGTAATGCATTGCGGAAATTGTATTCCTTTGCATAATGCTTTGTTAGCTGAGAATCAATGGTTTTGCTGATATCACACATCTTTTCTTCTCTTGTTGCTTTGATTGAAGTATGCCAGCAATGTTATTGAAGATAGACTTTTTTTAATAAGTGATTCTACTTGATTGTGATAGTTAGTCATTTGTTTATAGGTCATCTTTTCACTTAAAAAAGGATTTTTTTTCTTTCCATTAAGCTTCTGGCTTTTTTTTGATTGAAACCCTGTTTTTGTTAGGCATGTTGATGCCTTGTGTTTTAACTGATAATCTTATTCCCTCTGGGCATGACAATTTATTAGATACAGAGTTGATTACATTTGTGGTTGTTGTGGTAAAAAATGTTACTGTTACAGCATGCTGTAATTGATTTGCATGTGCTGTGGTGTGGCTGCTTCTGGTCACGGTGCATCCCATTAATACATGGCCACAGGTTTGAGTCAACACTTTGGCCAGTGCCGGTATCCTCGTACTGACACATGCTACACTACAACGGTATGTTTCAAGATTTTTTGTCCTATTTTCTTGGTTTATAAAATCAAATTAAATAAGAAAAAAGTAAATCTAATCTATAAATCTATAGGAAATCTAAGCTACAAGGATAAGCATGAATAAGCATGCTATAATTAGCCCTAAGTTATGCCTGGGTCTAAATGGAAGAAAAAAGATATTAGCCCTAATTACATGAACTTAGCACACAGATTAGGTGTCAGATTACCTTGATTTAAAGACGATTACAATTGGATTTTGAGATTTAACCCTTCTCAATTGCCAATATTCCTTAATTGTTTGCAATTAGAGAAGAGCTAAGCCTTTACCCGTGAAATAAAGAGATTTGGTTAGGAATGTGTTTGAGAAAGAGAATAATCGATAGTGAGAGCGGAGAAATGAGTGAGGGGGTGTTTAAACCTTGCAATACCATACCATACTGCTCGGTATGGGCGGTACATATCAGGTCGATAGAGGACCGGTATGGGCGGTACATCGATACACCTTAGTGTACCATATGTCGGTATGCTTGGTACAACTCGGTACTTATCGTATTGACGACTAATTGGTACACCGGTATGGTACGGTATTCAAAACCTTGGTTTAAACACAGCCCAATCAGCCCTCAATGGTTGGATTGGATGATGTGGCCCAAATCTGAATGGTCGGATTGCTTGGTACACATCAGATTTTGACCGGTACACCTGTACCGGACCTGAACTGGCTGAAATCACCTTGTCCGAGTCTCTGCAGCTGGTCAGATTGCTGTGTACCACCCTTACCGTACTGTGCCGCTCGAAACTGCAACCATGGTCTCAATAAGATAGGTTTATCCTAAATTTGTAACTGTTTTCTTGTAGTACTAGGTCTTGTCTTTAGTAGATCAGAATATTGATCTCATGACTCTTTTGATGGCCATGTTTTTTCTTTGTCATTCTTACTAGCTCAATGTTTCAAATTTGAACAACTTATGTAAAAGTAACAGGACATATAATTAATTGCTTTGGTGTCATATCGATCTTGGTGCAGGAGAGAGCAAAGGCTGCTGAGGCGCATAAAAGAAACATTATGGAATATAGAGCTTTTCTTGAATCTTGTGACTTCGTCAAGGTATTACTCTAATTTTCTCATTCATATTTGAAAAAATAATATTGTAATGATATGTTAATTTCTGTTTTCCTTCTTTATTGGTTTAGGCAAACAGTCAATGGAGAAAAGTCCAAGATCGTCTGGAGAGTGACGAAAGATGTTCTCGACTTGAAAAGATTGTTCGATTGGAGAATTTTCAGGTTAGTTCCAACTTATTCTTTGCGATGGGAAGCTCTTTTGCTCACTTTTATGTATTGCAGGAATATGTTCGTGATCTGGAGAGAGAGGAGGAGGAACAGAGGAAGATGCAAAAGGTGCATCAGATTCTTAGTATATTTGTAATTTTTGTGTTCTACATTATATTTACACTTGGTTTTATGAACATACAGGAACAGTTACGACGTGTAGAGCGCAAAAACCGTGATGAGTTTCGTAAGTTGATGGAAGAACATGTTGCTGCTGGAGTTCTTACAGCTAAAACTCACTGGCGTGATTATTTCACACAGGTACTTGGTGATTGTGTTTTGCCCTCACAATATGAGATTTCATCATTAATATGCCGATCCTCATCATTTGATTTACATTTCATTTGCTCCTTGCAGGTCAAAGATTTGTCTCCTTACTTGGCAATATCATCAAATACATCAGGTGCAACACCCAAAGATCTGTTTGAAGATGTTACTGAGGAACTTGAGAAGCAGGTTTCTTTTTTTTCTCCTCCAGTTAACTTCTTTGTGAGGCTATGCTTTTCTAAATAATGATATATTTGGACTGTCATGATAAAGTTAGTTTTAACTTTGAAGGCACATAAGAAATGTGATGGATGATGGGTATGTTTTATCGTAACAAAGCCATGTTCTTGTTTCTTGTTGATGGTAGAGCTTGACAAATTAGTCAGAAAATATTGTACAAAATGAATGATAGTCAAAATATACCATTTGTATCTTTTTTTACCCTGAACCATAGTATTTTTCAAAAAGTTATGATATGTTAAACAGTATAGTCTGGGAATGGATAAACAACAGAAAATTTAACTTGTCTGCTTGAGACAAAATAGTTCTTTGGCTGAATTTGGTTTCAGCTACCTAAGTAATATCAGTAATCATACATTTAAGACGAAGTGGAAACTTATGTTGTAATTGATAATAAGCTTCATGCGACACCGAAAATCTGTTTGCATTTATTATCTTAAATTCTTAATACATGGTTAGAAGGAAAGAATGTTGATAAAACATATTACTACCACTTTCAGTCAGGGTTGTGCCTAATATTTCTGAATTCCATCACTAGTAATCCTTGGTGTAATAACTTCAAAAATAATACTAAATACGCTAATACAGAGAGATCTTATGAGGTCTATACTGTTTCAAAATTGTTTGGAAGGGGAATTAATTGAACTCTCCTCTTGCTTGTAGTGTTATTTGTTTTTCATCGTTTCTGCTGGATCCATATTTCTTTGTCTTTCATGTGGCATTACTGCTCTTAATACCATTATTTGTTTGATCTAATATTCAATTTTCTTTTGGGAAATCTTAAAGAGGATTACTGATCACGGTAATCACTAACAGAAACAATGAACCGAAAGTTAATCTTGCCTTTTAGGTTAGTTTCATTGTTACTACGACTAATTGAATCGATGCACCACTACCTGAACTTGTATCTGCTACTAAAACACTATAAAATAGGGGTTGCCATAAAATGTTACAAGGGCATATACCTTTTTACCATGGCATGGCTCCCAAGTCATCAAGCTTCAGCTTATTTATCTTTTGTTTAACTTAAATAGTTTCTACATAAATAGGAAGAATTCAAAATTAATGCTTAATAATCAAGAAATTGCTTCGAAGTAATTTGGATCTTTTCTTATACGTAGTACATGTGTACCAAATGGAATAATTCGTTTTTTTCTTTTCAGTCAGTCTGTTGTGTACTTCTGATCTCATTGTTCATGGTGCCCTGTTGCCTTTTCCTTTTATAGCTCTGCTATGGAAGAGGAAATGGGTAGGTGTCAGCTGCAAACCTCTCCTTGTGGGACAGCTGCTGATGTTCACATTAATCTATTATGTGCTGTATCTCGTATTAGGTAGACCTCATTCAATGTTTGTCTCAGTCCAATTTTCGTTTACTGCTAAGGCTAATCAATTATTTTTGTCTTTGCCCTATGTTACATGTCATGGTTAAAATTAAATTACGAATAAAAAATTAACATAGAAAAAAATTGAAAGTGTGGTTCGATTATGCTAGCAAACTTCTTAGCTCCAGTTAGCAAACTAATCTGTTTGAATCCTTGTTTTATCCTATTAGCCAACCGTTTACTTTAATGTCAGGAATAATGCTGTGATTGATATCCAGTGGAGGACCTTTTTCTGTTGATGCTAATGATCATAGCATTATAATTTCTAAAAGAACGTGTATCTTGAGACTATTTTTGTATGTTGTTCTATTTTGCAGTATCACGAGGACAAGGCTCAAATTAAAGATGCAATGAAGATCGGAAAAGTAATCTGTTACTATTTTGTTCCTTCATGCTTTGATTCAAAAGAGTTTCCTGATGATATGAATATCTTCTTCCAGATTACATTGGCTTCATCATGGACATTTGAGGACTTAAAGACTGCTGTTGCAGGTATTGATAGTTTGAGAGGAATATCTGAGATAAACTTGAAGGTAATTTTCTCATCTTCTGCTTTTGTTATTTATTTGTTTTCATGTTTTTTGTGAGTGATAGTTAATCAATCAAGGTGTTTGTTCCTATCAAGCAAGCATTTGATCACCTTAGGAAAGAATAATAGCTGGAACTCTTGAAAAATAAAGTATGGGTTTTACTTTTACTAAAAGTTTCTCATCTGGTTTCTATCATTTGTCCCTTCAGAATTGCGTTTTTTTGCTTCTGCTTATGTCCCAGATTGATTAACATTGACTATTAGCACTATTCTTTTATTGCCATTCGCCAATTCCTCAGCACCATCAGCTGCTTGCAATGCTGTGCTTACAAGAAAGCACTATTTCACCTCAAACCCCCTTTTTTATGCTTTATCTTCGCGTCAAATTGATGTTAGCCTTGGTGTGTCTTGATCATTTATCTACTTTGGATGCCTTATGTATGGTATAAGACTTGATTTGATGCTTTTCAAATTTTTGTAGCTGGTATTTGATGAGTTACTGGAAAGAGTTCGGGAAAAGGAGGATAAAGATGCTAAAAAGCGCCAACGTCTTGCAGATAATTTCTCTGATCTGTTATACTCGATCAAGGTACTCTCGCACCATGTTCTGAACAGTTTTTTGATTTTTGAGATCTAGTTTATCTTGACTTCCTTGGTTTTTTGAAGGAAATAACTGCATTTTCAAATTGGGAGCAATGCAGATCACTTTTTGAAGACAGTCAGGAATATAGGTATTCAGTGCTGATAAGTCTCTTTATTATTCATGTCAAATATGGTTGAGTTTCTGTTATCATAGCTATTTGGTACCACTTGTTATAAGGTCAATTGGTGACGACAATTTTGGAAGAGAGGTTTTTGACGGGTATGTTGCTCACTTGCAAGAAAAATTGAAAGAGAAAGAACGCAAGAGGGAAGACGAAAAGGTAATAAGTATTTTTTGGGTTCATGATTGTTGTGTTAAACTTTGTCGCTAAACTATACTTGAGACTTCTTTACCTAATGGATGTCACTTTTTGGTTGCAAAAGTACTAGAGGCTTATTTCAGTTGGTAGTTTTTGAGTTCATCCCTGTGTGGAATGGTAGTTCTTAACTTGTTTTAGTTGCTGTAGGTGGTCGGTTCCTCTCATTCTTCTACCGGTAGACTCGTAGATACTGGATGGCAGTTATTTCATATTGGCAAAACCAATTAAAATTTTGTGATGCACTAATTTAAATGCTTTTTTTTATAGTACTTTCATAGAGGGTGATAACAGAACGCAATAGTTATCTTTATGAAGCTGCACTTTAATGCCTGGTTAAATTGATTACTATATATATTTTGTGTGCCTATGGGAATGTGTTGTTGATTTACATGTATATATATTATCAATGGTTCGAAGCAAGTGCTCATCAGGATGTCCTGTTGAAGCAGTTAGCACCTTAATCAAAATGAGCCTTTTATTCATGGATATTGATTTTTTGTATGAGGGGCTGCTGCAGTAAATTTTTTTTCATGCAGTTGCTTAGGAATTTAGTGTTTGATATCTCCTTGCTACTATTTCAAGTTTAATGTACTGTTGATGGGAGATTATTAGGGCAAAGATGTCATTAAACTTCATTTATTTTTAATTAGGATTTAGGACTTTCCTCGCAAAGTTTGAAACCGGCAACATATTTTATTTATGATAACTCTAATTGGCCAATAGAAAAAACAAAATAGATTGAGCAACACATCTTACCCAGGTAGGTCTAGGTCCTTCATATCCTTATTCTGTAATTTTGTATCCGCATTCATCATTGAAGCTCCATTTAATAACTTGTCAATCGTGGATGTTGAAACCAAGGTATGCAATTTCGGTCCGTATCGGCATACCGAGCCTTGCTCGGTATGGTACGTATCAAGGTGCACCGAGTAGTATGCCTAAAATAGCTAAAAGGTCGGTAACGGTTGAAATTGATCGATACCGCCGGTATAGGTTGGTAACGGTCGAAATCGATTGGTACCGTTTGGTACAGGTCATGAACGGTCAAAGTTTCAACCGTTACCACCCGATTCAGCCCCGTATCGCCCAATATGGGGCCAAAAATTTGGTACCACTCGGTGGCAGGTGGTCCATGTGCTTAGAGACTCTCAGACCGGTATGTACCGCCAATATTGGGCGGTACACATTGAAATTAAAAACCATGGTTGAAACAATGGTTAGTGGTCAGGGTTTAAGATGTTGATGCTTTAAAAATTGGTGATTTACTTGTTCTAAAAAAATGAATCATCAATTTTGCTATTTTCAATTGTCATACTTCAATTGTACTTGCAAGTGCTATGCTTATTTCAATTGACATCAGAAATAAGGGTTTGCTCACATCTAAATATTGCGTTTCAGGCAAAAAAAGAGAAGGAAAGAGAAGAGAAAGAAAAAAGGAAGGAGAAAGAGAAAAAGGAAAAAGAGAGAGAACGTGAAAAAGAAAAAGGAAAGGATCGGGCTAGAAAGGATGAAATAGAGAGTGATATCATTGATGTGATGGATAGCCATAGTTCGAAGGATAAGAAACGGGACAAAGACAAAGAAAGGAAACACCGTAAACATCATCACACCAAAGCAGATGATATAAGCTCTGACAAGGATCAGAAAGAGGAGTCTAAGAAGTCCAGGAGACATAGTAGTGACCGAAAGAAATCCCGAAAGGTACCAGAAAAGTATAATTTATTTTTTTATTTATCTTTTTTCATTTATTCTGAAAATTTTTGCTGCAAAAGTAAAATTAATAAGACCAGTGGAAATCCAAACCTGGTGATTTTGCAGCATGCTTATGCTTCTGATTCTGATACTGAAAATCGGCACAAGAGGCATAAGAAGGATAGAGATGGATCTCGGAGTAATGATGGTTATGAAGAACTTGAAGATGGAGAACTTGGCGAAGATGGGGAAATCCGTTAGTTCCTTTTAACTTTCTGCTCTTTTAGTGATTTGTCATGGTCTTATCCTTTCTCTTACTGGGAATTTTTAGGTTGTAGCTTTTTTAACTTTTTGTTGATAGATGTTATCAACAGCTAAATTTTGCTAATACATTGCTGCTGTTAAGTGTCTAATGTTGTATGAAAACTATTTCTGTAGTTTCATTATTCTATCCTGTTAAAAAGTGTCTCCTTTTGCCAAAACTGAAATGATTTCCAGAAATTGCTGAAAGCATAGTGATGCCTTTGTATTGACTTCACTGCTCAGATGTATGAGTTGTTCATTGTTGTTTTGCCATATTGTTCTTTTTTTGTTCATATCAAGATAAGTTTGACGATAATAACAACAATGTTGCAAAGACAAAGGTGCATTTTCTGTTTTATTGTGTTGGTTATCTAGTATTTCAGGGATTGGATGTTTAAATGCTCCATGTTTATGCATGCCACTTAGTGCCTGTTTGGTTTGCACTTTGCGCAGACAAAATCGTGAGATGCATGAACTTTTATTAAACATGTCATACATGGTTGCCTGCTTAAGTTTCTCTCAAGATCATTATTGCTGTTATGTAGTCAGTCATAACTGAAAGAAAAGTGCATGGGTTGATGCAAGTTAAAAGGTTTTGCAAGCTCCATAACTTGGACAACTATCTTCCTAAAATTGAAAGTGTATCAATTATTTTCTTTTTTCTTTAGATAATATTTGTTACCAGTATCTGACCTTACCAATCATTGTTGGCTACTAATGCAATCCTATAAGCATATTATGTTGCTCTGTTTGACCGATGGTAGGATCACCTTAATGTTCCACATGATGGTCATGGTTTGAGGGTTATAAGGTGCTAATAGCACCAATAGAACAGAATTCATGTGTATGCATATAAATAGTTTGCATCTGAGTTTTGAAGTCTGAGAGGAGTATGCAAGACCTTGCTTCAACAGAACAATCTGAATGAGATGCTGCAATTTCAGAAACTTGTTCCTCAATATTTTTTTATAAAATGAAGTGTTCTACATTAATTTTGATTTCCATTTTTTCAGGTTTTATAATTCTTTGAATATTGTTTTCATATTTATCATTTTTTATTTGAGATTTATATTGCTTTTGTTTGCTATATTGTTATTTTGTCCCAAAGTTAGGCATGAAGCTTTTCAAACCTTGGTTTAACATACCACCTGAAATGGTATTGTACGGGCGGTATGTATCGATCCGATAGCTGATTGGAATGCGAACCACCATATATTGGGCGGTATTGCAATTTTGGGGGCGTATCGAATGCTACATCCTTCATCGAAATTTGATCGTCACTGGCCTGTACCGATTGGTGCTGGTCGGATTTAGAATGAAATCAATCAAGATGCTAGATTGAATTGGTTCCAAGGCCCATTTAACCCCATTCCTCCCTTCTTTCACCCTATTTCAATCTCATATTTTCTAACACTCTTTCTCACTCAATCATTCTCTCTTTTTCAGAAATTCTCAATCTTATTCAATATCAACGGAAGAACTGTTCAAAACGTGCCACAAAGCTACTCATTAACGTCCAGAAAAGATAAAACCGCTATTCCTTATTTGGATATTTTTATTGAAATATAACTAAATTTGCATTTAGTTCTAATTAAAATGCCCTAATTTATGGTTTTTCCTAATTTTCATGTATTTTCAAAGATTTTCTGAGCATTTTTTGTAACTGTCAACATGTTCTGACGTACCATGTGTTGGTACACTAATACAGATCGGTACATACTGGATCAGCCAACTACCAGCACAGCTGGTCGGCACAAAATTGCAGTCCTTGTTTCAAACCACCAAAGTTACTGGTTTTTAGCTCATCTACCCTATCTTTAACTGCTCCAATTGAATTTGGGACCTTGGTTTGTTAATGCTACAATTTTTGATGTGAATAAGGTAACAGGCTAAGTTGTTTTTTTAAGTACTTACCGGTAAGAAAATATGTCTCTCTTATACTAATCTGGAAAGGCAAAAAGTTGCATAGGATAACCAAGCAGTTAAATTCATCATGTTTAAGATCTTCCTGTCCTTGGCCCCACTTGCATATGTAAGTGCATGTTACCATGTGGGCCTTTCTGTACAATTTCTTTGTTATATGACTCCGTAGTCCATATATTTGGTGGGAGGATTGCTACTGTGGCTTTATGCCCAGCTGTTGATGCACAAACCAGCCTGACCAGGCTCAAGTACCTGACAACTGATAGACAATTTGTTAGTTGTAGGCTGGAGCATCCAGAGTTCAAGCATTGTGCATAGTATTCAATAAAATTTTTCTAGTTTGCACTGTTAGTTTGTCTAATAATGATAGTTGATTGTGGCTGTATGGTGGTAATTGTTAATGCTTCTTGGCCATACTAGAAAAGCCAACGATTTCTTGACATTTTGTCTATGTTCGCTCCTTTTTTCTTTTGCTTCGTTTCTTTGTTTGCAATTTACATTCTCAAGTTGGTTGTTTTGGTTTTAACATTGTCGTAAGGCAAGGGTCATGACTATTTTTTGCTTGGTCCATATAATTGTGATGCTTTTCATTTGCTTGCAACTTTAGCTTATTTACATATTCATGATGGCTGTTATACATGTAAAGATCTCTAGGTTTGATTGAGCAAGTTTTTTAAAAAAATATCAAACATAGCTGTGGAAAATCTCTAGGGTTGTTCTACAACCCTAGGATTAGTTTCCAGTTCTGATAAGTTCTGGGATATGCAAATTTTCGCATAAAAAATTCCCTGCAATTTGTCTAATTTTGTTTGTGATAGTGAGGAAATGGCCAAGGGGAGTGCTGTATGGAAAGTGATTTCATGAAGTTGCTCCAAAATTGGGGCAGATTTCCAAAAAAACAAGAAATGCGTCTCTCTTAAAGAGCGGAAAGAAAGTGTCTGGGATAAACTTTAGCTTCTAGGCATTGAACACTTCGGCAGCTATCAAGAAGTTACTTTAGCCTGGGAGACAAACCTTGGCAATAAAGGGTTTTAGACCAAGCAGGACCTAATTTGAAGAATGACTTCAGTATGAACCAAGAAAAGAATATGAATGGACCAAGAAGTTCGTAACAGCAAAAGTTTTCATTTATCTTGTATTTATTATTCAACATGAGAGGATGATTGAAGAAATTATCACTGATAGAGTTAGAGTGGGTTCATTACAGTGAATAGGGGCATTGAGAATGTAGTGTAATCATCCTGTACATCTTAGACAAATCTGAAATTTTGAAAAGGTAGTTTTGACTTCTATGGCTTGCCATAATCTATGGATTTCAATGTTGGGTACAACATATATGAAAAGAATATAGTGCTGTTGAGATGGATGTAGAATTCGCAATGTTTGCATTTTTCAAACAATTAGCATTAGTCTCGAATCTCAACCGAGGACAAAATGAGGAAAAATTATATAAGGCATTTTCAACATTTGAAATAAGGAAAAAATACATGAGGTGGTTATAACATATCTAAATGAGACTTGTAAATGCACTGATAAGGTTGGTTTGTGCAATTTAGATTTGGTTTGAGGAAAGGTGGAGGAAGATCTAACATGCCTATTAGAAATGAAAAGAAAATGAGAAATCATTTTCATGGACCTAAACTTTGGTTTGTCATGGACTTAAAGCTGTAACACTTTCCAAAATGAGAAATGATAGTATAACTCGAGAAAAATTTGTAAATCTGTGAAGCTTATGCAAGTTGAAGATAATACCAAGGATAATTTTGACAAAATAAAATATCTTGGTGGACATGTTGATGTAAGAATCGGAGCGAATGCTTATTCCAGTTTATAGTATATGCATGGTTTCTTGAAGATAGACTTAGAAGTTTTGCATTTGAGAGCAATTAGGGACATTGGAAGTACATATTGGTATATACTGGTCCAGCCATCAATAATGGATAATATTGGTAGCTATCAGGATTTCTTATAATTTATTATTTTTCGATGAGACCAAGTAGTGCAGGTCTGTGTACCACCCGGTATACCAGTCTTACTGGTTGTCGAAGCTAGAAATGAACCAAGATTAAAATCCTTGAATAGGGATAATTTCTTTGGTTGACAACTTGAGTGAAAACCATTTAAGATGACTTGAACTTTTCCAAATAGAACATACAATGCACCATTTTGGTGGTGAGGTAAGTTAATTCAAATTGTTGCTACTAGGAGAGGTGGAGGAGGGGATCCAAAAAGATTTGATTAGAAACATAAAAATAATTTGATATTATTGATTTAATTAGTGATATTTCTCTTGGGACCAAAAACTTATAATTTAGATTGGGAAAATTGATTACAACTAGATAGTGATAGAGAAGAATGCCGCGAAGAGAGTAATGGAGGAGATAATCTGGTTTTGGAGTGAAGTATCTGTTGACTGCTCTATTCATTGAGTTCTGAACAATGATGAGTGGAATTGCTTTGTAAATATATGCTGATAGTTAGATGGTGGTGCTTGTGACTCTCAGATGTTGTTGGTGCATAAGCATCTTGTAATTTTGAATTTGGAATGGATCGTATTGAATTTATCTAGAAGTGATTCATTTTCAGTGAAAAATCAGCTTGGTGTCATGTTGAGTGATGATTTGTTATGGGCAAAACCAACTTGGTATGAGCTTTGGCTAGTTTTAGACAGTTTTGCTGTACTCCATTTTTGAGTGGTTGACTGAAATTGATTTGGTTGTACTTGGTTTTGGCCAAAATTAATTGAAAATTGTTGCATACCAATTTCCAAAATATCATTGGCCTTATATATAGCCTTTTGACCAATTTTCTCTTGTTGGTTCTTGTCACAACTTAAGTTCATTTGGTTCAGATACTGAAGCAATTTGGTTTTTATTTATCAGTAGCTCATTTTTTTTGTTCCTTTCACATCTATATCAGATGCTGAATTTTGGTGAATTATTTCAGAATTATTAGGACCATGGCATAGTGCTAGTAGCAAGTGGTATGAAGAGTTGTCATTTTTTGACCTAGGTGCAAAAGTTAAATATTAGCTAAATATTACTCTTATAGACAGAATTTCTGCTGGCATGCTTTCCCTTGTTTCTTTTCCAGATACCTTACAATTTAGAATTTGTCTTTTAATGCAGCTTAGGAGTTTGGTTTTGCACATTTTGGGAGCTCCTTACTAGCTTACTTACTGGTATCATAATTATGATAATAATGGTATAATAATTATTGACCTGGCTAAGGCTTGGGTTGCTGGTCGGATTGGTGGTTCGACTGTTCAGATTGCATAAGTAGTAGTTAAAAACAGTAAGTATATAATATCAC